ACCTGGAGCTTTCTCTAGTCCCTGGCTAAAGAGGGCATTCTTAACAACTTCCTCGTTAACCAGCTTGTGGGCCGATCCTCGCTCAGGAAGCTGTAACTCCATGTTACTGTTTGGAGCCTGTGGAAATGCACGGTGTCTAAAAACCTCCTCCTTCTCGCTAAAGGTGGCTGCAATCACCTCCCCTGAGGCCTCATCGGTGAGGGCTGGTGTGGTGCCTTGTGTTTGTGGTTTAGTATAGCGTAAGGCTGTCCAGCACCGTTTCTGATCTGGCAGAGAGCCCTCAGACGTGCCCTGAAGGAAACCCTCCCAGCACTCTCTTTTAGCTCTCCTGATCAGTGAATAGAAGCTCTTACGTGCTTCTCGATGCTCCTCGTCGCTAATCTCACCCGCTTGGTAGGCCTTACGAGCCTTGGAATACACGCTTCGTTCTGCCTCAATCTCACTGTTCCACCACCGCTTAGATCGAGCACAAAGCCTGATCTGTTTGCAGTGCTTGTTCAGGACCTCTGTCAATGTTCTCTCGATCCACTCGGCTTCACGTTCCACTTCCTCTGTTAAGGTTGTGTCTGTTAGTATTGGTTGAGTCTTTGCTAGTTCGTTCCAGGTGTCTTTTGCCTCCTGCAGAGCCTTTTTATCTCCTAGTAGAGCCTCTATCTGCCACCCTGTGACTTCTTTCCTTGTGGGCTCTGTACTCGTAGTTGCTGGAGGTTCCCAGCTAGCCCAGATCATAACATGATCTGATGGCGTGAGCCTCTGGCTTTCGATTTCCCATCCAGATAGAGGGCCAAGGGCTTGACTACTGATTGTGAGATCAATAATTGAGACCCTAGTCTCAGTAGATGTTTCAAATGATGCTGTAGAATCTCTAGGCTTATGAGGCCTTGTTGGCTCGTCAGGGTCGTTATTAATAAAGAGGTCATGCCTCATTATTAGATCCTCGAGGGATCTTGCGTTAACCCTCTGGTCGATATGGACATTCCACATCGGGCTGTGGGCGTTGAAGTCTCCAAGAATGAGGCATCGACCCTCTAAAATTGGTCCCCAATCAAGATCCGTGAGGGCTCTTCTTGTAAGTAGGCTCTCTCCTGAGTATGTATGACGTGCACCTAACCAGTTGTCATAGCAGTTCACTATCCTCGTACGCCTCCCCTGTTCTAGCACGTCAACCACCATAAAATATGGATGGTTAGCTAGATCTGTACGCGCCTCCACCACTAATTCTCTCACTAAATCCCCCCTAGGAGTATTGGGGGGATACACATTAAGCTACTATACATTTATATATATGCACCCATAGTAACCGGCTGCCGCTTCTGTCCTCTCAAGCTAGATACAATAGTTCCTTATCTTTCCTATTGCTCCACTACCGCCCACTCTCCAACCACTTCTGAGCTTCCAGTTACCAATATCGGCATCGCAGCCTACTTATTGGCCGTCACAGTCTTGCCCCATAAGGGACTAACCACTAGCTAGGCTAGCCTCGGGTGTCCTGTCCCGTGGGTGGGTCGGATGGTTTTTAAAAGGGTTCCCGAGAATTGGTGCGGTTCTTAGGGCAAAAGCCCTACGGTGGCTAGATATAAAGCGCTAGCACGCGAGCCTTGGCAGCGGCACCCACTTGCAGCTGCCACGATAATTTGTGGTAATTGTTTTGGTGAGGGGTGTAGGAGTCGAACCTACGGCCTTGTCAATCAGCGAAGATGGGTACCGAATGGAGGCCCCAAGGATAGCCGTTACCACTTCAGCTATCCGCCCCCCTATAATCAAGCGATACAACGATGATGGATATATAAAGATACTCATTTACCATGTATCTAGTTTTATTTTACCGTCTTGAATTAACCGTGCTAAGTACCCCTTAGCTTTGACAACTTGAGTATACGTTCTTCTATCGAACCGGATATTCATCCTTTTATTAAGACTTTGCTTTCAAGAAGCCTTTCATACTTAGAAGCCTTATAACTTCAGCGTGTTATAAGCTATCCGAGATATACTCGACGGTAGTTTGACCGAAGTTTCCGACACTCTATTGACGCACAGGAGCACCTGACACCATCATGTTGGACTGAGGCCCTTAGTTCGTATTCAAATTTTGGGGAGAAGTTTATTGAATACTAGGAATTAAGATAGTATTATTAATAATGGATTATACACAGATGGATGGTCAGACAGAAATTGCAAATCAATACTTATCCTAGAGGCTGCGTCTTTATGTGAATCATTTCCAGAATAATTGGTCTGATTGGTTACCCATTATTGACTTCACAGCGTCTATTCTCCCTCAAGAAATAACAGGACTATCCACATTTATAATAGAAAAAGGCTTTCAACTGAGAGTCTCCTTCGACTGGAAAGAACCAGATCTACCACAACGCCTCACTTTGAATGAGCGAGAAGGGCGTGCCTGGGTGAGCCATATGCACAAAATTTAGGAGTTCGCTAGGAGCAATATTCTGATTTCCCAACAATGTCAGAAAGCGCAGGCAGATAAGCACTGTCGTAAGGTGGATTTAACATTGGAGATGAGGTCTTTGTTATAAATTGAAGTTGGGACACTGGTCGACCCAGTAGAAAGCTTGGTCATCAAGCGGAGGGACCTTTTCCGATTGTTGCTAAGGTACTAATAGTCACTTGTTCAAGTTGAAGCTGCCACCTAGCCTAAATGTACACCCTGTTTTCTCTTTGGACAAGCTTCGACTCATATCTTGAATGGAGCCGCTCCCCGGTCAAATTGTTGAGCTGTCGCCACCGATAGTGGTTAACAGCGAGCAGGAATAGGAAGTCAAGAAGATTCTAGATTCATAGATTTATTGGAAGAAACTTTACTACCGCGTGTAGTGGTTGGGCCATGATCCGGACCCCAAGTGGTATCCTGCTAAGAATTTTAAAAATGCGCCAAAGTAGCTACATGATTTCCACATGGAGTATCTAGAGAAGGATGGACTGCTAGCTGAGCTGTTAGAATGGCTCCGTGAGGACGAGGAGGCAGGCACTTGAGGGTAAGCGCCTATCAAAGGGGGAGTGATGTGATGACTGCAAGAATCGCTATCGTGTGAGCTTGGTCCTTTGTAGTGCCGCTCCGTGGTCTCGTTGAGCCCTAAGCCCTAGCTGGCCGTACAACGGGATATCCCTTTGTTGTCACGACTTTCTATTTAGGCACCGACGAGGCCATACGCGCTTACAAAGGGCTGTAGCGAGCTCACACACAGATTTTTCCTTTCTCCTTCTTTTCTGTATGCTTAGTTTCTTGAAGATGAGCTACCCTAGAGTTTAGGCCTGAGCAAATGTCACATGGGGGTGGGATACGTTGGAGGAAGGTGGCCTAGGTGTCACATTGGAGGATGGGTAGGGATAAGGGCACACTAGTCAGTGTGACGGTGGCCAAGCTCAATGTATTGATCTAGCTGAGAAGACGTACATGAGGTGCTCATACACGAGAATAATAAGCATGGGAGAGAAGAAGAAAAGAAGAAGCAGAAATCCACCTCGCTAGAGGCCCTTTATATACCCCTTTGTGCGCACCCTCTTCCCAATCTGGCACCGCTGAGGCTATTCCCAGAGTAGTACCGCCTAGGGTCCTAATCCTCGGCCGGTAAGCTCCGTCGAACGTCCTGTCAGGTGCCGTATGTCAAGCTGTCACAGTCAGGGTTTGTACGGACTAGGCGTGCCCACGGGCTTGGAACTATAAGGGATCTCAGGAAGGATTAGCCTAGGGAGAGTACCCAAAGGTCCCTGGCATATCGGCCATATGGGGACGAGATAGTGATTTTTGAATTTTTGCATGTATGATTCTGGTAGGGGTGAGGCCAGTAGGGCGTCACCAAGACTTCCAGTGGTCTGTCATAGCCAGTAGGGCTGGGTACGGACAATAAACTTGATTAATTAGTAGTAGTAGTAGTGTTGATATACCCGCTGTAGCTGGCCACTGACTAAGAGCCGCTATCCAGGTGTGTGCCTAAGCCTGCAGGCACCAAGAGATCCGCGGCCCAGCCACGGGTGGTGCGCCATAGGGGCGCGCCACAGAGAATGGAAGCTAAGGAAACAAGAAAACGAATGCAAACATGTCAAACAAACAAATAAATCAAACATTTTGGTCGGCTAGTGCGCGTACGCCCCCGTCCATACGAATCCCTAGATTCTTTTGAGGTCCTCCGAACTGCACCAGTTCGCTTCAAATCCACATATCCTGTATCCCTCATATCCTCAAACTTCTGTACCGTACGGATCGTACAGATATATCACGTTCTGACAACCCACAACCCACAATCCATAAAATCTGCATATCTCACTCGCAGATCCGAGCCGTACGTCCCCTATATCGCCTCCCGTTGGCTGGCTCCGAATCACTTGATCCAAGGCTCGTATTCGTGTCAATCCTGGTCCTTACTGATAACGACGTCGACCTGGAGCGTACGTCATCTACGTGCGTATTCGTACATGTTCCCACGTCAGTGTCCTTGTCATTTGCAGGCTCCGATTGAGCCGCTGTTTCTGTGCTTTCGTAGGTGCCAACTGCCTCCGGATCTACCTCACGGAATTGATCAAGCACTCGCGTATCAATAATGAACTGCGATTGCAATTGCGGCCCTTTTTTCCTTGAGTAATGCCTGCATATCTGTTGTGCGTCGGAATCCATTGATTCGTGATCACATGAGACCGCGTTCATTCTCATACAGTGGGCATTCCATGAGGATATGTCGTACTGATTGACCAGATAGGCTGCAGGCGCAATATGGCTGGTCTCCCCTGTTGATTCGCCACAGATAGTGCGCCAGCCCGATTCGTTCGGTACGCAGCTGTATCAGGATTGAGGATGTTACTTTGCGGAGAAAGGTCCAATATTGGAGTGTGCGCTTGGAAGGCTGAGTGACAAGTTTTTTGGTGGGTTTCCCTTCCTTTTGCTTGTCCCACTGTTTCTCCCAGGCATCCTTGGTTGATTGGCGTATTCTGCGCTTTGCAGCTGCTGCGAGTATGGTCCAGTTGCCGATATCTCCTGGCACAATCTACCTTCGTGCACCTATTAGAGCTGCACGTTTTGCAGCCCTGTCTGCGGCTTCGTTTCCAGGAACGCCCTCATGGCCTGGAATCCATCTCAGCACCACGTCGGTATCCTCATCCATGCACTTTCTTAGTGAATCGATACAGTCATGAATGTACGTTTGGCCAGAGACCATACGCGGATTCATGAGGGTTTTGAGCGCGGCTTGGCTATCTGAGAAGATAACTAGCTTCTTGGTTCGTATGTTCTGATCCGCGATCTGATGCGCGGTTTCAAGCGCAAATTTGATGCCGCAGACCTCAGCTGCGTACGCGGTTGAGGTGCCTTCCGTACCAATACACTCTGTTCGTTGTTTTCCAAAGGCCGGGATGACCATGGACGTGCCAATATAGCCTTGATATCCACTGCCATCTGTGTATATTGCAATATGCTCATTCTTACGTATGATGTCATTATGCACTGATACCGCCTTTCTCGCTCATCGATCACAATCTTTGGAGGCTCATGCCACGGTGCCTGGACGTACGCAAATCGGCTCTCCCATCGCCCCGTCAAGGTTCCCGGGGGAGCCAATAAGCATCAGCCTTTCTTCCAAGCATGAGCTTCCATGGGAGTGTATCCGCCGAGCTTGAGTTCGTCATAAGTACGTCGATTGGCCAGGCCGTCAGGGATCGCAAAGGCAGGGCCTGTACGAATCCGAATAGCTGCAGCTTTTGTGAGTTGATCCAGTTGCAATCGGATTGGGATTAGGTAAAGCTCTATATTGAGGGCCTCCGCAGCCGTTGTACGGAGAGCTTCACTGATTAGGCACGCCGCGCGCTTTTGGGTGATTGCAAATCTGCGTATGGTTTGTGTGATTTGCCTCTGGCTCATGAGGCCTGGTTGAAACCAGGCTGCAGCGCCATAACCTGCTATCTTTATAGACATGTAAATTATACCAAATCTCCCTTCTCCGAATAGCTCCAACCGTCAAGGTGCAGTCTGAGGGAGCTGAAACCATCCTCGAACATATAAACCTTCACCTGGTGTAGTTGAAACCCAAATTGAGACGTCATGGTGCATTTCTGGGAATAGTGAGACCCCAAACCCTGTTGGTTGTTACAGAATACAAGCCTTGGATCGAGGGATTCAGAGCCAGCCAACGGGGATGCTACGTAGGGGACATAAGGGTCGGATTTGCGAAGGGTAAGATTAGTGGGTTCTATGGGATTGTTAGAATGTGAGAAAACCGTACAGTTTGTATATTATGAGAGTGCGAAGATGTGGATTGAAGGATATGGGAATATGTGGGTTTGAAGTGAATTGGTTATTTGTTTTATTTGTTTGATATGTTTGCATTCGTTAGTCTTGTTTCCTTAGCTTCCGTTCTCTGTGGCGCGCCCCTATGGCGCACCACCCGTGGCTGTACCGCGGATTTCTTGGTGCCTGCAGGCTTAGGCACACACCTGGATAGCGGCTCTTTAGACCGTCGCTAGCTACAGCAGGTATATCAAATCTACTACTACTACTACTACTACTACTACTACTAATTTGATACGTTGAGATACACCATAAAGGTTGTTACGTACAATCCAACAATTAAGAGTCTGACGCATTCATATCAAATTAAGCACCAAAACCGACGACAATGTGGACTTCCGAATCAACAAAAATCGTACTCAGCGACCCTACGGGATGGGAGCAATGGGAAACCGCATTCCTAGCAGAAGCGAGGATCGTCGATCTAGAGGATGTAGTGACTGGAAAAAGAGAGCCTCTTGCAAAACCAAATATGCTAAAGTTCAAGGACTTTGCAGTCATGGTTCCAACAACTTCAACCTCTACCGAACGCATGACGACGAGAAGCCAATCCCAAGCTACTCAAACTCAAACTGAAGGATCTCAACCCGAGCGCGTCATTTTCTATGGAAATATACTCTAGGACGTATTGTCTGTACCGGACAGGGACATACGCCACTAGGGGAGTCATCCATACGTCGTAGACATGTCGGTTCTCTCTTCATATCCTACCAAATTTCTGGCTCTCTGAGTCTCTTTTACTGACATAAGATTTGTGGCCATTCCTTTGCAATATAGTATATCTTGTAGGAGCGAAGTTTTCCCACGCCTCTTATATCCCTGCACTTTTACGATTCGATCGCCATACCCAAGAACTGCCATTTGCGTATCCCCGGCCCATACAAAATCTCCTTCCGGAGCTCGTCGATAATTGATCAAGCCCCGCCTGTTGTTCGTTATATGGTTGGTTATGGCACTATCGAGCAGCGTCGAATCTTTAAGTGGATATTCTAAAGCATTGAAGGCTGCACTCATCTCTACGGTATGAAACGTGCTTCGGTTTGTTGTCAAATATTTGGCAGGACAATTTCCTACATTCCGTACTGGTCACTCATTAGCCTCTTTGTCATCATGATTTGAGGCTTTTGGGTTCTTTATCCTTGCAATCTCTTCTGCAAGTTTGTTATCTTCCCTAAGGTTGCTATCGACCTTCTCTTGAACACCTTCTTTTGGATACCACTTTTTCGGCGCTTTCTTTGGAAAGATATACCAGCAAGCATTGGCCATATGCCCAAGAATTCCACAAGCCCTACACCGTGGCTTTCCTGATTCAGAAATTGAGCCTTCAATTGTACGGTTACGCTTCTTGTTTCCTCTTCTGCGATCACCCTGAGGATTAATTCTTATGGATGGCGTCGCATCTAAGTTTCCATCCTGCTCTTCGCTATCTCCATATGTGACTGCAAATGCGCCTTTGCCAACCTTACCGGTTGATCTCTTGGTCGCAGTGGCATGTCTACGGAAAGCGCCTGAGAGGGTACGGTAGTCCAGAGATCCGTTATCTATTTCCTTTTCTTTGCTCATTCTATAAGCGGTAACCCAGGTGTCAAAATATGGCTTCAACGCGTCAAGAAAGTTATTTGCCCATTCGGTGCTGTCCTTTGCAAACGACAGGTTCTCTAGCATTGCTCGTATCATAACCTTTTCCCATGCGCTAATCCATGCTTCCCAGGACTTTGGAGCACGCGGTATTTCGATGAGATGACTGTATTCGGCTCGGATCTCTCTCTTCAATTTGGATTCGCTTCGTCTTACTTGCTCACGCAGATTCGCATACGCAGTTGCTATATCGGTAGTGACGTGAATGGCAGTTTGAGCATATGTGATATCGACCGTCTTTATCATCCAATCCCGGAGCTTCTTGACTTCCTTATCTTCTTTACTGTAGGTGCTAATCTCTATTGCCGCCAGACCCGATAGCGATTGAGGAGGTCCGAGATGTCGTTCCACTCCTTAAAGCATAAGTGCAATACCTGGAGCGGTAAGCGAGGAAGTTTAGCAGATTCGCTCCAGTGGTACCTACGACTTGGATATCCAGGGCCTCAGGGCAATCAATCACTTAGTACGTGCTCAACCGGGGTACGACTAAGAGGACATCTTGCCCAGAAATGTGAAGCATGCGCCCAAGCGAAAGCAAAAAGAATTATATAACGATTCGCTCGTGATATGATCAAGGCAGCAGGGGCACAATTATCAGTTGAATTTCACGATTATAAGAGCTCAATCAACAATTTTAAAACCCTCATTTTGGTGACATGCGGATATATAGGATTGCTATGGGATTATTACCTTCCAAATCATCAAGATGAGACCATTCTCACGGTGTTCGAGCACTTGTTTGGGATGCTTGAAGTGCAATATCATATTCATCCTGAGAAGCTGGAATGCGACCGGAGACCTATGATTGGTTAACAGAAGAAAAATATGTCAAAGTTGAGCCTTCACCTCCCTACACTCGAGCACTCAATGGCAGCGGAGAACGCTCAGGGGGTGTAATAAAGACTAAAGCACGATTGATGAGGATCTCATCAAGGTTACCTCAAGATCTCGCTCCAGAAATCATTCGCGCGGCCGTATATTCGCACAATCGGATGCTACGGTACAACTATGACTGGGAATCACCTTACGAGAGATTTCACCAATTCATTGCCGACAGGGATGGAAAATCTCCAGTCTCCTCCAAGCCTCAATTAGCTCACCTGCAAGTATATGGGTGCAAAGCGTATTCTTTGACAACTGGGTATATGAAGCATGAGAATAGACTGCAGATATTCAATCCAAGAGCATGTATAGGTTATCTCGTAGGATATGACTCCACGAACGTATATCGGGTTTGGAATCTGGTGTTAAATAAAATTGGGAAAGCGAGGGATGTTACATTCAATGAGGATGAGACGTTTGACGGTAACCCGGATTGATTGTGAGACGACCTACGAACTGTCAATTTGGAAGAACTAGCCAAGTTATTGTAAGATGTTGATGTCAATGAGGAGGAGGTTACAAGGAGCAGACCAGAGGCCAGAGACCTCCCTTCGACAGTGGTAAACGAGCTCATCAATATTGGGAATATCCCCACGCAAGACAAAGCACTAGGACGAATGCCAAATCGGGGCTTCGGAAGGGTTATTACAACCCATGGGCCGCAGGAAGTTGATAAAGAGGAAGCAACGAGTCACTGGCGAGGTTATCCAACCCCTCCACCGATTCCACCTGCAGCGCTGCTTGTAGCCTCAATTCAGAGGCCAATTGATGAGGTTCCAATGCTAATCAAGAAGTATGAATCTTTTGTACCTTGGAAGGCGACCTTTATCGCCGGTTCACGGTATAAGCCAATTGGAACGTTTGAGAGCAAAACGTTAGAGAGAGAAAGGATATCGAGGAATCAATCGGTCAACAAAATACAGGATAAGAAGGAAGAATGTGATCGCTCCAAGCTCCAAAAACTGATCCAACAAGAGCAGTTACATAAGATTCATCGACGAGACCTACCTGACCCACCGAAATGGCATCGAGACTTGGAGACCCATCTTCTAGGTGAGCAATTTGCTCAAGCGAAGAGGGCTCACTTACAGAGCTATATACCAATGAACTCATGGACAACAGTTGACCAATCTATTGCCAAAGGCTCTCAGATCCTTGATTGTATGTGGGTTTGTGTATAAATTAGACAAGCACGGATATCTGGTCAAGTGCAAAGCACGTTTAGTTGTCAGGGGTGATCAGAAAAGATGAGTGAATCTTGAGAAAACGTATGCAGCAACTTTAGCCGCCCGATCATTTTGAACCTTTATGGCAGTTGCTGCTAGATTCGACCTAGAGATCAAGCAATATAATGCAGTAAACGCTTTTATGCATACAATACCAGACCAGAAAGTATTCATGAGAATGCCGCTAGGATATAAGGAGAAAGGAAAGATCTATCAACTGAACAGAGCCTTATATGATTTTAGAACTTCCCCTTATTATGGCAAAAGGAACTAACCACAGCACTTATCGAACTTGGGTTCCAGAGTGTTCCTCATAAACCATATTGCATGATCAAGAATGGCATATCAATCTTCTTCTATGTTGATAATATTGTTCTTGCTTATTAAAAGAATCAAGAACAGGAAGCCCAGCAGGCTATAGCTTCATTCCAATCCAAATATATCATCACTGGAGAGGAAGATTTAGAGTGGTTTCTAGGGATCCGAGTCATAAGAAATCATCTGCAGATATTGACATGACTCAGCCAAGCATCATATATTGACAGAATCGCCAACTTAGCCGACAAGCGAGGACATACCACACTCCAATGGAGAAGAAAGAGCTTTTCCCATACCAGCAAATCGCATCAAAATCCTTAATCCACAAGTTCCAGAGAAAAGCGGGTTCTCTTATATATGCTGCAGTAAGCACAAGAGTCGATATAGCATTTGCAGTATCCCAACTATCAAGATTCTTGACAAATCCCGGTCCTAAGCATCATGACGCCGCGGATCGAGTATTATGCTATCTTCAACAATATTGATCTCGAGCGCTGCAACTGGGGGGTGCAGATATGTTTGGAGTGGCGATTGATGCATCCTTTGGCGGTAACACTCCTGACCGGAAGAGTTCCCAAGCATACGTGATGTATTTATTTGGAGGAGTAACTGGATGGCAGGCCAACAAGCAACGTACAGTTACCACGTCAACTACCGAAGTAGAGCTGTTAGCTCTCTCTCAAGCTGTGAAGGAAGGGAAGTTTGTGATGCGGTTATTGAAGGAAATTGGGGTCCGGTTCGACGAGGACAAACTGACGGTTTGAGTGTGATAATACTCAGACAGTACGACTGGTTAATGAAGAAGCTTTTAAGCTGCAAACCAATCTTCGCCATGTCGATATTCATAACCACTGGTTGAGGCAGGAAGTCAAAGAAAGACTAGTTAATATGCAATATACTCCGACAAAAGAAATGATTGCAAACGGCCTCACCAAGGTTCTGGGAAGAAGTGAATTCGAGGAATTCGTGGAGCAGGTCAATTTGCGAGATATAGCTGAAATTATCGAGGGATCCGAGAAATAGCTCTAAATCGATGGTTATACAGCTATATTAGGGATGGATTGATGGAGAAATAAGGAAGCGGTTGAGCACGGATTTCTTTTGAAGTTATTCCCAGAAAGCAAGTGTCGTCATCTTTCCCGTGGTGCAGATGAGGCGGTGTGTTGGATTAGCTAAGCTGATCCAGATAACGTAATCCACAAGCGAGTTGGCCATACAAGCGAGTTGGCCACTTTTCCCGAAAACGCGCTCTATTATTGATTTCAAATCTCAATTTCTAACCACATACAAATTATATACAAAAGAATTAACTACTAGTACGATTTGGACATCCAGTTATTTTATGTCCTTCAATACCGCAACCACTGCAGCGGAAATGACGCCGTACAGGTGGATGAGAGACTGGGAGCTCAGGCTCGGCCGGAGCAGTAGAAACAGCTTGAGATGCCTCAATCTGACCTTGTACAAGTGCCTGAGCTTCCTCTCTGGTAATTCCATGATCATGGGATATTTGCTTTTTAGATTTTTGGCGTTTTTGCTTCTCCTTCTCATGTGCAGCCCGTAGATCATGGAGTTCCTTCTGTGCAATTGTAAGCTTATTAATACTCATCTCATAAGCCTTTGATGCCCGTGTAAACACTTCACCAATAGCCTCAGATGAACTTCTTGTATGCCGGCTTATTCTCTTCTTTGTTGTAGTCATTTGGCGCTTAAATTGACGTGCGTTTTGAGGGGTTTGCAAGCAGGATGATTGTGTATCACTTGATCGACTTGGAGGGGGTGTTGGAGTCTTCAATCGAACAGTAAGCTGTTGATAAACTCGATCTGGATTGAATGGTACTAATCTAGTTGCTGTAAAGCTATTCCGAACAGTTTGAGCTTTGTATGCCATCGTACGAGCCTTTGGGAATGCAGTAAGAAAGTCAAGTTTATCAATATGGTTGAATCCAAGCCTCATTCGCTGCTCAACAAGCTGTCCATAATGTCGCTTTAAAACAGCAAAACAGCCAACATCAAGAGGCTGTAAAAGATGTGAAGAATGAGGAGGCATACAAACCGGAATAATATTATTCTCAGTGCATGTACGGTCAAATTCAGCAGTTAAATGGCTTCCATGGCCATCAAGAATCAACATCCGATATTTCCCCAATGTACGGCCATCAATAAGAGGGATAAAATGAGTTTTAAGCCATTCTAATCCAATCTTATCTGTCGTCCATCCATTATCGCTAATATTGATTTTCCAGTCGTCTGGAAGATCCTCAAACCAGCCTAGTCGAGTGTATTTCTTTGCCTTAAAAATAATGTACGAAGGCAATGCCCACCCAATCGAATTAACTGCCTCAATTGCAGTTACCCATTCTCGGTCACCAGGCTGTAATAGCTTTGGCCGAGCATATCGATCGCTTCCAGTGATAACCTTTGTAGTCGCACAGAGTCCCATAGCAAAGCCAGTCTCATCAAAATTGTAGATATCTTCTGGCAAGATCCCATACTCTAATATAACCTCTCGTACGCGATCAAAATATTCTTGGATTATTTTTGGATCTTCACATTTGGCGCGTTCATAGTTATATTTCCGTGAGAATTTTGATTCAATCTCTGGGCGACGTTTGACAAGATTGTATACCCAGTTTTCTCCAACATGTTGGTTTCCGCGTTGTGAAAGAAGACAATTAGCCATATCCCGTACAAGAGAGTGTCGAGGAGGTAATCCACGTTTATCTAGATCTAAGATCCATCTAACAAGCGATTCCTCCTCAGATTGAGTTAATTTATGGCCATTGGCGCGTGTTTCAGCTCGATATGCCATGCCATGTAGTCTGTTTTGAAGTGTTGACCGTGAGACATTATAGATCTCTGCTGCTTTTCGTATAGAGTGTATTTTTTCATTTTTTAAATCGTAGATAGCTAACAAGATTCGTCCCTCTTGTTCAACTGAATTTTTTGAATTTTTATTGCGAATTGGCGGCATATTGACGTGTTGAATTGTGTAGAATCAATATAGAGCGCGTTTTCGGGAAAAGTGGCCAACTTGCTTGTGTGGCCAACTCGCTTGTGGATTACGTTAACTAACGTAATCGGACACCCACCCGATCATGACACCCACCCGATCACTTCCGCCCAACCCACATCAACTATCTCTGTACACAAATTTCAAAGCTTCGCCATGCCACCAATTCGTACAGGATATCGGGAAAAGTTGGTGGAACAAGAGGGCAAGATCCTACTTGCTATTTCCGATTTAAAAAATGGCAAAATTCGATCAATTCGTCAAGCCGTACGCATTTACAATGTTCCTTACACAACTCTCCATGACCGACTCAATGGCATTGAATATAAGATTGAAAAACGCGCCAATAGTCATGTATTGACTCAGAACGAAGAAGAATCTCTTCTAAAATGGATTCTTGACCTCGATAAGCGCGGATTACCTCCCCGGCCATCCCTCGTACAAGATATGGCAGATCTTCTTCTTTCTCAAAATGGAAATAAACATGTCAGTGAGAGATGGGTTTATCGATTTGTTGATCGACATCCGGAAGTCAAACTACGATTTTCACGAAGATATAACTACGAGCGAGCAAAATGTGAGGATATTAAGATAATCCGAGAGCATTTTAACCGCGTACAAGAGGTCATCCAAGAATATGGGATCTTATCGGAAGATATATATAATTTTGATGAGACTGGCTTCGCTATGGGTCTCTGTGCTTCTGCAAAAGTTATTACAGGCAGCGATCGATATGGAAGGCCTTATTTATTGCAACCTGGCAATCGCGAGTGGGTTACAGCAATTGAAGCAGTTAATTCCACTGGATGGGCTTTGCCCTCATACGTTATCTTCAAAGCAACAACCTATTATCAACAAGGCTGGTTTGAGACTCTTCCACAAGATTGGAGACTTGATATTAGTAAAAATGGCTGGACAACAGATGAGATTGGAATACGGTGGCTTCAAAAGCACTTTATTCCTCATACGACAAGCCGTACGAAGGGGAGATATCGGATGCTTATTCTTGATGGCCATGGAAGCCATTTGACACCTCAATTTGATCAAATTTGCATGAAAATACATTATACCAGTGTGTATGCCACTCATTCCTCGCACTCTTACAGCCTCTCGATGTGAGTTGTTTTGCTGTTCTAAACGACAATATGGACGGCTTGTTGAGCAACGTGTACGGCTTGGGTTCAATCATATTGATAAATATGCTTTCTTACGGCTTTTCCAGAGGCTCGTGCAATGGCATATAAAGCTGAAAATGTTCAGAATGGCTTCAAAGCTACTGGATTAGTGCCATATAATCCAGATCATGTTTATGAAAAGCTTACAGTTCAACTTCGGACCCCGACACCCCCTCCTAGTCGATCAAGTAATTCACAATCTTCTTGCCAGCAAACACCTCAAAATCCACGTCAATTCAACCGTCAGACGGCAACAATAAAGAAGCGTATTAATGATCGTACAATAGGTCCATTTGAGGTGGTCGATCAAGCGATAAACCGGCTGTCCAAAGCATACGAAATGAGCAGGAATGAGCTTCTGATTATACAGAAAGAGGTGCATGATTTACGAGCCGCAAATGAGAAGGAAAAGAAAAAACGTAAAAGGTCTAGAGCTCAGATATCTCATGAAGGATCTCTTACAGCGCAGGAAGCTCAGGAGCTAATAGGCAGTCGGAATGAGGCATCTCAACCTATCCCGACCGCACCAGTCGAATCCGAACCCCAAACCTCTCAACCACGCCTACGAGCGCCACCGAAGTGCAGTGGGTGTGGAATTATCGGGCATAAAATTAATCGATGTCCAAATCGTACTACTAGTTAAAATATTGTATTTATTTTGTATGTGGGTGAGAAATTCAAGTTTGAAATTCGTATAGAGCGCGTTTTCCGGAGAAAGTGATCGGGTGGGTGTCCGATTACGTTAATCATAGCGAGCCACACACTTAAGAGAAGGATCCACCGAATAGGGGGTGAAAGACGTCTCCCACCTTTACTGTACTTAGAAGAGAAGAAGAATGACAACAGGGATCAAGGATTCCAGATATCTTTGCATACATAATTTGATACGTTGAGATATACCGTAAAGGTTGTTACGTACAATCCAACAGGACGGTTTGTGGGCACGTTACGTCCTCAGGCCTGTACGTACGATTCGAAGTCGCTGTCACGAGACTGTAACTGGGAGAATTTTACGCGATATCGCTTCATGTCGTCGTAGGTGGTGTAGGGCAGCATTGAGGCATGGGCCCGAAAAGAGGTAAAAAGGGCACTCCGTGGCCAGAGTCATGGTTCCCAGACGACCCTGATATACGCGCATACGCGCATACGCAGCCGCGGCTATCAAAGACACTGAGGCCTTGAAAAAGCATCAAGAACCATGGAGATTAGCATGCCACGTGAGATATCAACAGCTCGACGGGTGAAGGATACACCCTCAAATGAACAACTGGCCCAGCGCCTCGCGCACGTTGAATTGCACATTAAAAAGACGCAGAAAGAGGTCTCTCAGCCCTCTCGAGAGATTGTTACAACAAAAAACAACACCAACCGTCTGGTGGAGGCGATATGCTGCTCTACATCCCCTACACCCCCTACGATGACATGAAGCGACATTGCGAAAAATTCTCCCAGTTACAGTCTCGTGACAGCGACTTCCGAATCGTACGTACAGGCCTGAGGACGTAACGTGCCCACAAACCCTCCTACGGTCCCTAGCGTGGGATTGAGCAGTGGAGGAAGCTCACTATTGACACCCTATCCAACCAGGGGGACCTAGAGGTTTATCTAGAACGTACCGACTCAGGAATCGTCAACGCGATACGTCGATTCTCCGATCAGGTGGTTGAGAAGGCAAATCTCGCAATACACAGCATCCAAGACACTACAATCGCACACCGACAAGTCGCAGCAGCCCGCATACTACCTAGTGGCGATATTATGCTCTTACTAGGCACGGTGGACGATGTGAACCAACTAACACGCAAGGACAACTGGATCAAGGCCTCCAGAGCAGAAACACACATACAAAAATGTACCTAGGGTGTCGTCATACGCGATATTGCTACTACCACTATTAACCCTAAACAGCCTCAATTCAGAACCACTCTTATTTCAGAGAACGCCCCAGTATTTACATAGCTCCCAGTCCCCATGAATACCACATACACGGGCGGGCTTCTTAGCAATCATAAGACCAAAGAACAGAAACTTACACAAGCCTATCTGGTAATTGTATTTGACGACGAGAGGTTTGTCAACTTCGCAATTCGGCGCAGCCTTATCATCAAAGGCAGACAACATAACGTCTCGATATTCAACAAGGCTGTTAATCCCCAGCAATGCTTCAAGTGCCAGATGTATTAAGTATATCGCCAGGGTCAGCACCAGACCTATTGCGCGTACTGCGCTGGATCTCATAATATGGGGGATTGTTCTACTCTAAAGAATAAAGAATACGCTAAATGTGCCAATTACACCGCAGAGAATGTCCATATCAAAGACCCAGCCAAGAAACTCAATACGAAACACTTCGCGTACGCGAGGGAGTGCCCGATACGGGCCATGTGCCTCGCGGAAGCGTATCAATAATACTCATATAGCCCACAATAGCCTTTCGTGGAAAGTCACCTTCTCGTGGTGAGGAACATCAGTAAGCTGGATTGCATGGTCTAGCCGAAGCTGAGGACTTTCCAAGCCGAAACTACGGTGGAAAAACTCTTATCGTTGGAATGACCGGGCAGGAGAGCTTTGAAAGGACACGTCTACAATTGCAACTACGTGGACGAGCCTTCTAATCGTTCTACCTACCTGCCATTAATCGATACTCACCGGATTTTGCTAACGGTAACTCACCTGCCCTACCGGTTCGGCCACATTTCGATTCGTCAGTCCTTCGTCTGCTATCCGGAGTTGTCGTCAGCGAGGCAGTCAGCTACTTCGAGTGCTACTAAGGGAAGGGGTCCACAAGACTACACCGAGAATGGATGCGTGGAAAATCCGGTTTCTAAGAGGGATGGGTTATTGCTTTCGAAGAATATGATTGTATCTGCAATTGAGGGTGCCTCAATAGCCTTGATAGCCTCCTCGGGTGTCGTCCATCCTCACCTCTTGTGGCTCCCACCACGGGGGCACTATAAAGGGATAGATTGTCTCAATTCGTTGGCTGGTGTCACGTCTGAGTTTGCAGTTGACAGCCGTTTCCAGCCGATGGTAGTTATCTATTACAGTACACCTACCAAGGCATTTTACATATAGAATATGAGGACCTGTGAAATCGACACTGAAAATAACCGCTACTGAGGCTTCTTACGGCGTCAATTCCACCTCGTAACTCCTGGGGGAAGCCGCCGCTTTAACTAAGGTTTAGGAAAAAGTACAATTCATTAGTAGTACCATAACTGATGTAGCAACGGAGGAAGAGATGCATAGTTTAGCTTTGTGACTGAAAGAGGTAAAAGGAATAATAGAAAAATATTATAGGTAAAGCAAATAAGAGCTCCATATATCTCATCAACTCTTAATTGACTAAGACAGTAGGGCCCATCAGACAGTTATTTCTGTAATCCAACATCATTAATTGGGAATAATCATTCTCAAAGACAGCGCGCCAGAGTTTCGGTTCTGTATGCTCTGTAATGATGTCAGCAGTTTGACATCATCAAGGATGTAAAACAAAGTGTAAGATGAGACTACATACCACTACTGGGTGAAGATGTGGCACAGTCAATTATTATCCAATCCTCGAGCATGCCAGCTTCAATCCATGGATAATACCGACCGCCCTTCTTGAATCGATTGCAATGTTCATCCACATTACTGTGTTCCCTGAGCAGCTCAATTCCCCATCGCTTTTGCGGAATCCAGAAGTCGACTCGGCCACCACCCTCGCGGAACCATTCACTGGATATTGGCACATCTCGACCTACTACGGTGTTGAAAGCCCTGTAGAATTCATCCTGATACTGCGCCTCCACTGGTCGAAGTTTTGCCGCAGTTGACAATTTGCCTTGCACACAATGTCTAAGATTTTTTGGCGAGAAGTCCTTAAGGACTTTCATACATAAGCTTTGAATCGTAGGAAATGTCTCGTCTGGAAACTTCGCTGGTGCCTTAGCAATCAGGTACTCAACGTATCTAGACAAATCGGTATAGAACAAAAAAAACATCAAAACTCAGGAAGTAGTACTTCTCATGTAAGCGAGATGGTAGAACACCAACACTATTTTGCTGCTCAGTGTCATCCACTAGAGTTGCTCTGTGGATCCAGCCATTTTCATAACAGCATCTTATACCGCAAAGTGATTCGTCAAATAGAACGTATCCATCCTCCAGGACTTTTCGGATAGTGTTTGCAGCTTCCGTTGTAAATCTGTTCCCAAAAGGAAAAGACCGAGAAACAACGGTTCCCCTAAGACGACTGAAGACTTCTTTATCATCCCTCAAGGCTTGAATCACGATATCCTCTGTTATAGTAGGAATAACTCTATGCTTAACCTCGGAGCGGTACAACTAAAAACCAGTTAGACCTCCTCTTTCTGATTGAGGAGTACAGCATGCTAGTAATAGCATTGACTGTGAAACCCATAGAACAATCAGCGATGCAGATTTCATACATACCTCGAAGATATAGGACACTATGGACTTCACAGCTCCGGGATGGCCATTTGTGAGACTGAATATATAGTTTCGTGCATCTCTGTCAATAGTGTACTTTTCAACGACGTCACAAGAGCACAACCTCGTCACAACCACTTCAAACTCGTCTTTGTTGTAGAATAGGCCTATTGGTGGCGAACCTAGCTCAGTTGATGGTGTTAATGAGATGCGTTGTGTAGGAGCGAAATCTACAGGCGTCCCATGATCTCTCCTGTTGTATGGCATGCCTGTTGATGGGCTGCCGTATGAACAGAAAAGGCACATCTTCACCTTGTATCCAATTCCTCCACGGATGTCTTTAATAATTTGGTTCCATAATGCAGTGTCTCCATAAGATGTTTGTGCTTCATCGATGATGATCACATTGCCGTTAGCGAAAAAATCTTCTGCCCTTTGTATACTTGGATACTTATGTCTAAGGTTCCGAGCGAAATTCATCCAAGGACTCTCGCCGTCAAGACAATCAAGATTTTGTTGCCATATCCCAAGCCAAAAAACTGCTCTTCCATTCCGGCGATAATAGTCCCTTAATAGAAGCGAGAGTGTTGACTTTCCACTTGCTGGGGTACCACGTACATGGACGATGTTTTGTGAATCAATGACTTCCGCAAGTTTTGATACCGTTTCATCTCGCGTGCATATCATTTGACATGGTTCAAGTCTGGGAGAATTTGACACTGGCATCAGCGTCAGTTGTGACCATGACATGATAGCTCAACATGTGGGATCGTACCTTGGGTAGCGATAGAATGCTGTTGCTCTTCTGGTTGTATAACAATAATATCAATGTCTGGATCATTGGATCGAGGGAAGTCGGATAAGATTCGTTTGCGAGGATGGAGATGTACAAGGTTCTCCCTCGTAGGAATATTCTTGACTGGGCTGGAAGGGCTGTAGAGATTGAGTTCCCAGGAGGCAACCTGAGCAAGCTTGGGTTGGCTTTTTACCCAGATTTTCTCTTTAGCATCGGCGATAGAGTCAACATTGATATTGCAGTGTATGGGAAACATATTATCAATATTGTCAGAGAACGCACACCACAATCTGCGCTGAGACGGTTCAGCCATTGTTGGAGAGGATCGGTTTGGGCGAAAAACCCAGGAGAAAAGATTGGCAGCCATCGTGGACATTCATGAGAGCACTGGGATGATGCAGCAATTGAGGAAGGTGCATCTGTTGTTGCGATGAAAGGTAATATGGAGGTATATAAAATCACATGACGTCAAATAGTGTCGGACACTCAGAGGCTCAACTGTTGGAACACTATTCCCATTTGGGTCTGGGCCGTAGCTTAATCAGTTATAAATGAGATTGTCCGACCCAACGCCATCAACATGAATCCGTTGTAGGCACAAAAGCGGGAGTCTGTAACCAAGATAGGTCTCTAGCCATGTTAAGCCAGGGTCAGGCTAACTAAAACTGGTGATCTAGCAACGCGGAACTATATGGAGAGGTATAGGTTACAAGACTCTAAAGCGTGCACTTCAACCAATCACCTCGATCCCATGAACTCAAATTCACGCAATTCGGCTAGTTACGGGCCTGAGGCAGCAAATTCTTCTTTCCAATTCCGAATTCAGTCAATTGCACTCCTAAGTCTCTGCAGTCGCATGCCACAGTCAGCTAAAAAAAAAAAAAGGTAGATCTTGCAAGATGATCACACGGTTTCTCCAGCTAGTCCTAGATGTCTCAGAATGTCACCCTGCTTCCATCGCCAACTCATGCGGATGGGGCGAATGAAACTGGGCAGTAGGTACGATGCGAGCCGAGGGCGCATTAGTAATTTCCGGTAGAAATAGGTGAGAGGGCTGCAACTTTAACTTAAAAGAGAGCGCGACTGTACGAGAGACATAGAGGGAAAATAAAGAAGTGGAAGGACTGAAGATTAGAACAGCGAGGGCATGGGCTGTTATATTTGACGGGCAGCTGGGTAGTGATGACCATACGGCGTACCCGGGGACTATCTAGTATCATGGTCTAAAACAGGTAACACTAACGGAATGCGGAAATTCACAGATCCTCCCTTTACAAACAAAACAATCAAACCCATCCACCAACCTCTCAGCAACTTGAAGATTCAATAACGCAAGCAAGTGTCTTCGACTGCATACTTCTTCAATCTCCCTCCATCATCACTCGACTCATTCGGATCACCAAAATGAGTCTCATCGACACCCGAAACCACATCCAAGGAGGATATTCTCAGTACCATTGAACGCCTGAAAAAAGGCATTTAGAAGGGGTTTAATCAAGGAAGATCGAATTTAGAACTGCGTTAGCTACATCTGGGATGAGTTAATGAAACACTCTAGGGAATAATCTTATTCAGATTCGTACACTCTAGAAGGAAGTGCCGCTAAAGAACGAACAACTAAAGGCCTTGATGAACACTACTTAGGCAATCTCTATCCGTTTAGACATCTAGTCAAGGAATATCGACTCAATAAAGCTCAGGAGGAGCGGGACCAGGTTTTCAAGGAAGATATGGAGTATCGAGGAGAGATGGTATATCAAGCTTGTCTTGCTAGACAAGAGCAATATCAAACAGCTCATACTAGAGCAGGAGAGACAGATGCCTAAGTCTATCATCGGAAAAAAAATTCTGTGACTAAGAAAGAGAAAAGGACTATCACTCAACCTTCTTAGTGGGTCTAAATATCCTTAAGGGATCCCAGAGGGTCAGGGAAACCCTTATGTGAGTACTTTTTAGAATCCATTGATGTTTTTTACGCATTAATGTTAAGTTCTAGAAACCATGCAATGTTACTGTAACTATTCCATTCCCCGATCTTAGACAAGCCATAGGACAGCTCATCGACCGACTATACGCAATCAACAATCCCTGCTCAGATCTCCGCCATATACCTTACAAACGAATTCTCACCAGGCGAGAGAGAATAAGGGTATGATCGAGTATCTGTACTCCTTCATGGACGGGGACATTAAATCATTACAAAATCAGAAAGTCACATTTCAGCAGTGAGTTGGCTTCCTTCATACCAACGGTTGATGTGCTATTTGTGGGTAGCTGATACCATGAAGATTAAAAAGAATCGCGAGTGGTCAGTCAAAAAGAAATAACGATTGGCCTTATAACAGTGGCTACGCCGATATTGCGTTGGATATCTAGATCGCGTGAAAGATCAGCGAGTTTATATTGGTTAAGCCTCCGACCTGTTAATATGCTTTGGAGATCATCTAAGAGGCGCTGTGAGTTCTACTCCAACGACTCTACATTGCTCTGTTCCCTGGAAACGGTTTGGATAGAGATCCATGAACTCCTTACGACTTTGGACACTACCCAGTCCTGATTCCGATGATGAGGAGAATACATGCATTTTCGCAAATATTCTCGATATGGTATTTGCTCGAGCATTTCAATCATTGCCTCCGGAATCTCTACAGGATTTCTTTCTGAGGTAATGGATCAACCTTTGCAGGATTCACAGGAACTGGCACAAATCAAAGCCCTAGTGACTGAGTAAGAGACTGAGCTTCTGTCGCCTAATAGCCAAGAAGATGTGATAGAGCTCAGGGCAGAAGACATCCACATACTGTGTGACAATTCTCTAGATCAGATAGTCGAAATCAATGACGAGAGAGATTTAGAAGAAGGGCTCGAGATTGTTATATCAGGGTAGGAGATACTCGGTTCTATATATGAAGAAGCCTTGCCCTTGAGGAAAATCCAAGCAAATGATCACAGCACCGTTACTAGTACAGTCAGGGAAGTGCTATCATCGACACTGGTACGAAAAAAAGAGCGGCTTCTTTATGACAATGAACTAGCAGCAAAATTTACATTTAGTAAAGGGAACGTTTTTTGTGAGGAACCCTAGACCCAAAGCTGCTTTTAAAGCTGACACGCTCATGCATTCGGTCTCTTCAAAGACGTGTTTTGTCAATGTCAATTAAAAGAGTATGTTACTACTTTAGGACTACCTCAGTATACCGATAAGAAGGCCCAGTCACAGCAGACAGAACTTTGGTAAAGGCAATGACCAAATAAACCAGAGAGATGGAGGAGATAAGAATAAGGTGAAAGGAGAAGATGAAGAAAAAAAGTATACGAGAATACTAGAAAAAATTTTAGTAGGCCCAAAGCGCGAATCGAACACGCAACCTCACCCATAAGTGGCTCCCAAAGGGCGAATCATACCATTAGACCATTTGGGCTCTGTTGAAATTTTATTCCTCTGCTGTGTCCTATGAGCTAATATTGAGTATCATCAATAAAGATCATTGTTCCCATCTGCTCCACTACCAAATCATATTCTGTTCGCTATCAGTGAATTTTCAGAGCACACCTAGCACTCTCAATCAAAGTTTTCTCTATGCAAACAATTCCAACTTTCACGTCAAATCACACATATCTCCTTATAATATATATCTACTCATCATGCGGACTGCTCCAAATATCATAATCACTGGTACTCCTGGTGTGGGCAAGACAATCCACAGTGAACAAGTTGCCCAGGACACTGGTTTGCAGCATTTGTCGATAAATGACATTGCCAAGCAGCGCGATTGCTACGATGGTTATGATGAGGAGCGGCAAAGTTGGATAATTGACGAAGATAAGGTGTGTCGCCTTTTTTTATCTCTCGTCTCATGCTAACGATCTTTCTCTACATAGCTACTAGATGCTATTGAAGACGATGTGACCAAGGGTGGATATATAATCGATTGGCATGCGTGTGATCTATTTCCCAAATCCTGGATAGATTTGGTGGTTGTTTTGCGTTGTCCTTCTACGGCTGTTTATTACGATCGATTATCCTCGAGGTGCGTCCGAATGTTTTGAGAAGTGTGTCCGTATTCTGACGATATTTGCTATACACAGAGGATATCCCGAATCAAAGGTGGACGAAAACATGGACGCTGAAATTTTCGGATTACTACTCGAAGAAGCGAAAGAGGCCTATGACGAGGAAATTGTCATTGAATTAACGAGCGAGAACAGCGATGAGATTGAGAGCAATTGTGCTAGGATATCTGCTTGGGTAGAAGCATGGAAGAAATCTCATTCGGAAGAAGCTACGGACGCCTGAAGAACATGCAGGGCCTTTGTCGTAGGATATGAGAGGCGATACTCCATCTTTTCACGCCTCATTTTCAATCAGCCATGCCTTCAACTTCATGAGGGCTTTATAACGGTGGGAGATCTTGTTCTGAGCGATGATATCAACAAGGCTACTCTTGTCTTCGAATTATCGCCTGCCTCACTCACCTTTTCTTCCTTGTCCATCTCCGCATAGGTCTTGCCTTCGTACTCGAATATGGGATCCCAGCCTATGTATGAACAGAAATCAGCCGGCCCTATCACCAAGACAATCGTGTATGCAGAGCAGATGAAAGGTTAAGTATCATCATGAATGAGTGTCAGACATACCAAAGTTTGGCGGTCCTCGAGCCGGTACAATTTTGCCCTACACCAGAATCCTCAATGTCAGGAACCCAAATCAGTCTGAAATGAAGCCGTATACGCAGGAGAGACATACCAAGGTCCTTCCTTGGAAGATAAGGGGTTCTTCACCAGGTCCATTCGAGAATGCAAATGTACATACCGCCTCGGCGGAACGGTCGTCAAAAGAGTCGAGCATTTTGTTAAGACCTTCATGCCCTAAAGCTTCGAGAAATGATTTACTGTGTGCATCGAGTTGGCCATTTGTTAGTGGATTTTCTTCTCAATCTGTCGTAAGATGGGGGAGTAAGCTGTGGTGGTGACATACATGTATGGGCCTGGAAGGCCTTTATAGGCGTGAAATTCGAGTGCAGTGTCCTCTGTCAACACTGGGCCTCCGACCTATAAGTAAAGTAAGCGATCTATATGTCGATGCGAAGATACACAGCAACAGATGATCATATTGTCAACGTGTATATACACCATGCGTACATAGCACATGTTTCTAAGACGGTTCTCAACAAGCAAACCTGTCAAGATCGAGCGTACATACCGCATCAGCAGCCCTCCGGCATTTCTCCTTTGCAATCTCTTCAATAGTCCCCTGTATCTCGGGAACATCGACGGATTTGTTATCAACGACAACTGCATCGCCCAGTATAGCGCGCACCTCGCTGAGTTTGTTTTTGTTGCCAGTTATGAAGTTGAGGGTCTTCATTTTGGCTGTTTGTAGGTGTTATTGGATTTACCAATTTTAGTTGTGTATAGTGTAGCTCGAAACGTGACTGTTGGTTGTTGATATATCACAGAGGGGAGGTGGAATCTTTTTTATCGATTGCGGCGGAGAAATTTACAGTGGGTCCGATATAACTCATCAAATACCCCAGATACAAATAAATATTGTATAAAGTCCAAATCATTAAGATCTTGGTCCATACATATCTTTCAAGATAGTACGTTGAAATAATGCTCTAATCAAGAAGAAAAGAACAATACAATACACCAACCCGGTGCTCTCCAATATCACATCACCCACCCACACACACATGATCGGACACATATATAGTCTCATGTATCCAACAAGAACTGCAATTCGTCTCTAGAAAACAGAATCTGAGAAAATCGGAGAATAGAAAAGCGTGAACAACATTTTTGTTATACTTACATGCCAGAAGATCGAAGAAGAAGAAAATGTTGGCAAAGGGGGGAAGAGAGAATAAAGCAAAGTCGTAAACTGGTCATAGAGCGAGCTTTCAAATGGAAAAAGAGGCTAATACTCAGTATCTGTCGTTGCACCGTTCTCTGTGGCGTCCATCTTGTCTTGTTGTGCCATTGCTTGAGCAGAGACTATCTCTGCGAGACGTTTTAGTCGAGGCGTTTGCAGCCCTGTGTCAGTTCGGTCAGTAAAGCAGAAAGGACAATAAAAGGGTTACGCACATGAGGGTGTGTAAGTTTCCAAAGCCGTGATTACTCGCGGCTCGGCAATTTCATATGGTCCGCTGTCATCCATGTCCACTGCAGTGAGAAGAAGGACATCACTCTTCTCAGTTACACGAGATGCGACAGCCTTCATGATCTCTCCGTTGATCGGTTGCTCGTAATCCGCCACGAGATACTGGTTCAGGAGCTTCTGAATTTGAGTAGGCGAAAGCCTGATTGAAGATTAGTATCGTGCCAAGTTGAATCGAACAAGAAGCGAACTTACATCCAGCAGATATCTTGAATGATCTCAATATCATTCAAAGTAGCCTTCTTAAGCTGAAGAAGCTTGGTCGCTTGCTGTTCAATAAAGTTAGTGAAATATTTTATGTATCTTGGAACTTTTAGGCATACCATTAGATGTTCCAACTGAAGAGTGCCCTCCGGCATGTCATGACTCTTGCACCATTCCTCGATACGAGTGATGTTGTAGTTGATTTGGAGACCGCGCTTCCAAGAAAGGAAATTTCGTCGCATGAGCAAATCGTTGAAAGCAGTGACACCCACAAGTCGCAAAAGTTCTGTAATGGTCTGATTGATGATAGAGTCTTCGAGATAGTAAGCCTTCATTGCCTTGAAAACATTGTTCAAGAGACTGAGAAGGTTGTCCATGCTGTAAGCGGGGGAGTTGTTCGATGGCAAGAGCTTGCCCAAGAATCGGTTCGTTTCACTGGTAACAAATCCAGGGAGAGATTGAGATTCAATAATAGCCGGCACAATCATTTTATACAGTTTTTTCTTGAGGACTTTCATCCATGTGTGGTAAATGTTGAATTCAAGACTCTCAAGATCGTGCTTGACGATCTCCAAAAGACGGTCATACTCATAGTTGTCGGTCTTCTGAGCCTCATACCAATCTTCCGCCAAGAATACAAACGAGAGCATCTCGTGAACATTCGAAAGCCAGAAAGCGCCAGGGTTGACGGCTTCCTCACCGTCGTGTTGCATGACTTCCTGTTGAATGGACTGCATGACGTTCGCCAGGAAACGCTCCGACTCCTTAACAAACCCGTTGTTCCACATTTCAGATGTGACGAGATTAATAAGGTAAGAAGGAAATAGGACTTCCTTCTCGGTGGGCGGAGGACTCGCTCCAGGGGCTGGGATTTTCAGATTGCGAATGAGACCCATGGTGACTTCTTCGTTCAACTCCTCTTCTGCCGATAGCAGATTCTCTAGCTCGCTTTCAATAGAGTCAACGCTAGGAGAGAAGCTTGCTCCCGACACAGTCTGGCGCGCCATGGCGGAGTTGGGAATCGCCATAGATACTGGACGAGGGTTATACGCGCCACTGAACCGGTCTGTCTCTATTTTCTCGGCCCCAGCACTCCGGCGCTTGGGCTTGGACTTCTTGGACGATACAAGGTTGATGAGACCATTCATAGGTGTCTGCGAAATAGTGCTATTTTGCAGGTCCCCAGAAACGCCGTTGACAGGGGCGGACTTCCTTGCGAGTTCTAGTTGCTCTTGAAGCTCTGTCAACTGACTTCGTAGAGAAGAGTTTTCATCCTCGTGAATTGAGTTGATTTCCCTCAATTTCTTGAGCTCAAGATCAGCGACACGAATTGATTCGCGTGACGTCCTCTCCTCTTCTTGCAGACGCTTGATCGTAGATAAGGCTTCAGTGTGATTTTGCTGAAGCTTGGCCATCTCCTCCTCCATGGCTGAAAGACGAGCAGCTGTGATTCCGGCTTGATTGGCTTCCGCTTGAAGTTCCTTAGAGCGTGTCTCCAAGGCATTATGACGGCTACGCCAGGATTTGAGCTGATTCTCGTAATTCTCCAGCTGGCCTACAAGTGTCTTGTTTTCACGTTTCAAAGTGCCCAGTGACTGGGTCAGTTCGACAACCTTATTCTCAAGCTTGTAGGATATCTGCTTGAGATCACGAGCTTCTTCACGCAGTTTTTTATAATCTCGCCGGGCTTTCTTTCCCCTCCACAGGTTCTGGATAATGATAACCTTTCGGCGGTACTGTCTCCAATCACGCAGCTGTCTCCAAGAGCGCCATGCACGCTGGATCTTCTTCGCTGCATCGCCGAGAATAGTGTCCATAATGTTCCGTCGTCGAATAAAACCCTTGGCAATAGACTCGAAGAGAATGATATTGCCCCGGATTTCGTTGTACGCCTTTCGTTGTTTCTGACCTCTCCATACTCTTTGAATTGTGGTCGCTGCTTTGATCTGACGAATCTCATCGGCACGTTGTCTCGCTAAGAAACCTCGAATGACTGATTGTGTTGTCAAGATAGATTCGCGAGCCTCCAAATAGCGACGTCTATAATACTTGCACTTGAGGTTCTTCTGGATCATAATGGCACACTCATTAAGTCTGGAAGTTCTCAAGTTTTCCAAAAAGGCAAGCATACCGGCCCGGAAAAAGATCTTGGTCAGACCAAGCTGGTACTTGTCCTGTTTTTGTTGGCTTATATCTCCGAGTGCCTTCCGCAATATTGCATGACACATTTCTTTGATTTCAGAGGTCCATTGAGAAGAATGGCAGAGCATATAGTATCGGAGCGCAAACTCTTCGTAGGTCCATCGCGTGGGATAGCCGGCAGTACTGATTCGCACGGTTTCAAGGACACCACAGGCTCGAAGTTGGCTCAGAACCATGGGACCCTCGAACTTCCAGGCTTCCTTGGCTTCGTTCGGCTTGATACAGCGGATATAGTGGACATCTGTGGAATTGATTGTATTCATGAGTTCAATAAGGGATGACTTGAAGATTCCTCCCAATGTCGGTTTCCTGTTCACTGCGACACCAACACGTCGGCCAGGAGCAGTAACAGGCTTGGAAGCAATCGATGCGGAATCCTTCTCGCGGACGACAGAGGCAGCCTCAAGAACTTCTTTCACAAAAGAATTGGTAGAATTTCTCAGGATCTCCATATGCTCGTCAGGCACGGTATCTCTGTTCTTCTCAATGAAACCCTCCGATTCATAGGTGACATCGATAGCATAATGGCAGACGGTGAACGCGGACTTTCCAAACCGAGGTTTCTTGTAGAACTTTTGCTTATCCGCTGCGAAGTTGTGGTGAAGTTTGGTCACGAATTGATCATCAGAACCCATTGGTAGACGAGACTCCTCGTCAAGAAGAGAAAGAATACCAAGCTTGCCTTCGATCAAGTCGATACAGGGTTGATTGTCGGAAAAATCGATAAAAGTCCAGTCGATCTGCTCACGCACGTACTCCTCCTGTTCCAATTTGAAGACGTGTTGATTGAATTCTTGCTGCAACTTCTCGTTTGCATAGTTGATGCAGAACTGTTCAAAAGAGTTCTTTGCGAAATGTTCAAAACCGTAGATATCCAAAACACCAATGAAGGATTTTACTTGGCTCATGACTTCGTCAGTGGCTAGAGCTCGGTTGATCTTGTCGACTAGCCAATCGAACAGACTCGAGTATATGAATTTAGCCACGGAGTCTCGCACAACCACGGCTTGTTGTTGGGTGAGATTGGACGTAATCTTCTCACCACGGGTGATGAGCTGTTTCTTCACAATCCATTTTGCGAACTCGTTGACGTCAATGCCCAACATCTCACAAGCCCGCACGAGAGATGGTTCAGTTGGGGATAGTGTGGAATCAGTACGGGTTGCGGTGATTTTCACATTTCCCAAATGAAGAAGAGACGCGAGAATCTTGAATATAGAGGTTTGAGTCTCCTCCGGAACACCAATAGTGGTCAATGATTTCTTGGTAGCCTCGAATTCGGCCCTGTCATCAACACCGTCGATTGTAGGCGTAGATCCTTGGTTCAGGTAATCAAAGTCTTCCACGGAAGTAAGTCCGAGCGTCTCACGCTCAGTGTCTGTGGCACCAACGACTAGTTGATAGAATATATGGTAATTTCTTTCCTTCAGTGGCTGAAAAACAAGCCTCGAGCGTTCCAGCAGGTAGGTTCGTATCTTGGCACCAATAATATTGGTCTTGTCATCAAACATGATCTCAATGTATTTTCCAAATCGCGACGAATTGTCGTTTCTCGTAGTCTTTGCGTTACCGAAGGCTTCCATAACGGGGTTTGTAGCCAAAATCTGTTCCTCAGTCTTACTGATTGTCTCTGAGCGACCTGTCGTGAACCGGCCAGGCTGGTCTGAGAAGTCTCTCGTAGCAAAGTATCTCATGATATACTTGGCACTAACAGTCTTTCCAGCTCCAGACTCGCCGGATACAACGATGGTCTGGTTCTTTCCGTCCCGCAACATATCCCTGTAACATGTGGTTAATGGGAGATCGAACACCGTATGTAAGATGTGGAAGTCTTACGCAAAAGCTTCTTCGGCAATAGCAAAGAGATGCGGAGCCTGGGAAGCACGTTGCTTTCCAGCATAAACTTGAACCATCTGAGGAACATAGAGCGAGTCCACGCGGGCAAAGGGATTTGTCGCGATTAACACAATACCGCTGTACGTATAGATTTCTTTCTGTGAGTATCGCAACTTGATAGCTTGCAGAACTACAAAGGAGTCAGCGACGGCTATATCAACTTCCTTCCAAATTCCTTACCGGCAGGCTCATTGAGATGTGATAGATTCGTAAGATCCTCGCTCGCCTCGAGCATCGCCGGGTTCATCAAAGGTGGCAGCGACGGGTTATTCGGTACTTGCAACTCTGCTACAGTTGTCTCGACGGTTTTGGACTGATCGTCAATCCAGTCAGCGCATTTTCATCTGCCTCAAAGCAAGGACAATGATGACAAACCTCTCCGTTCTCCAACAAGAAGACAAGCGTCACTTTGTCCCCATCGACATTCTTCTCCTTGACCTCCGAAGCAACCCAGCCCTCCGTCGGGTCGGGCTGCCACGCAGCAGTCCCAACCTCATAGTTATTGGCCATGGTATATCAAGTATGGTTATAAGGGCCGGATGTGGTTGTGGACAATGGACACAGAAACGAAACCGACAGAAAGTCACAAGTCTGGTGTGTGAGCCGGCATCTAGGACCGGAAATGCAAGCGCAGGCGGAGATGAGCGTAAAGGGACAGATAGGCTGACGTCGGTCACGGCAAGCTCGATGATACGGGGGATAAGGAAAGGAAAAAAGGAAAAGCAGAAAGCTAGTCTGCCTTGATAAAAGACATAGAGGAAGTGTATAGAAGACGCAAATTCTAGTTGCCAGCTGGATTAGTGACAGTCAGAGTAATAAAGAATAATATTTGGAGATAGAAACGAAGGCTGGGCTAAAGCTGGGCCACTAGCGAGCCGCGGCGGCGCAACCCCTGAGCCTAAGGATCAAAGCTTCACTTCACCCCATTTACTTGACTACATTCAATCCACACACCAGCTCGCGCGGCTTCTCCTATTCTGACGATTAATTATTTCTTTTGTTGATGTACTGTCTTGTATTTTCCCATAGTTTATGTGATCTTACACCCTTCGTTCAGGCCCGATTTCTTTGATCTCAATGTAAGATAAAACGCTTGCCTGGAAGAAACATTTATACGACTGACTGGTTTCTACAGGAGAAGTATCCTTGATCGATCACGTTGCCTAGTATGTCTAGAAATCCCGGAAAAATAAATGACGAGTAAACTGAATATTATTTGGAGCAATAGTCGGGCGCATGGCGAGTTCATCCCTCGTCTCGCAGGTCCATTACGTTAATGTATAGCTTGCGGTCCAAAGATGTAACTTGATTATGAGCCATTTTAAAAGTGTGAAAAGTGTATGACTAGGTAACAACACACAAAGGATTAAGAAAAACACGGGGGAGGAAAAGAAAATGATGAGATGAAAACGAAATCACCCTAACTCCGCCGATTCTGATCGATCACCTGATGGTTTCCGAAGAAATGATGCGGCCTTCCTTTCTCTAGGAGGCGTCCCTGTCGATAAAGCGCTCCGGTATTTTTTCTATTGACAGAAGCGAGCTTGGGTTGAAGATGAGCAGGTATTATATGTATTATGCTTTGGCTGAGGTGCACGGGGGGAAATCGTCATGACAAAAACTGGATAAACTTCCTTGGACGATGTCAAACAACAACCCAAGGACATTGAAGTTCATAAGTTACAGGAACTTCAGCTCGTTTTGCACTCTGCAGCTTCCTTTTTGGGCTTCGAGGTTCCATCCTGTCAGGGTTAATTAGTAAAACAGCGCCAATACGTGTAAAAAGGTGGTGGCTGATTGCAACGCAACATACCTCCTCGTCAGACTCCTCGTCACCGTTATCGGACCGTCGATCATCATCTTCATCATCTTCATCGTCCTCGTCGTCGAACTCAAACTCTCCTTCGTCATCCATTTCCTCTCCAAGTTCCTCAAATTGAAGAGCCTCACCAGTGAACCAGTCAATGGCACGGGGAATCAACTTCTCCTTGATATCTTCACCGAGTTGGTAGTCGAGCTCCAGTCGTTCCTCAATATCACTGGTGGCGTCATCTTCATCGGCAGGGGGCTTAGGTGGAGAGAAGAAGTTGAAGAAAGATTCTGTAGGCACTGTGACTTTAACCACACGGGTCTGTTTTGTGCCTATATTCAAGCAAACGTAGATTAGAGCAATGCATATAAATTATCAATTTGCGAGTGACTTACTCCTGTTTCGCTGCTTCTTGCTTTCTACACGAACAGTAAGGTTCTTGTCTGCTTTCCAATCGATCTTGTCACCCTCGGCATGGTCGTAGATGAAGTCACCACCGTATCCACTTTCCTCCTGGTAGTAATATGTCTTGGTGATGGTTTTATTAGTGAAGAACTCGTTTTCGGAGAACTCAAAAATAAGACGGAATCCGGGGCGGTCCAAATATTCCATGCGAATGTCGGTAAGGTGTTTGAGAGCCTCCTCGTCTCTCTCGGTGATCATCTCGACCAGAGAAACTTGGTTCTTCATGGCAGAAAGCCAGAACTCTGGGATACCGGCCACATTGGATTCCTCGGCTGAAGCTTCGGTCTTCTCCTCAGTCTCTTTCTTGGTCTCCTCCTCGTCATCAGCTAACTCAGCTTCGCCAGCTTCGACTTCCTCTTCGGTAGGCTCTGCAGCACCATTCACAATCTGGGAACGTCTCTGATATAAGGGAGTGAATTTTTGGAGATATTTCTTTTCCAACTGTAGTACTTCCTCCTGAAATTCGGCTTCAAGCTTAGCGTGGTCTTTCTGGATGCCCTTGAGACCGGCAACACGACGGCGGACTGGCAAGGGCAACGATTCGATATAGCCCGAGGAGCGCCCGATAAGAGAGCCCAGCCTGCCCTGGATCATCGAGACCAGGGCTGGGTTCTTTGCAAACAAACTTGCGGCGGCGGCATGATCGAGATTTTCTGATGAAAAATAAGCCTGTTAGTTGAATTGTGGCAAAAATCAAAGCAAAACAACAGAGCATACCTTCAGAGATGCTGGCTACGCCGGGTTGCTGGGCATGAGAAGAAATTGGGGCGTTAGTAGCAGGCGTATTCTGTGGTGTCCTAGAGTTGCGAGAAAAGCTGTTAGCTGGCGTCTATCCAGCTGAAGATAGGTGATGGATGGATGTATGCTTTAATGAGGGGTAGAAAGGGTGGTTACGCACGGAGCGACTGGGAAATCAGCCTTTTTATTTCTGATAGGTTCTGACATGATGGAAATCAAGTAAGAACGCGATGAGAAACACGGTGGAATCTGGACAGGGTCGGTAGGTTGGTGAGGAGGGAGAGGTTAAAAAAAAAGATTCTGTCCAGAGTTTTGGAGGTGAAGAGACTGAGAGCGCGCTGGGCTGGCTTGGTGGGAAGCTTAGCGTCTTTTTGGTCCACGGCTTGGCGCTTGTTGAGAATTTCCGTATTACGCTTACACTTTGCTGTTGCTGGCACAACGAGCGAGATGTGTGATTTGTAAGAAAATTAGAGTCTTAAGAATTAAGGTAGTTACTTTATGCTTGTATAAAATATACTATAAAGTATAGAATGATAGGTGGAATAAGGACTCAATTGTTATGAAATCTAATACCGTACATGTCTGTAATATTCCTGGTAAGTTACACATCCATATAGTACGGCGAGTTGTGCGAGTTTGATAAGCTGACTTTGAAAAAAGATGATCGAGGTTTTCAAATTAGTATATCATTGTGCCCTATACCTTCTCTATCCTACAAGCAAGCAACAACTACATTAAGAGCGATATGCCTCGACTACTGCTGTATATATACTCAGACCGCCCTGGTCGAATACTTACGATCATTCGGAATGGTTTCGTACAATACATACCAAAAATACAGGACATGATAAGGAATGGGACGCTATCTCGCCCACCTCGATCGACGTAACCGCAAATTCAATCAATAAAAAAGGCCCTCAGCTTGAGATATTCTCCACGAGTCAACATTTAACGTGCTAGATGTTGTCACGGGGGAACAGATATATCACGTCATGTGCTTCCATCCTCGAGCGGATCTGAATTTCTCCCAAGTCTAGATACTTGGAGCAAACCGATATCTCAAAGCTCCCCGCAGCACAATGTCCCGGCAAGGCCCAAGTAACGGGTCCTGGGTGGCCTCAAATGCCTACAGAAGGGAGTCCATGAGAAGCAGGTTTGTTCCAATCCCGGACAGTCTTGACATGAAAGGCCACTGAACGGAGGCATCAGTATTAGCATCGCATCCGAGGTGGAAATGGCGCATGACGAGGTAAGATATTTTCTTGCCTCATGAGATACGCTTCCCCAAGCTAATAACTTTCAAAGGTATTCTCCGGACCTATGTCCGAGAGTGTACCATCGAGTATTGCGTCCTTTGCTCATCGACGCCCGCGCCATGACTCAACGGTGAGTTTCACATACCTTACCGAAGACGAAGAAGACGTAGGACAAGACGTCGAGGAAGCGGTGATACATGAAAGTGATCTGGAGGACGGGATTCTGTTCAATGACCGCGATGGCATGGAGTCCGTGGTTTCTTTCGGAAAGCGCCACCGGCGATCTACTGAATCTCACGCGTCTGTCGAACATCCGCTTCTCGATAGACACGAATCAGCGCAGTCGCTTTTGAACCGAAAAAAGGTCTCTAGTCGCATCAGCCAGAAGATTTACATTGCCACGGAAGACTTGACGGCGGTGATCACAGGATTCTGTACCAACACTTACGGCTTCGCACTATACATCTTTCTATGCGTGATGTCTTTGGGTTTGGGGTACCTAGTCCTTCGTTGGATACCGAAATGGCGCCTACGGTTAATAGGAACTCCTGCACCACTCAAGAATTGTCGATGGGTTGCGACTGAGGTTTGTCGATATCACGGGGCAGTCGCCCAGTGCGGTTACGGCTAACATGCATATCGTAGGATCAATACGGACAATTCAATATTCACGAGATATCCAAACAAGCATATGGGTCTCCTCTTTCTACTGTCATTGATGTAGCATCACTCGGGATCCGCTTGGATAACGACGAAGATAATGATCCAATCTTGACACATCTTAGGCTATTAGAGTACAGGTATCTACGATTCGTGTACAACCCGGTGGATGATACGTTCCAATCCGTCAGTGGCTGGAAAGATCCTTCATGGACCAGCACCAAACTCATGCGGTCAGGTTTGGATGCCGACGAGAGAGACAATAGGGAACTTGTCTTTGGCCAGAATCTGATCGACGTGCAACAAAAGTCCACTTCTCAACTTCTTGTGGACGAGGTACGACTTCCCCTCTATTAACGGGACTACTACTGACCCAAGACCATAGGTGCTTCATCCTTTCTATATCTTCCAGATTGCGAGCTTGACCTTGTGGTCCATGGATCAATATTACTACTATGCTGTCTGCATTTTTCTCATCTCCATATTCAGTATTACTGCAACCATAATTGAAACGCGCTCGGTAAGTATACTTCTATCAATACTGTTCTCATCTTGAAGATTAATTCGGACTAGACAATGGTACGCCTCAAAGAGGTTTCCCATTTCGAATGCAATGTGCGAGTTTTACGAAACGGATTTTGTAGGTCTAGTTTGCCATTTCTAAATAGGAGCACGTGGCTGATAATCTCACCAGGGCGAACTGTTTCATCTGTAGATTTGGTTCCCGGTGATGTGTTCGAAGTTTCAGATCCATCCCTTAGCCAAGTGCCGTGTGATTGCTTGCTGTTGTCTGGTGACTGCATAATCAACGAGAGCATGCTTACAGGTATGTACTCTCAATCAACGCACAAAGACTTTTCTGACGAGACTTCAAGGTGAATCCGTTCCTGTATCCAAGTTACCCGTTATAGAGGATGTTCTCGATTATCTTGACTTGAAAGCCCCCTCGATTCACCCAGCAGTGGCTAAAAGTTTCCTTTTCTACGGCACAAAAATTATTCGAGCGAGACGGCCTCGTCAAGCTGACGATGATGTGGAAGCCGTTGCTCTCGGTATTGCATTACGCACCGGGTTCTCTACAACAAAAGGCTCCCTTGTTCGTTCAATGCTTTTCCCCAAACCTTCTGGATTCAAGTTCTATCGAGACTCGTTCCGGTATATCTCTGTGATGGGCGTAATTGCAATGTTAGGGTTTACGGCGTCCTTTGTGAACTTTGTTAGACTCGGGGTAAGTTAAACGGATCTAAGATTATTATCCTCAGCATTATCTAATTTTTACAGCTCCCTTGGCACACTGTTGTGGTCAGGGCTCTGGATCTCATCACGATCGTCGTACCCCCGGCTCTTCCCGCAACTTTGACTATTGGAACGAATTTTGCTCTGTCGAGGTTGAAAAAGCAGCAAATATACTGTATCAGCCCTCAAAGGTATGCTAGCATCAGCTTAGTTGCTATACGATTCTGGCTAACGAAGTTAGGGTAAATGTCGGGGGTAAGCTAGACGTTGTCTGTTTTGACAAAACAGGTACATTAACCGAGGATGGACTGGATGTGCTTGGTATCCGGGCTGTTAATCAAGACAGGAGGTAAATATCATGCTGTCCTTTCCAAGCCCATATAACTCCTAATTGACTATGACTATAGTTTCAGTGACATGTTCTCCGACCCGAACGATATGGTATCGGCGTCCCGTTCTCAGGGAGGCTCCAATATGGATTATGACAAATGCCGAGACATCATCTGTACAATGGCTACTTGTCATTCTCTTCGAGTGGTTGATGAAGAGCTTCTCGGTGATCCGTTAGACATCAAGATGTTTGAGTTCACAGGGTGGACATTTGAAGAAGGTGGAAATACCCAGATTGAGCAGCAAGTAAATGGCAACGGTGATACTATCATACCGTCAGTGGCAAGACCGCCAACTGGAAGTGCGGACTTTCAAAAGGATCAGGTTCGATTCTCTTTCCTTTACATTTTGGGCAATATGGAGCGGAGTGTGTGCTCATTCTTCGTCTAGATCCCTCTAGAACTTGGCGTTCTACGCTCATTCGAGTTCGTCTCACAGCTTCGACGTACTAGCGTGATTGTACGTCAGTTCGGTGAAAATGGTGCCAGTGTTTTTGTCAAAGGTGCGCCTGAGTGTATGAAGGAGATCTGCCATGCCGATACTCGTAAGTATAATTAATCTTGACTTTCCCGCCGTGGGACAATCCTAATGTATAATTCCATTAGTACCGCCTGATTTCGATGATCTGTTGAGTCATTATACCCACGGGGGATACCGTGTCATTGCTTGTGCGGCAAAGTACAATCCCAACTTAAGCTGGAGGAAGATTCAGAAAATTTCCAGAGAGCAGGCAGAATCCGGATTGAACTTTCTCGGTTTCATCGTCTTTGAAAACAAGTTGAAGGATACAACTACCCCCGTAATTACCGAGTTGAGGGAAGCTGGAATACGTACTGTTATGTGCACGGGAGATAATATTCTCACTGCCATTAGTGTTGCACGGGAATGTGGCCTCATAGATCGAGACTCGCCGTGCTTCGTTCCTCATCTTGATAGTAAGTCCATAGATTGCCATCCAGGAAATATGTCTAACATGTATAGGCGCTCATCATCTTGACCCAAATGCTTCATTGACATGGGAAAGTGTCGACGACCCAGCTGCAAAGCTTGATGAGAAGACTCTTATGGTGAGTTTATTATCTTTGAGATCAACTCATGTCTACATACTTAAAAGGAAATAATAGCCTGTGTGGGACCCCGCAACACATGATGTCTCCATACCTCTAAACAAGCTTAATGCAAATTCGTATTCGTTAGCAGTTAGTGGAGACATTTTCCGCTGGCTCATCGAATACGGTACTGAAGACCTGCTGAAAAGGGTGAGTATTCATAAGAGGTTCGAAGTGAGATCATGGTTCGACTAACAAACAATAGGTCTTGGTCAAGGGTCAAGTCTTTGCTCGAATGTCCCCTGATGAAAAACATGAGCTTGTTGAGAAGCTTCAATCCTTAAATTACTGCTGCGGATTCTGCGGCGACGGTGCTAATGACTGCGGCGCGCTCAAAGCAGCGGATGTCGGTATATCATTATCAGATGCTGAAGCTTCAGTTGCTGCCCCTTTTACGAGCCGCATATTCGACATTTCCTGCGTCCCGAGATTGATAAAGTGAGTGATGCCTAGCCGTCATGATTTCATGATTTCATTTCTGACTGTAACCCAGGGAGGGCCGTGCTGCATTGGTCACAAGCTTTTGCTGCTTCAAATATATGAGTCTCTATTCCGCTATTCAGTTTACGTCGGTTAGCTTTTTGTATACGTCCGCCTCTAATTTGGGGGACTTTCAGGTTGGTTCTTCAATCCTCAGCAATGACAACTGTGGCTAACAATCAGGAAGTACCTGTATATTGACTTGGCCCTTATCTTACCAATCGCCATATTTAGTAAGTTCGAGAGAATACACCAGTCATGAGAATCTTAGCTGACCTCTTCTTCAGTGGGATGGAACGATCCGTTCCCAATATTATCTCGGAAACGGCCAACGGCCGATCTCGTCTCGCGAAAGGTCTTGACACCTTTGATCGGTCAGATCGTACTAGCGGTGCTGACACAGTTGGTGGTCGTTGAAACTGTTAGGACCAGACCTTGGTATGTTACATTTGTCAGTTAACCTACATGCCTACTTACACGTTTGATAGGTACATCCCTCCGAAGGTCGATGTCGATGATACCAACGTCGAAAACTCGGAAAACACGTCGCTATTCCTTATTTCATGTTACCAGTATATACTATCCAGTGTCGTCCTGAGCGTAGGACCACCATTTAGACAACAAATTTACAAGAACAGTTAGTACTTCCGTATCTGGCATCTTGAATCTGCCTCGCTGATACACGTCTAGCTCCCTTCCTGGTAACGCTGTTTTTGACACTGGCACTTTCAACCTATATGTTAAGCGAGACTTCACAAATCGTCATGCGTGTAATGCAATTGACGCCGATTCCTTGGAACTTTGAGTTGTTCCTTGTGATACTCGCAATATGCAGTTTCGCTGCGTCGTGGGTTGCGGAGAACTACGTTTTCCCTTCTTTGGCTCGGATTATAGGTCGTACGATCTCTCTAATCCGGCCAAAGCAAGAGAAAAACCGCCGTCAATATAAAGTCCTGTTGGAACGTATGAGATCGTGAGATGGAAGCATTATGATTGTGCTGTTATGTATCATCATTTGTTACGGGTGCCGATGGCCTTTCTTAGCTAGAATCGATATGTAAAAATCTACAGTATATAGACATCAAATGTACTTGGAAGCCTTGAAAAATTCGTGAATTCCCAGCAATAAATGTACAAATCTATAAATCCGTAATTTTCTCCCTCCGGACATCATACCGAGACTGGGAAAAAGGGTCCCAACCAGTCAGAAGGCTATTTGACTTTGTATCCTTGCCATTGTAAACGATCCGGACGACTAAATACCTAAATCGTAGTGTCCATTATCTTTTCCTGAGTTGGCGAAGGATGCGGCGGGAGTATCGTTCCAAGACGATAAATCAGTGGTCCCAAGGATGTTTCCAGCCGAGGAGAGCCGGACCGTCTTTCTTTGCGCGATACATCAACTATAGCGAACACTTAGTACATCAATTGTCGCAGTCTGACATAAAATATGCAGGGGATTGCACTCACGAAAAACCACATGCTAGCTCCCAATGCGGTTGCAGCAAATCGGTATAGAGGCCGGGCCGGATGAACGTGGATTGGGTGTTTGCCAGACATGGCTGCCTGTTAATACCAGTAAGAATGATACCAAACAGATATATAAAATCACATGTGCGGATTGAACTCACTTGTGGTCTGGGACGCCAATCGAAATCTTGTTATTGTGTTTGAAGATGGAGATGGTAGTCCAAATGGATGATGTCTCGATGTTCCGTAGGTGGAGTCACGTGATTCGGCGGTGGAGCTCTTAATCTTATCTGTCGAAGCTAACCTTGATTGTATTCATTCATTATATTATCACATCAGCATCTCGATCAATGCCGGGAATAATGCTCGGTTTTATTATTTAGCAGACTAACTGTGTACCTGTGGATGAGCTCTTTATCCGCACTTCCTTTCAATAACACCTTTCCCATTGTTCACCAGGCAGAATGAACTCCGTTTTGGTTACATGACATTTCCGCTTCCTCAACATCTTTTAGCTTGGACTGAGCCACAAACTCCTGCGCACTCTCCTTCTCGCTAGCGACAGATTATTTGCCGATCGAGAATCAAATCGACATACCTTCATGCACGAAAATGGCCTCAGAATCGTCTCCATCATCTCAGCGGCCGTCCCTAGAGCGGTATGAGGACGGCCAACCTCGTTTCCGTGGATGCTCGAACATACGCGATTTCGAATTCCTGGGGAAACTAGGTGAAGGCACATTCGGGTTAGTGGGTTATTGTGTATACATTCGAATTAGCGCATAGCTAACGTGGCGTCATGAAGAGAGGTTTACAAGGCTCGATCGAAGAAAGATGGCACCATTGTGGCTCTGAAGAAGATTCTTATGCATAATCAGAAGGATGGCGTGAGTTTGATTCCGGATGTGAAGATTGCATGAGTAGTGGGCTGATCGATTTTGAACTCAGTTCCCTATTACCGCATTACGAGAGATCAAACTGTTGAAGATGCTTTCACATCCAAACGTGTTACAATTGCCTGAGATGGCAGTGGAAAAGAGTAAAGGTGCTTGACACAACTACCGCGTCTTACTTGAACTCAGCCAACAAATTATATAGGGGAAGGACGGAAGAAGCCTAGTATGTACATGGTTATGTACTATCAGGAACACGACCTGTCCGGGCTTCTCGAGAATCCAAATGTCCATTTCACAGAGGCGCAAATCAAGTGCTATATGCTGCAATTACTAGAAGGGGTTCGCTACTTACATGATGTATGTCATACGTCCATCTTGTTAGCGTGGCCAGGTTAACTGATCGATTATTGATGACAGAATGGAATCCTGCACAGAGACATGAAAGGTCTGTTTTGTCAGCTATCCGCAAGCACGGTTTCTAACTTGTAAAAGCTGCAAACCTTCTTATCAGCAACAAAGGTATCCTTCAGATTGCCGACTTTGGACTCGCGCGACCCTACGACGAAAAGCCCCCGGAGCCTGGAAAAGGCGGCGGCGAGGCGAAGAGAGATTACACACCATTGGTAGTTACAAGGTGGTATAGGCCTCCGGAACTGCTTCTGCAGCTGCGCCGCTATACGACGGCGATTGATATGTGGGGTGTTGGGTAAGATGGAGTCCCTTCCGGAACTATTGTGGTTCACAACTAATGGCTTCACTGTCCAGATGTGTCTTTGGCGAAATGTTCAGAGGACGTCCGATCCTTGCAGGCAATAGCGATCTCAATCAAGCACAATTGATCTTCGCGCTTGTTGGCTCTCCGACAGAGGAGACTATGCCAGGCTATTCTTCACTTCCTGGGTGTGATGGTATCAAAGATTTTGGAAACAAGCCTGGGAATCTGAGCCAGGTCTTCAAAGAGTAGGAAACCAATATACCAGCATACCGACTCATCTTAAATTTGGTACTGATTTGCCTTGTATTGATAGTCAAGGGCCTCTGATGATATCCCTTCTGAGCGAGTTTTTGAAACTTGACTGGCGAAAAAGGATAACGGCCGTGGATGCCTTAAAGCATCCTTACTTTACCAGCCCGCCACTCCCTGCTCGCCCAGGCGATCTACCCCAATTCGAAGACTCACATGAACTCGACCGTCGACAATATCGACAAAAACCCAAGCCCCCTGCTCCCCCTAATGCAGCAGCAGGGGAGAGCGACTGGTCGACTGGAACAGGTGCTCGTGCCGCAACTGGACAGAGCAGTCGGGTTCCCGCCGGTATATCACGCGGTGGTCCATCCTCGGGTTTCCGTCGTGTTCCTGATGTATGTTCATCCTTATTTGTTGTTGGCTTTGACTTCCGCGTATTTCGAATCTAACATACCGCAGGACGGACTACCACCCAAACCATCCCCAGTCTCACAGCCAGGATGGCCAAATCGTAAAAATGACAACCGTCCCCCTGACCGCCGAAAGGACGGATGGTCCAACACGGGCCGTGGCGACGGAGGACGACTCGATACATACGTACCCAGATACGATAACAACAGCAATAGCAACAACAACAACAACAACCACCGAAACGGCCATCATCACTTCGATGGTACCGGTGCTGGTCCTGGTCTCGGCGGGCCGGAGAATAGCCGATACGGTAACCGAAATAATAATCCCAGCAATGCCCGAAGACGAAGTCAAAGTCCGCCGATGAGAGATAGAAGCCGTGAAGATAGTTACCATTTATACCGTAGATGAATTATGGGCTAGGGTCTCTTTCTGGGCAGAGAAGCGAGAGAGAAAAAAGCTCTAATGTATTTTTATCTTGAATAATTATAGAAACAATATAATGATAATTTAATGAACAAATAATCTTTAGTGAGGTTTTCGAGCAGCTCACCTGGTGAGAGAAACTAATCCATTTTCAAGTATTGAATATAGAACAAAAACAACCGTTGAGGGATATAATAGTAAAATAAAACCAAATAGACACATTCTTTTTCTAGCAGTCCCGTTGAATATGACTGCTTCTCGCTTCCCCTTTTTTTATCGAAACGTCAGTACTTTTTACCTTTCCAAAAAAAAAACAAATTATATAATCATCCCCACAACGCCAGCCCATGTTGAAATGTCTAGTTCGATGTCGTAACGGGCATCTTGGATCTATTATTGTCTAATAGAGAATACGTGTCATGATACGAGCTGCAGTGGAAACGTCAGTCAGCAAGACTATTGACGGGAAGGTGGTGCGAAGAAACTCACATGAAAGGCTTTCCAATTTCGCATAGAGGTCTTTGATGGTTTGTGTGTCGACATTGCTGATATCAGCCATCAGGTAGGCAACCTAAGTAGAGTCAATATCATGGAGGTTCACGTTAGCTTGAAGTTAGACTTACGTCGTCCCTGCTATCAGTCATCTGTTTGTCGACGTTGTGATCGCCGAGAATCTCGTTGACTGGAGCTACGTTAGATACCGTGTGCGTAAGGAATGGAAGGGGAGATACCTTTTCGGAGCACACCGGGTACGTTCTGGTGAATATAAATGACCTGCGAATGGACAGTTAGTCTCATTAACAATTGTGGACAAAAAGCAGGTCGACATACTCGGGCATGATCAGGCTCATCAATGGTCAACGAACGCAGATTGACTTCTGGTAAGTTAACCGCACCGAGAGTCGAGCCTTCGTTGACATATTTGACCAAAGCTTGGCCAACTTCAATACCAATGGCGCTCTGAGCTTCTTCGGTACTTCCACCAATGTGAGGGGTAAGGATGATATTCTTCAGAGTGCGGAGATCATTCGCCCAGGTGTTGAGGTCGTTGTGGAAGTAATCGCCGTTTCCACTGGGCTCATTTGGATACACATCGAGAGCGGCGCCAGCGATCTTGCCAGCGCGTGATGCCTCAATCAATGCAGGAATGTCTACCACACTTCCGCGGCTTGCGTTGATTAGGTAGCTTCCTTCTTTCATCTGATCGAATTGTTTCGGGCCCATCATGTTCTGGGTCTCGGGCAGTTCGGGAACATGGAGAGTGACGAAATCGGCTTCACGGAGGAGATCTTCGAGTGTGGGGACTTGTCGAGCTGTTCCCATAGCCATCAAGTTCACGACATCATAGTAAATGACGTTCATACCCATTGCTTCAGCCAATACGGACAGCTGTGAACCAATATGACCGTATCCGATGATTCCTAAAGCAGCCATCAGATACCGTATGACAATGGAATCGGACCACTTTAGAGTAGCATACCGAGAGTTTTACCACGCACTTCCCAGCACTTATTGCTAACCTTGTTCCAGGTACCATTGTGCATTTCATTTGAGCGGTCACCAAGCTGCCGGGCGAGGACGACAATCTCAGCAATAACCAATTCCGCAACACTGCGTGAATTGCTGAAGGGTGAGTTGAAGACAGCAATTCCATTATCAGCAGCGAACTTTAGGTCCACTTGGTTCGTTCCAATGCAAAAACAGCCGATGACAATCAGGTTCTTTGCTTCTTTGAGGACTCGTGCGGTGAGTTTGGTTTTTGAGCGAATGCCAATAACGTGGACATCCCTGCAGAAACAATTAGTATCTGTACAACATCAAGCAAATGTACTCTCCTTTCAATCTTACCTGATCTTTTCAATGAGCTGGTCTTCCGGTAACGACGTCTTCAAGAATTCCACCTGGTATCCTTGAGCAGCGAGAATGTCGCGACCTGTTTGATTGACATTTTCCAACAGCAAAATCTTGATATCTTCGGTTGCAAAGGGTTTCAAGTGCTTTGCAGCACGGGCAGCAGCAGCGACAGACGCAGGGGTGCTGCCCACAGCAGCTGAGAAGCCAAAACTGGAGGCCGTCGAAGTGATTGGTGCTGCGGGAGAAGTTGATAGACCGAGACTGCGGGACACTCGGTGGGCTAGTTCTTCCTGGGGTACTTTGATATCTCTTGCAGACGACATGATGGATCTGTTCTGGTTGTTTAATGCAATGATGGGATAATCAATTGATTGTTGAAATACAAAAAAATACAGACAGAAGAGAAATAATTAAAGGATTGCCACAGTCTGGAGAGAGTGAGTCAACGGACCTTTCCCCCACCTCCAGCTCCGTTTTCGGGCACCGGAGAACTTTTTTTTTCTTTCTTATGTCAACTGATTTCCACCGTCAATTACACCATGTGACTCATATACACACATTATTCTTGTGCATTGCTTGGATATTGGGTTGACTATCAGCTACAGATGTACCAAAACATCAGACTTTGAGATCCTTGAGTTGTTTCGCTGCGCCTGCTACGTCGCCTCCCTTGCCCTTCTTAGCCGAAGTTGTGTCCTTTGGTAGCTCGCGAGTATAAGGAAGGAATGTGGGAGCTCCGGGGATGTATTTTTGCAGAGGTGCAGGAACATTGATACCCTGTTTGAAGTTGGAAAATGTTAGCCCGGTACAAGAGGGAATCTGGTGGTATGAAATGGTTACTTACATCCTCAGTCTGATAATTCTCCAAGATACAGCAAAGTGTCCGCTCGGTTGCGCACAGAGTAGCATTCAGAGCGTGAACGTAGGACTTCTTCGCATCAGCTTTCTTAGCACCGTAACGAATCTCTAATTCTCGTGTTTGGTAGTCAGTGCAGTTTGAGCAGGAAACGAGTTCCTTGTATTCACCCTGGAAGGGGAACCAGGCTTCGAGGTCATATTTCTTCGCGGCTGCGTTGTTCAATGCACCGGAAACAATCGAGACCACTTGGTAGGGAAGACCAAGTGACTTGTAGAACTCCTCGGAGGTTGCAATCATCTCGTCGAACGCTTCCCATGATTTGTCGGGCTTGGTCAAGACGAATTGTTCAATCTGTTGACTATGAGCAGCTGCATACAGACACGATGCAGGGAGCAATTACCTTTTCAAATTGATGGACACGGAAGATCCCCCAAGCATCTTTTCCGTGAGATCCTGCCTCTTTACGATAACAAGTACTGTAACCTGCATATCTGGACTCCAGTCAGACATGCCCTCCGAAATGACCACTGTACGTTGAAGATAAAAATAACTTACTTCACTGGGAGATCCGAGTCAATGAGCCACTCCTCGCTGTGCAGGGCAGACAAGGGCTGCTCGGAAGTGGCAATGAGATACTTGTCCGTTTCTTTATCCTCACTCTCGGAAACCTTGTATAACTCCTCATCGAACTGCTCTAGTTGAGCAGTCTTGGCCATGGCATCTTTCAGCATAAACTGGGGTGGCTGATTGGGCTTGTACCCTTTGTTGAAGAGAAACTCGAGACCGTAGTTGACGAGCGCAAGGTTCAGAAAAAGCCCGTATCCAGTCAAGCAATAACCACGATGACCGACGATTTTCACTCCCCGTTCCGGATCGTAGCCATCCAGCCGGGTAAGGACCTCGTGATGCGAAAGACAGTCGCGCTTCTCGACCACAACGTTTTCTGGTGCCCAGACCCGCTCAACGACGTTGTTATCCTAGATGATACCATGATATCAGGGCGGGGTATCCCCTGACTAGATAGTAATGGGAAGCCTACCTCGTTGTCGCTAATAGGAACTGAGTCATGAACGTAATTCCCAATAGTCTTAATCTTCCTGTCACGCTCTTTCTCCTTTGCGAGTGCATTTTCTTCGGATTCTTTTTTTTCCTTTTCGAGATCTGCTTTTTGTTTCAAGAGTTCGGAGGCGTCCTCCTTGTTCTGATGTTGACCGTAAGAAAATCATTCCTGGCTCATTCAGGGCATATAACTACGAACCTTTTTCTTCTGACCAATCTCCTTCTGCACCGCGTTGATTTTGGAACTTATCTGCGTAGTTTCGTATCTGGCTATAAACACTTATATCAGTTACCTGGATTTCAAATGCATTTAGAAATTAACATACCTCGTCGGGCAGCTTCAAACAGCTCCAGAACTTCATCCACCACACTCTCAGGCGCATATCGACGACGCTGGCTCTCCCTGATTTTGTTGATGTCACCACCACGGTCGGCGACAAAGTCATTAACGTCCAACATGGTGAATTGAGGAGGAGAGGATGTTTTGGAATATTCGGTTTGTTGTTCTGACAGCGTGGGGTTGTCAGTCTGGTGGTGGTAAAATAAAATCAAAAATTAGAGGGGGCGGGGATCAAAGTTACGGACGGTACTGTATGGTAATGTTACATGTAGACTGATAAGTTATCGTACTGATATCAGATGCATCTATCTTCTTAGCTTTACTGCGTCGTACAACCTCCAGTCAAGCAAAGCACGAGTTCAGATCACCGTACATGAGCAACCAGGAGTATTCATGATGAAGCCAGCCTTGGGTTATGTTTATCACAGAACGAGCAAGTGATGCGAACAGTCTTATAATTAGTGATGATCATAGTCAAATCCCAAGCATGCAATCACAACAAGCAATATATAACCGAGCAGAAAAAAGCAAGCAAACATCATACCATAAACCGAACGAACCTCATCAACGGCATATCAAGTACGTAAAGTAGCTGCAGATGCGACTCTGCGCAATTCCATATACAAATATCCTCCTGAAGCAATTCCCAACTCACATAACAACACACTTACTGTCCCCCGTCGGCTGAGAAGGATTCTGCGACTTCTCAATCTCACCAATCATCAGATCGAATGCCTTGGCCACGTTATAGTCGAGACGGGCACTGGCCTCTGTGAAACCGCAGTTGAACTGTTGCGCTAGTTGGCGGCCTTCCTCTAGTTGGACTTGTCGTTGGTCGGCGTTGAGATCACTCTTGTTTCCGACGATTACCAGGGGGACCCAATCTGCGCCCTATTCAGAGGGTTAGTATTGAAAGTGGCATTTGAAAAGAAAAAGTCGTACCAGATGATTCAGGATCTTATCCCGGATAACGGTCACCATATCAAAGGATTGGCGCGATGCCACCGAGTATACAATAATATAGCCATGGATACCGATGAAATGCTTCGAGTTCAAAATACTATATTCATCCTGAGAAAAAGACAAGTCAGTAAAAAGCGCAAACAAATTGATAGTAAGCTCCGACATACCTGGCCTGCAGTATCAACAATCTCCGTCGCATAATCCTGACCCTTGTGCTTGATAATGCGGCTGAATGTATTCTCAATCGTAGGATAATAACTTTCCACAAAATGATGGTCCACAAATCGCACCGTGAGAGATGATTTGCCTGGTAAAAAGATGAGTTGATTCCAAAATTAGCGTGGTATTTCACATTGTTATAATATGTATACCACATATATTATTATATATATTAACTTACCGACGGAACGACTGCCGACTATAGCAATCTTTCGTTGTTTCGGAGGAGCAGGCATTGTGTTTTCTTTTTCCTGTCTGACGTATTTCTGGGCTTAGCAGCGCAAGGCTTGAGCGTAGCGAGAGTCGCCCTTGATTGAGTGATATTCCCGCGGCCTCTGTTTGTAGCTTCGTCGGCGCAGGGATGGATGGGTTATTTCTCAGCAGCTCGGAGGAGGAAAGATCATAGCGCGCGCGCACACAGGTCCGATGGCCAGGGTTCAAAAGATGGAATTATATCACGCTCGAGTCAGTTATAGATAAGATAGAAGAGACGTAAGCGATGTCTTGCTCTAAATTCCTTGAGATATTTATTGACCGCTCTAAAAGGTCTGGACTGGACCGGACCGGTGGATACCGGAGTGTTTGCCTTACCGTCCTGGCCATCAACCCTGATGATTATATTTCGTAAACTCATTAACATATTATTCATTACTCATGAACGGGCTCATGTCTATGGACTATGAATTGGCACCCAGCAGCCATCTTCTCTTATCAAGACATACAGAAACATAGATACTGTGCAGAGACAGCGTATATAACGATGACGTCAACCACTCAAGTCACGCAAGTGCTGATCGCGCGGATCTGATTCAGAATTCGCTGCAGACGGACGGTGAATTCCTTGACCGACTGCGACTGCTGGAGCTCTTCGTCAACCTTGCGATGGTAGTGCAGGAACTCTTCGACCGTCGCCAACAGTCTCGCTAACCCGGTCCCCTTCATGGCGCTCTTGAGAGTGGCATATGCTTCTCGTTCGAGACACAGGGTGCACAGGAGTATGGAAAGGTATCCGAATGCAACATTCGAGTGTGTTTGAACCACCGAATCAGCCTGTTGCACGCAATTCTGTCAGCTTATGCTATCGATGACGGATATAGGCTACATACCTCGGACACACTATCCAGACCCCGGGTGAATATCGAGAGAAGTTGCTCGAATAGCGATTGAGAATCTTCCTCCTGGTTGAGGATATTCTGTCTCGCAGCTTCGCTAACTTCCGTCAAGTTGATCAAGGCGCCCAGTGCCAAAATAACAATATCAAGCGAGTCCTTCTTCTCGTCGATGACGAAATCGCGCGAAGCCGTGTCGTAGTTCGATAAAACAATGACAGTCAACCCGTGTATGACCTCTGGTGTCGCAAAATTCTCGCAAAGACTGAAACTAGCATTGGTAATATTCAAGATGAGTCTGAGAAGTAGCGTCAAAAGCTGAATGTCCTGAGGGTCGCTTTTACGGCTCAAGGATGATAATAGATGGCTTGACTTGGTAAGCGGTAGCAAAACATCCTGCTGTGCCTGTCCTGTGATATCCGAAGTCGTTGTATATATCTCCAAAATAGTGATGATGCTTTCGATAAGAACAAAGTTTTCCGAAGTGTCACGATCAGTTGCCTTTTGCGTGAGCTCCAACAGAATCTCGACCAATTGAGAAACAACTTCCCCTGGTATCGTCCCTGCGATATCTTTTTCCCGCACTTTGCGGACAGTCAAATACAAGCAGCGTAGCAACAAGTGGCACGGCGATAACTTAGAGGACTCCTGTTCATCCAAACCTGAAACTCGAACAAACTGAGACGCAATGTCCCGTATAGAGGCCTGATTCACCCTGGAGAGGGAATAACGACGCTGTGAAACAAGCTTGGTGACGCTATCGTCCACCGGTAGCAGAGTAGGTGCCAATATGATAAGTTTTGACCAAGCACTCGTCCAGACTGTGGAGGGAAGGTGATTTAACCGAAGTACCAGCGCACACGCATACACAGAAAGCAAAGCCAAAATTAAGTCAGCTCGAGGCGACATGCACTTCGTTAAGCGTTCGAAGCCTCCAATTTCCACAAATCGTGGCGCAAACTTATCATCGAGTAATTTCTCACACAGCTGAACCAAGCCGCTTCGTCGGACAGAAGAAGATGAAGAGCGATCCTCGATGTCTTCCAAGATAGAGTCGACAAGCCCTTGAAAACGAGCATTCACCCCTGCTCTTCTTAGTTCGTGGATACTGCTGATTGTTCCTGAACTCTCGGTTTGGCTGGTCTCAGTGTCATCTTTCGCGACAGGGTGTAATGGCATTGATAGTAGACTGGCCGAGAAGTCTTCTGCAGGATCCCCACTAGAATTGCCATGGATGTCAATGTTGCGAAGAAAAGATCGCTGGCGGGCGTAGGTAACTCTTGGGCTGCCTGACTGCGGTGATGCCTCAATTATTTCTTGAGTCCTCTGGCTCCACTTGGAGGAGGTTTGACTATCAGTGTTATACGAGGTTTGAAAATCACCAGCTACGGGCGTTGTTTCTCTGGATTTGAAGATATCGATTCCTTGTTGTTGCGATGATTCATGTTCACTATCGGACGCTCCTGAACTGCCTTCCTGCACATTCTCAAAGCCTAATGCATCAACCAGACGTCTCCGCAATGGAGTTATCCCTAGATCGGCTTGGGTGCGTGTTATAGAGCGGGCACTCGACGTGACAGGGCGGTCGGAGGAACGATCTGGCGATATACTGAGCCTAGAGTCTATGCTTCTTGCTAAATGAGAATTATTCGGTAGATCTGAGACAGAGCGACGTAGCACATCTTCTAATAAAAAAATAAGTACGATTGTCAGGGGCCATAATTCGATCACTTACTGCGCGTATATGTGGGTTTTGCGGCAGGGCCGCGCCGGGTTTGCGGTCGCGGGCTTACCACGATTAGATCGACTTCATCATCATCATCGTCTACCGGTGTAAGTTTGCGTCGTTTTGGTGACCTGACGCTCGATCGGCCATCCTGGCTGGGTGATTTGGCATGCGCAGTGTCTTCAATTGCCGACTCTCGTAAACTGCGGGGTGGAGGGGTGATCCCGGAGCGTCGCGCTGTCAAGTCATTGCTGTTTTGTTCTTTCGAGAATTGCGAAGCCTGCGATCGTGCCGTTCGACTCCGCGCGTTCTTGCCGTAGGTCACGAGCCTGCGAGGTCGATCAGGTAAAGTCCAGTCCATCTTGTGCGGAGCTGACGTCGAGACTATTGACTGAGCTTCCTGAAGCGCGCGTTGCTGTTGATTAGAATGTCTCAAACCGTAAAATATCCGTCGCGAAGAACGAGGTGCAGTCTGTGTCGCCGCGCCATACCAGGCGCCGTCTATCTAGGGTGGGATGTCGATGAAGATTCGTCTCGGCTTTCCAGCAGGTTCATACACCCTTCAGTTATTGCACATAGCACCATTCAATGCGCCTAAAGATATTTATGGTAGATACCCTCAAGAAGTCGAGAACTTGACGTTCGACATGGGACCGCATTGAGAAGGTGAGGAGGATACGCCTGCCGTTCAGTGGATCATGAAGTCATGGAGGCTCGACTTCGCTCGGCCAATCAGAGCTCGGGATTGAGTTTCTGTCTGCACAAAGCCTTTGAATGGTTTGCTGCCCACGACATGGTGCAAGGTGTCGAAAGATCAGTATAGATATTTAGGCTCATAATGAAAAATGTCAGCTATGGAATTGGCACAGTCTAGTCATAATTTGGGAATATCTGCTGATCAGTGATTGCGTAATTCAATCACCGGTTGAGATACCTCGCAGATAGAACGATAAGATAACGAGCTGATTAACAATCGAAACGTGCCTTATTTCTGAGGCATATCAAAAGAAGACGTCGTCCAAAGAAGTTGTTGGGCGGCGGCGGCATCCTACCGCTTCTTCTCCGCTGTTAATCACCTCGACAGGTTCACCTCGTCCCACCCACAAACCACTCATTCAGAAGTCAACTATGGCCGCAGCACGAAACGAAAACGTACCTTCACCAGCGCAGGGCGTCGGTCCATTCTACAGACCCGAAGGCGAAAAACCTACGGCCACTGTCTCTAAGGAAGTGTCCTTCGAGAATGTCCACGTGCTTCCACAGACTCCGCAATTGATCGCTCTCTTAACGTACGGTTCGCGCCAGATGCATACCGCTCGACTGTGCTAACGAGAAGGAATAGTATGATAAGAGACCAAAACACCCCGCGCGCCGACTTTATCTTCTACTCGAATCGTATCATTCGTCTTTTGGTCGAGGAAGGCCTGAACCATCTTCCCGTCGTGGAACACACTGTAACAACACCAGTTGGGCGGTCATACCTGGGCGTCAAGTTTCAAGGAAAGATATGCGGTGTTTCTATAATGAGAGCTGGAGAGGCTATGGAACAAGGTTTGCGGGATTGCTGTCGATCCGTCCGTATCGGCAAGATCTTGATTCAGAGAGATGAGGAGACTTGCCAGCCGAAATTGTTCTACGATAAGCTTCCCGCAGATATTGCGCAGAGATGGGTGCTCTTGCTCGATCCGATGTTTGCTACGGGTGGCTCAGCCACGATGGCTGTGGAAGTGCTCAAATCAAGAGGAGTGCCGGAGGAGCGTATCCTGTTCTTGAACCTGATTGCCAGCCCTGTGGGTGTGGCGGATTTTGCTGAGCGTTTCCCTAAATTGAGAGTGGTAACAGCTTTCATTGACCAGGGACTGGACGAGAAGAAGTATGCCCATACTCCATCTCTCCAAATTTTATGCTAACCATGGTTTCTACGCAGATATATCACGCCCGGCCTTGGTGACTTTGGCGACAGATATTATACCCTGTAACGGGATAGAATTGCATGCTTTTCTGGAATGACACTTGGAGTTTTTTTTAAGAGAATGAATTCACTTCCACGTTATAGCATCCTTATATGAATAAAGATACGTCGAATATGTAAAGATCAAACGCCGACTCCCTCCCATACCGAGACAGAACAAATTGATAAAAAAAAAGATAGCGTCGATTACAGATCGTCGTGCACAGGATCCTCTAAATCTGCGTCAGGGCCTGCCGAACCGCGCGAATAGACGGCTTGTGATCCCGAAGCGTCGTACGTATTGGCTTTGGATTTTGCGACTGCATCGCAAGCGTCTACCCAGTCCGAATATACATCAACAGCGGCGGAAAGATCTGGCAATGTTCAGTCTCCTGCCTCGAATCCGAGTCGCTCGCAGGTCCACTCACAGTTTATACCAGTCTGAAATCTCTGACCACAGACCTTGCAGGATAGGTTCCCCACACCTAGTTTCTTGTCTAGCTTAACAGTAATTGAGTTCTCATGGTTGCAAAATAGGCATGCGAAGGTTGTCGCGAGAGGTTCTCTCTGTAGTCGATGTTAGTCCGATGTTAGTCCGATGTCGACAATATTCTTGACTTTTGAATGGCTGCGCACCTTCTTTGGGCCCTGAGGACCTCGACTCGACTTCTTTCGCTTGCCCTGGTTGAAACTTAGATATTGCGTGTTGTTTGCGATAATAGAAATAACCTACCATGGCGTGGAGTGTCGTGGTGTTCGTTGCGCTGACGTTAAGAATCAGACAGTTGCAGGTAAGATTTACCTAGGTGAATGACGATTGAAGGCAGTCAAGTCTCGTGATTGGTCAGAGAATACAAAGTAAGCTAGTATACTCGTGGCTAGACTGCTACTGCCAAGAATGTATCACGTGACCGCGGGCTTAGGGCGGAGCCCCGTCTCGAAGCAAACCTCGCTTAGCGCAGATTGTGGGATGTTTTTCAGAGAGGTTTTATCTCAAGCCTCACCAACTGAATCCATCCGTGATAGCGAGCGATCACCCAATTCTGTCTCATCGCAATCATGGCTGTTGGAAAGTAAGACTATCGATTGTTCGACTATTTCCAGAACACGAATTAACATTTATTTTCTTTTCTCAGGAACAAGCGGTTGTCGAAGGGCAAGAAGGGCTTGAAGAAGAGGACCGTGGATCCCTTCTCTCGCAAGGATGAATACTCCGTCAAGGTATGATATCTTTTCACTACGCATGAGAATTAAATGCTAATGGTGAAATAGGCTCCTTCCACTTTCCAGATCCGAGAGTATGGCTGCCCCCGTTGACTTCGAAAATCCATCTGCAAAAGACGCACACAGAACTGACTTGAATTAAAGTGTTGGAAAAACCCTCGTCAACCGAACCACTGGTTTGAAGAACGCCAACGACTCCTTGAAGGGCCGTATCTTCGAGGTCTCGCTCGCCGATCTGCAAAACGATGAAGACCACGCTTTTCGCAAGGTCAAGCTCCGTGTCGACGAAGTCCAGGGCAAGAACTGCCTCACCAACTTCCACGGCTTGGACTTCACATCCGACAAGCTCCGCTCCCTCGTGCGCAAGTGGCAATCCTTGATCGAGGCCAATGTGACCGTCAAGACCACCGATGACTACCTCCTCCGTCTTTTCGCCATTGCTTTCACCAAGAGACGCCCCAACCAGATCAAGAAGACCACATATGCTCGTTCTTCTCAGATCCGTGCTATCCGCAAGAAGATGACTGAGATCATCCAGCGTGAAGCCGCCAGCTGCACCTTGTCCCAGCTCACAACCAAGCTCATCCCCGAAGTTATTGGACGGGAGATTGAGAAGTCCACCCAGGGCATCTACCCTCTCCAGAACGTGAGTTTCGCCATTTGATGAGTTGCAGTATTTTGAGCGATCAACTAACATCATTCAGGTTCACATCCGCAAGGTCAAGCTCCTCAAGTCGCCCAAGTTCGACCTCGGTGCCCTTTTGAACTTGCACGGTGAATCCACAACCGATGACCAGGGCCACAAGGTGGAGCGGGAATTCAAGGAAACCGTCTTGGAGAGTGTTTGATTTAGTCTCACATTTTCTAGCATCAAAATCAAACGTTTATTCAAAAAAGGGATTTTTTTTTCATAAAATACTTGTCCAAAAATGTCATGACGGTTCCCCCTCCGAATTCTTTCTTCATATCTCTTGTTTTCTTTTGTTGCGTTTTTAATGAAAACAATACCTGGTAGTTTAGACAACGGTTTGAGTCATTCCCAGAACGGAGCACATAGGGTTTATTGAGGTATTCCAGTGTGGTCTATGTCAGTTACTAGGTATTCATCTATGAGTTCTACGATTACTCTTGGTCCCTTTCTATCAGACGTTGTATCAGATAAGTCGTAATTGCTATGAGGGAGCCTCGCCACGTCTGTTAACTTGTACCTAGGTACTTTCGACAACCAGGAGGCATATACGCGACGGATATTGTCGCGGTGCAGCTAACGTCTTAGCTCTGGCACCTAGTAATGACAGACACTTCCACTGTATTGTTTACCATTCTCTGCAATAAGATCTATGTGTATCGAAGTTGTAGGGCTCGCCACGGTTCAAGAGAACTTCTGCCGTAGGGCTTATTCAAAATGGACTGAGTTGGCTCCCTTGCATTAAGGCCACAAGGGTGAAGTCTGTCAGAAGGCATCGTCTTTATACTTGATGCGCCTTTCGACTTCAAGCATGCCGGTGTACCTGCTCTTGATACTTTTTATCAGATGTTGTTATGGTGCAATACACCCGCCGGAACTTGAGACCCTGATAAACGTGGGTTTCCAAGTCCCCTTGAACACCCAAATCGAATGAATCGATCACTCAGGCACCAGCTTCAGTACCTCAAACTCCTTGTACTTTTGTAAATATGGTGGCCCTCTCCTCCAAGCTTTCAATATGCGAGATGGATCTGATGGTCTCACAAACTTGCCAATCAACCGTTGAATTGCCGGTGACGTCCTAAACATTGGGTCAAAGACTAGTAAATCGGCACTTCCAGCACTGTTGATTTCGAAGCCGACAATTGTCAACGAATGACCTTGATGTTGAAGGTATACGGGCGGAAGATCGGTCTCTAGAATCTTTTCGTCACTATCTAAAAGTGAAGCAGGACAGCCGGATCGGAAATAGTTTGCTACATCTTGCAGGAGCATGTCGTAGGCTCGAAATCCTCCAGTAGAAGCGAAAGCTCCGGGGATGCATCTATAGATTAATGTTAGGATTATATTAAGTTCGTTTAGCATATAATCAAAGGAAAACTGATCAAACTCACTTGATCCCGAGACTTTGAAAAAGAGCCTGGGCCTTTGCATTTGACACTTACGTTAGTGATTATAGACAAGACCGAATTGCATGGAACATACCTCTGGAGTCCCGATATACTTTCTCGTCCCCTTGATACCCCCAGTCTCGATCCGTCCACTACTGTTGAAACCCATGTCCCACGCCTGCTCAATCATATCCTGCAACTCCAATATCGATGGTATGCGGCCTGAAAAATGTTCATATCCAGGTCTTCGAGCATCAATAATATGTGAAATGAGCATCTGTATATTTCTATATCCGCAAAAACCGCCTTCTCTCATGAATTTGAAGATATGACGGACTCGAGGGCTACAGAAGAAAGCCCTCTGGATGCTAGTATCATGTCGACACAGCTCGATCAGCGTTGGAATGACTCGTGAAGTCTCGTTTTCAGAAAGATCTTTTTCCTTGATGAGTGAACCGTTGGGACCGATCTTCGTTTGAGTGTTTTCTATATGACCAGATAGTAGTAGCTTTTGCAACCACGAGGGCATCCGTTTCTCGTGGGCGTATGGGCCCAGTTCTTTCCGCTTGAGCATAAATATTCAGCATTTTGTGACGCGCACAGACGGATGGCAAGACTTACGCCTAATCTCCTGGTACCCTTGTTCCCATGTTGGCTTGATTTGGATACGTCTTTCTTTTTCCTTCGGTGATTATCTGTATCCTTCCCTTTGAGAACAATGTCTTTTCCATGTACAACGAGGTCGTCTTGGTGCAGGTCTTCATCGTCATTCCCGTTCTTATCCTCAGAACTTCTGTCAATTCGGCCATCATCATCACTATCTACAGACTGCAAATGGAGGCCGCCCGTCTCATTGAGGGCTATTGATTCTGCCACATGCAGGTCCAAATGCAGCTGTAACTCAGCTTTGGCAACTGTCTCGCCACAGCCGTGGGGGCAAGGAGTATAAAGGTCTTCCATGTTGTCCAAAACGGTCAAAGATTCGTCTGCCTGTGTCGCTCGACGATCTTCCTCCGCTGCCGTCAAACTCTGATGCGTGTATGTAGACTGAGATGCAACATCTGGGTCCTCAGGGTGACAATACGCCACGTGCTGACTGAGAAATTCCGAGTCATACTCTTCAAACTCACAGAATGGACATGATAAGAGAACCTGCTCTTTCGTGTCCGGGTCGCTCATGGTTGTTTGACTAAATTGATGAGATTACTTTGAAGGATGTCGAATATTTACCTACGTAGAGTGAATAATGAAGATGTTTCGGGGAAGGTGGATCTTTATCTCCGAGGATTCAGGCACCGTCTTCAGGCATCATGTACCTCCTTGGACATCCTCCAACAAAACTTTCAGTTGTGCAATAAGTATTTCATACCCTAATACCCTAATACTGATGATAAAGGAATGGCTACAATACGCGATGTAGCAACACAGTCAGGCCACCAACCCTTAGGGTTATGGAATACGAGACAGCCATCTTACCTACTGATCTGTAAGAAAAAAAGCATCTGATCAATCCCTTGCTATAGACTAGAACTTCAAAGCATTCTACGACCACGCACGTACACATAGACCTCTACAAGAAACTGCTTTATATTGATTATGTGAATTCATCATGATTGGCCATAAAGATTTCTGAGGGGCAAATGGGCAGAGCAGCACGATTGGCTAAGCAAATAAAGTAACCAACTGACTCACAGCGGGGCCGCAAATAAATCTGAACTGCGGAATCGGCCTTCCCTTCCAGCTCAGCAAAACTCCCAACATCACGCAATTCACCATTTGTCGACGATATAAACGAGTCGATTGTACACACAAAACTACGAGAAGAACAGATCAATACACTCATTGCTACTTATATGCGCCTCTCCCCTTCAGCAAATGCCTCTTACAGATCTTGCCCCGCCATCTGCGAATGGCGATGGTAACACTGCTTCGCCGGAGCCCACCTGGACGGTGCAGAAGTTCGGAGGAACCAGTGTGGGCAAGTTTGCGATCAGTATAGTTGACCACATAGTATTGTACGTCTTTCTTTCCTACTGGTATCCCTGCTCAATCTTTAACTGACTCGCTCAGGCCAAGTTTGGCGGATCAGAAAGTTGCCGTCGTATGTTCCGCGCGCAGCAGTTCTTCCAAGGCCGAAGGTACCACAAATCGGTGAGTACGAATCGGTCAAGTTTGATTATTCACGTCTAACCAACGGACTGGCAATCAGCCTCTTGCGAGCCGCTCGAGACGCTCAGAACTCCATATCAAAATCCTACGATATCTTAGTGGAAGCCGTGAGGCAAGAGCATGTTGAAGTGGCTGAACAACAGATAAAGTCCTCTGAATTAAGAGACCGGTTAATATCAGAAATCAACGACGAATGCGCTTATGTTCTTAAGATTCTCGACGCTGCCCAGACGCTCGGGGAAACAAGTGCTCGATGTGTTGATAAAGTTATTAGCGCTGGAGAGAAGCTTAGCTGCCGGTTCATGGCTATTCTCTTACAGGATCACGGCGTTGACTCCGAATACGTCGATCTTTCTGAAATAGTAGATTTCACAATTGGTAATGGTGGCCTTGACCAAGCCTTTTACGATCAATTGGCCGCAAATCTAGGGTCAAGGATCCAAGCCTGCGGGTCAAGGGTACCTGTCGTGACTGGATATTTTGGACCGGTTCCTGGAGGTCTGCTAGACAAGATTGGCCGAGGATACACAGATTTATGCGCTGCTTTGGTCGCTGTGGGCGTCAATGCCAGAGAGCTGCAAGTCTGGAAAGAGGTTGATGGAATATTCACTGCAGATCCTCGCAAAGTTCCAACAGCTCGTCTCTTACCAGCAATCACGCCAGCAGAGGCAGCTGAATTGACCTTTTATGGATCCGAGGTCATTCACCCCTTCACCATGGAACAAGTCATTCGCGCAAGGATACCGATCCGTATAAAGAATGTCATGAATCCCAAGGGGAACGGAACAGTCATATTCCCCGACTCGACAGCCGATCTCGAGCGTATCGCGGGTGGTCATATATCGAAGGTGATCCGCTCAAGAAGTGCCAGTGTCTTGTCTGCCCAACTCCAGGGTCCCAAGAGGCCGACGGCAGTGACAATTAAACATAAGATTCTGGTCATTAACGTGCATTCAAATAAGCGATCGTTATCCCACGGATTCTTTGCTGGTATATTTTCGGTCCTCGACCGATGGCGCCTTTCGATCGACTTGATTTCCACCAGTGAAGTGCACGTCTCTCTGGCTCTTCATTCTGAATTGCCGCTTCTGAACGGAATTGGTCGTGACGAGTATCAGATTATTGACGAAGATTTGCGTGGCGCCATTGAAGACCTGAGAAAGTATGGCACAGTGGATATCATACCGGAAATGGCGATTCTGAGTCTGGTGGGCAAGCAGATGAAGAATATGATCGGTGTTGCGGGCAAAATGTTCTCAACACTTGGAGAGAATAACGTCAACATCGAAATGATATCACAGGGTGAGTCCGCCGCCTGGAGGCGCCTGAAAAATTGAATAAGAGCTAACATATTCAACAGGGGCAAGCGAAATCAACATCTCATGCGTGATCGATGAAAGAGACGCCGATCGAGCTATTAATATTCTCCACACGAACCTTTTCACCTTTCTGGAATAATCGGTTAGAGAAAAGTCCTATTTCTTGAAAGTTTTCAGATAGATTTGCATGGTACAAAAGTTATGGCATTTTCTATCATTGCAATTATACATGTACAGCTCTGGAAAGAATGTTTTTTATGTTTGTCTCGAGCGAAGCGGTTCGCAGGCTGCTTTTTGTATATTTGATTTTATTACTCTGTTCAGTACTATTATTATGGTACGCTTAGACTTTCGCATGTTGTCGCATTTTCTCAGTTGCATTTGGAGCTTCAAAGTGGCGTTCTTTTCTTGATTAATGGCTATTGAATCATTACTTTACTTTTTGACTTGACTGTACATACAAAAAGCAGGCTCGCTATTTTTGTGTCGTTTTGATCATTGAAGTTGGCAGTTGTGTCCGAAAAAGGACTCGAATTAGGGTTTGGAAGGGAGGCTGCAAGGAGATTTATGCCTCAGGTTTCTATTGCGAACCGGAGTCAAGAAATTCGTAAAGTAGACGAAAACAATCCACTGATTAACAACTGAATGATGATGTGTCAGTTTTCTTGGTTCCTACATTGTATGACTACAATCGAATAAATTGTGACTTGGTACTATATACGCAGTAGGGTTCATATAACTAACTACATAGTAGGAACTACACATAGCTTCGTTGGCTAGTATGAGACCGGAGCTCGGAATTTGTAGAACTAATGCAGCTGGACGGAGTCGCCTAGATAGACCGCAGTGACCGCACAATGGACCGTCTCCACCGGCGAAGATCGAAGAAGAATGAGTGAAACACTCCTTGTAAGTTTGTCGCGAGTCGACTGATCCTTGCTTCTCCTCACCCTGTCATTTGCCCGACTCGTTCCTGAGCAAGGCACGGGGCCGGCCGAGGTATGCGGCTATTGGACGATGCGGAATCTGTGTTTCGTCTGTCGGCCTGTGTTCTCTGGGGATACTGAAGAATAAAAGAGAGAAAATCATAGATAAAATAAGAGAGCGCAAGGGATGCGGACCCAATCATTCCGATGATGACATGGGTCACGGGATCTGTTGCCAATGATTGGCTTTCGTCCAGACCGGAAGAGGACTAGCGCTGCCAGCGCATCGACGCGACGCGCTCTCCTTGAACAACAACGCGTCGATATCTCTCTCTCTCCCCTTCTCTCTCTCATCTTTGCCAACTTTTTCATCCTCGAACATTCAATCTCACAACCCCTTTCATCATCTGAATCAATCAATCGTCCAATATCTTAAACATAGAAGGGAGCGCCCCATTTAAATTTATCGTTAAGACTATATCGATAACTGCGTATCGCGATATCTCCGCCTAGATTCGTAGGCCTCGAACGCTCGCCAATGCCGATGCGGGACTTATCACGACGCGACTGAAATCCGATCCTCCTAGCTCAGGACGCCACATTGTGTGACGGCGTCAGCCCTGGTTGCAGTGGTCCGCTTTGTTTAACTGGTTCGACCCGATTCCCCATCGCCCGCTCCTCTTTTCTCTCTCGCCTTGTACTCTAAATATTCCCCGTCGGGCCTCGCCGCCTTTTTTCTTCTTCTTGCCTTGACTTGGTTGCCTTTGACTTGGGATCTACCGCCCTCATTTGCTTGTACCACTTACAATTGTTTTGGAAGATCATCTTATCAACAGCATCGTCAACAAACACATTCGCATCCGCCTGGTTGTCGCGCATATGCTTCGACATCTCTCATTCGCGCCCGATCCAGTATCCACCAACTTGAAAGTGTGAACGTTTAACAGAATATCGTATCGCAACGCTAGGGCGTAGCCGGCAGGCTTATCTCGAGATGGCATCAACACATAGCCAATCTGGCTTGAACAACATGATGCCTCTACCACGTTCTGAGCAAAGGAAGCAACCTGCTTCGTTACAACCTTCACCTCTCCCTCCTCACCCTTCAAACAACAACAACAACAACAACATAAACTCTGCGCCCCATGTGCTCAATCCACCAAGTACTCTTGAGCGTCGAAGATCGTCGCCTACGAAAGCAACCCAGAGACCTAGAACTTCCGATTCAGGTCAAGGCAGACTCGGCTTTGTATCAATTACTGCTCCTTCTCCCGCGATGTTCCCTACCGATTCTCCTGTGAAGAGAAACTCACATCAACAAGTTCATCGACGAGCTCCCTCATTACCAACGCAGGCCTCTTTTTCAACTTTTCCCAGCGTGCCACCTCGCCATCCAGTACTCGAATTCTCCTCTAGCTTCGCCAGTGATGTGTTTGCGGACTTCCCTGATCCGTCATATCAGAGACCACTGAAGAGGACTCTAATGGAAGCGGCGCCGTTGAATGACCGTCCGGCAAATAAAAAACAGAAACGCGAAGATTCCACGACTTTCACGCTACCCGAACCTCATGAAATGCCACTGGTTGAAGATGATGGGTCTAAGCCGCCTTACAGTTATGCGGTTCTGATTGGCATGGCAATTCTAAGAGCGCCTAGTCGAAAGTTAACTCTCTCGCAAATCTACAAATGGATTTCGGATACCTTCGCTTTTTACCGGGCTGGAGACTCAGGTTGGCAAAACAGTATTCGCCATAACCTGAGTCTCAATAAGGCATTCTTGAAGCAGGAACGTCCGAAGGATGACCCCGGTAAGGGTAATTATTGGTCGATTGTACCTGGAATGGAAGCTCAATTCATCAAGGATAAGTCTGCTCGTCGGGCGACATTGTCCAGCATTCCACTCCCCCCAAATACCCTACAAAGGGATGCTCCTTCCCTTGGCCCGCAACCCAGCACATCCATGTGGAGAGTCCCTCCCCCGGCGCTCCCTGCTCCGCCGTTGCACCATCATATTGAGGTTTCTCAAATTCAAGAACCATCATCTGATGCAACTATTCTCGCCTCAGACCCCGCTCTGCAAGAAGACGGTCCGGAGGAAGAAGCTCATGCCATACCATCTACTATTCCTCGATCTTCGCCTCCTCAAGTAATTCGCTCATCACCACCTGTTGTTGTTGTTCCTCCATCGTCCCGCTTCTCTCGACAAGGAACACCACCCACACCGACTCGTCCAATCGCTTCGGCAGCAGCTCCTCCTCGTAGGGGCAACCAGCCATCTGCTTCGGCCAATGACAGCGGATACTACTCGTCCCTTGAGTCTTCTGTGATGAGGACAAATAAGTCGGGCGTCATGCTAACCTCTGATCTGGATATTGAACCTCCACGCTTGAAACGAGGTCGTGCTGAAGAAGAGATTGCTCGGATCAGGAGCTCGTCTCATGATATTAGCCCCAGTCACTCAAAGACTTTGAAGAGGAGTACCAACTCTGTCGTTGGCTCATCTCCACTCCGTGGTGAATACATCAGCTTCCCTCCTCCATTGACGCCGATGATTAAATTCAAGAAACCTGCTAAGCCTCCACCATCTTTGTCACCCAACACGAATCTTCGTAATCATCGGCGTAAGATCCAACACATGGTGAACTCTCCTATCAAACACCTAGGTCTTGCCGATGAAGAGCTCCCATGGAGCCCAGCATTTACCATCCATGAGGAGACGACGTCAACACCGAATGAACACATTCAGGTGCACTTCGATATCTTTGCCGATACTGTAGCGGATGATGTTTACACTCCAGCTCGCAGATCTCCTGAAAAGCGCGTACTCAAACGCGAGACAGGGTCTCCAACTCGATCCGCCGATTTGGCGCTTGCAGATATAACCTCGACAAGCGTCAATAAACGGATTGGCCGTTCGTTACTCTCTGCCGGAAAGGGCTTCTCACTATCACATTTTCAAGATTCGCCATCAAAGATTCCACCTCAACAATCTCGGCTTCTTGATACATCCAACGAGGACTTTTTTTCCTTTACGATGTTTGAAGATAGTCCTGAGGAGGTCGATGGAGTCGACCTCTTACAGGGATTCAAGAAAATTGGTGGTAATACTTCAAAGGAGAGCAACAGTACCAGCAATGCAGGCATTAACAGAGCTGGTGGACTTAGACAACCGCTTAATCCTCGAGGTTATAGTTCATACTTTTGATGATGAGCTCGATGATGACTTGTACGAAGAGACGGATTTTGGTTTACTCTTGTTCATTAATGGGGTGTCTTGGTTGAATACTTTTTGGATTTGATTCACTTGGTGTTGTTATTTTACCTGGAGGGTTTTGGCGTTTATATTTCGACTTGTTTTAAGATTGTTTCATTGGGCTGGATTGATGGGACAACTGGGATTGGTTATCTGACTTGGATACGATTTGATGAACAAAATGTTTGATGCACATTGCTCTTTCTAGCTAGCGTTGTTATTTTTTGTCTTCTATGTTGTGTTTCGTGTTGATCCTGCATCTGAATTCCAGCATGGGTTGTCTCCGGTCATGTAATTAGGGATTGGATTTTTGTCTTTTGGGCAGCGAGGGTTACAAGGATGGATTGGATAGAGGATTGTTTGGTCTAAATTGGAATCTGTCACTACGTTAACAAATGATATTCGAGTAATTTGTATTGTCAAAAAAAGTAAATCCATGGGTATCATATCATCATGCTAGTTCAAGTAATCATAATACATATGAAGTAGTAAAAAGGACCAGTAGAAAGAAAGGAACGCGCCAACACCCTATAGTCTTGCCAAACAGCCCACAGAAAGAATCAATCACTGCTCGAACACCCTCTACACCCACAACTAACACACTGTATCGCCTGCTCCTCCTTGAGTTGCGCTTTGGGCACTCGACAGATACACGTGGAATTAAAATTGGTCTCTTTTGTCTGGATGCATCGGAGGCAACATAGCTATATACCAGATGTCAGTCGCTATGCCAAGATTTGCGAGTGGGAAGAGAGAAGAAAACGTACCTTTTCATAACCTTGTTTCTTCCATTTTGCAATCAACATTGCATCCGCATACTTATTTTTCAAGAGCCAGTCATACAACTGTTTTGAGATTGCTTCTTTCTCGTAGTAGAGTTCGTAAATGTATCGGGATCCTGTAGACACCCGATATCAGCTCCATCCTTTTCTTCTCTTTTCACAAGTTGTATTTTTGGGCGAACGTACGCTGATGACTTATTTGAAATATAGGCCACAACACTTCATGCCTCTTCTTTCCTTCATGAGATACATTCTCGGCATCTTTCATTTTGTTGCTGAACTCTAGGAGGGTGTCTTCGATGTCGTCGAAGCCTGCCGGGGGAGGTTTCGCGTTGCGTGTTGTGCGGATTGGTGGCATTTTGCTTTCTGTCCTTATAATAAAGGATGTAACGAGCTGGTTACTTTGAGGAGTATAAACGAGTGAATGTGTATAAGTCCTGTATGTTGAAGTTGTAGTTGTATATGCTGAGTCAAGTGGCGGAGCTCAAGACATAAATCCAGTCGAGCGCATTTCTGCCGCTTTATACCGCCCAGAGTTTCTGTGGCTTGGCGTTGTGTCCATGTAAACCAGTATACTACCCTCATAAAGGCCCGGATGGGTTAATGGTAGAATTTCTCGTTCGAGACACCTTTCTTTGCTTACTGCAAAAAAGTCAAATCGAGGAGATCCCGTGCTTATCGCGGTTCGCGCCTTTCAATCGGCCTTCTTAAAATTTTAACCCTAACCCCGACCATAGCCATCCATATCCACGTCCTTTAAGGCGGTGAGAAATTCTCTCAGTAGAGCTCTGACCAACTCCTGCGAAAGATTCCTATTGTTTCAATCTACAGCTTTCAACTGCAACCGACATACCTCCTTTTTCAAGACATATTGATTCAGCTACCAACTTAGAAATATTCGACTAAGAACATTTTTCTACGACGAAATGGACGGCCAAGCACAATTCGATATAAGCAAACTCAGTGATTCTGATCGCAACGAGTTGAACCAATTCTTGCAAAACGAGACTCAGAAGTCGACTATTCAGCAGAGTATGTATTTCCTACGATTGATTCATCTATCGTTTCATGCTTCTCTTCCTTTGACATTGGACGAGAAACCATCAAATGACGTCAATTCAATCTCTCGTCTCTCATGCATACGTCTCAATATAAATCCGTGAGCAAAGCTAACACTACAAATCCAGCCGTCCATCACCTCTCCGAAGTCTGCTTTAAGAAATGCATCACCGGCAACATCTCATCGAACCGACTCGATCGAACTGAGGAATTGTGCGCACAGAACTGCGTCGACAGATGGATGGATGCTAACCTGTCTATTCTCAAACATTTGGAGACTCTCCGTGGGGGGCAATAAACTGATCAAAAAGAGGATGGCAAAGAGGATGGCTGAGAGGATGATGAGATGTGATTTCAAGGGGACACGGTTATGGTCATGTATTTTTATGCTGTTCGATTCGACTTACTGTAACACCACTATACTCAAAAATCGAGATACTCCTACGACATTTCAATGTACTATTACTGTATGGCAAACATTATTGATCCTTCTGACATCATTCATTTAGGACTTATTTATCCGCCTATGTGTTTAAAAAAGTAAAATAGACCATTTTTGTTCTTAAAACGAACCACCATGCAACCATAACAAAAAGAAATTGCCAGTTTTTGATTTCTTTAAACAATAGCAAGCTTGGTAGCGGCGATATCAAGTGCGTCCACATCAGGAGTCAACCGAGCGTAGGCCTTCTTGGATCCATCGGGTCTGTTATCACCATTAGCACCAAATCATTCCATCCTTTTGGAAAAGAGGTAAATACCTGATAAGAGTGTTGATCTTGACAGTATCAACGTCATAAAGCTTCTTAAGAGCAGCCTTGATCTGGCGCTTGTTGGCCTTGACGTCCACAATGAAGACAAGTGTGTTGTTCTCCTCAATCTTCTTCATAGCACTCTCGGTGTTAAGAGGGTGAATGATCACCTTGTGGTGGTCGAGGCGAGGCTCATGAGGCACGGACTTGCGAGGGTATTTGGGGGATCGGGAGAGTTGAAGAGTCTTGGGGAGGTGGAATGTGGTCGAGGTGCGGATCTTGCGCAACTTCTTGGCCTGTTCTTCTTTTTTAGTTTGTGTTGTATATCCATGGTTTTAGAAGGAGGATCGTACACCCTGTCCCTTGAGGACGGCTTTGGCGGCAGCGCCGGCCTTGTTGCTAGGCTTGACCTTGGCTCCTGCGATTCATCTCGTTAGCCTGCGCACATTATCAATTCAATCCAAATGCGTAGATATCAATCGATCCATGAACCCCTTCCGTCTCCTCGAAACAATCAAAGCAGCCGTAATCGCGGATTGCGGTTGTCGATCAATTTTATAATATTCCAACAATTCGAATAATGGCGTTTCTATCAATTCGAATATCCAATCGTCCCGGTCACGTATGCTTGATGTCTCGAGTCGACCGAAAGAACTAACACGAAACCGATAATAATGTCTTCATTTGAATCGAATAGAAATTCTCATTTTGCAAGAATATACCTTTCTTTTCCCCGGCCATGGTTGTCGAATATGGGCGTCTGCTCGTGAATGAACTTGTCGAATCTCAAATCAAGTCAAGATCAAGCCAAAGCCGAACCAAGTGTATTTTTTCTAAGCGAGGAAAGATTTGTGTGTGGAGGTCACGGGTTGTGGGCAGCTGTTGGCCAATCAGAGCTGATTGAGCGGGTACCTCTGAAAGAGGAATAGTCCACTTTCTATCTTGAATTTCTATCCAGACACAGATTCATGTGTGGTTATTATATCGACCATGGCAGTCAAAAAGCGAAATAAACGTCCAGGATTACTATCCCACACTCGACCACGAATTGCCGCCAAAAATCAACTCACACCATCCGCTACAACAGTCTCTTTATCATCCAAAGCAACCAGAAACCTCATCAGATCTCATCATCAACGCCTCAAAGCACGTGAAAGAGCAGTTCTTGCCGGCGACAAAGCTCAAGTTGCTCAAATAGATGCTCAGATTGACGCCAACGGCGGCCTGGAAAGTTATCAACTTGCCAGTAAAACGGGCCAATCGCGTGAACGAGGCGGTGATTCTAGTACTGTCTTGTTGGAATGGATTCGTCCGTTATTAAGACGGATAAAACAGGCTCGCCAGCAGGATGGCAGCATGTCATCCGGCAAGTTGAGGTTATTGGAAGTTGGTGCCCTCAGTACCAAGAATGCTTGCTCTCAACATGATTGTATCGATGCTACCAGAATCGATCTCCATTCTCAAGAGCCGGGGATCTTGCAGCAGGATTTCATGGAAAGGCCACTTCCAGCTGCTGACAATGATAATAAAGATAGATTCCATGCCATCAGTCTCTCCCTCGTACTAAACTACGTGCCTTCTGCTGCTCAGCGAGGGGAAATGTTGAAACGTTGTTCGGCATTCTTCACTCCGTCACCTCCATGCTTGTTACGAGACACAGAAACCAAAAATTTTGCTCCGTATCTCTTTCTAGTCCTTCCGGCTGCGTGTGTTTTGAACTCGCGATATTTCAATTCAGAACGACTTAATGATATAGCTACATGTCTGGGGTATAGCAAATTCAAGGAGAAAGTCACCAACAAGCTCATATATCAATTATGGGAATTCCGGCCAGGTTCCCACCACAACAACAGCAATAAGAATAAAACAGCAACGATATTTCGAAAGGAGGAATTGAACCCGGGCAAGACGAGAAACAACTTCACCATCACACTTAATGCGAATTCATGAATAAGTTGAAAAGAACGCTGCAGAATGCCGTGTACAATGCATGTGCTCAAAACAACAGATCAGAAACTACGACACGACAGGCGTGCCTGATCCGGGGAATGGTAGGAAAGCCCACGTCGTTCCGATGATGGCCATCACTGATGAGATAATCACTAGGAACCAGTCAAAGATCCTCTCGCTAAGCGAGATCTCATTTCCGAAGATCTTTAGGTGGAATGCAAGCGGCAATATGATGCAGATTGTGAAACACAGCAAGGAACCCATGAGCGCCATAATGCGGTCGAAGGACGGGAAGACGATTGCAATGAAAACGATCAGAACAAGCACGATTACGCGTATGAGGCCTTTGGCGACCGTGGCCGCTTTTCCAGCTGTTTGGCTGTTATGTTGCGAGGAATGGTGGCTCGACGAGTCAAGACCGCATAGAACTTCGGCCGTTGCAATGAGTGGTCGAGCACTAGATGCGTCAGTCTATTATTGTTGAAAATCTTGGACAGATCACTCACTTCAAAGGCACTTTTGTGATTGGAATGATTGCAGTAAACACAATAATACCAATAGAAAGTGCACGAGGATAGCCGGTGCTCTGTAAGATATTGACTATAATCTCATCGCGGACACCATCACCGAACATCAACCAGCCGATTACAGCCATTGAACAGTCGAGGGAGTACTATATTCACCGTTAGCCTACTAAACTAAAGAGACATATGAAGCTAAAGAATTGATCATACCGTGAAGATGTATGTAACAACGAGACTCCTGCCATACTTGTGGGGATGCCTCATGTCGCGGTATATATTTGGGAAAACGCCATGGCCACCCCAGGGAGCTAGATAAGTTAGAACTTGTGAGCGCAATCCTCTTTCCGGGAACATTGCTTACACATGATGAGGCCAAAGCTAAGAGGTAAAGTCGCCCAATTTTCAGGGAATAGTGACGTCTTGGCTGGTTGGAGAAGAGATCCCGGAGAATCTTTCTTGACAAGACCATCTATGAGAACAATACCCACAACTATGAAAGTTAGAAACTTCACCACCTTGGTTGCAAGGAATGTGGATAGCATGGAGTACTTACTTGAAGTACATGACAATATACCCAGTATGCTAGTGACACTCAAGAAACGCAAAGGAACAAAGCTGAGCGGCAGTAAAATGATGCCGCAAACAATCTTCCACTGTGTAAGACTAAGACCGGGTAAGAGAGTACCAAGGGAGTCCCCGAATAACACCACAAGTGCAACGCATGCTCCGAGAAGTTCCAAGCAGAACAACAAACTAGTGATCACTCGGGCCCGATGTCCAAAACTTATATAGGCCAGGTCTCCGTAAGTCACTAAATGATGGTCGACGTCCATACATTTAGCCAGTACTTTCGCAGTATAGGCCGTAACTGCAGCCGAAAACCCCAAGAACAAAAGTCCAGGTACCCAGCCAGCGTAGTTCATGCCCAGAGGCAGACTTAACAACCCGACGCCAATCAAGACATTAACCGAGTTGAAGATGGTTTGTGGTACCGTACTGTGCCCGACAATGACATTTTCCTTTGTTCCATCTTCATGCTGAATCTGCTTCACTAAGAGTGGTTCCCTATCTGGGTCCGGCTCCCCTCCAGCTACGGGATGGTGTTCAGGGCGATAAAGCTCAAGGGCTCGTTGGCGAGTAGTCTCGCTTACTCGCGAAGAGATCGAGCCATAGGAGGTCCCAAAACTTCTACCAAACGAGGAAGCGTCGTATGTTCGAAGAAGATCAGCTGTTGTTGTTGTGGTGGGTGATTCTCTGCTCAACAGCGGCCTCATGTCCGGAGGCGAGCTGTCCCGTCTATTACTGGTGCCGTCAAGCACACTATCCGAAGGGAACCTTTGTCGTCCAGAGCGATAGCTAGCAGACAGAAGAGGATGTGTCGCAGGCTTTTGGTCCGTGTGGTCCTGCCCCGGTTGACCTTCATCTGCCTCGCCGGGTTCTTCATATTCAAATACAAAGGATGACCGCCGAGGAATTATCTCCGGGAAGGCTGCTGCTCGTTGCCATGATCGTGCAAAATTGTCCAAGCTGTTCACACCACCTGCCTTCCGAAGCCGAATAGACATTGGCTGACCCCTGTAAATCTCACTGGGTAAGTAAAAAGCACGGAACTTCTGGTCTTGGAGTTATCGTATACCTCTGATTAGCTTCATCATCATTGCCCTCGAGATCACCGGTCTCATCATCCCCTTCCAAGTAATTTGCGGATGTTGAGGGAGAGAAGCGGCCCGACAGCCAGGAGTTCAGGTAAGAGCCCGCGGAACCTTGACTGAACGACCGGGCCTGTCTCCCGTCCTCGGGATTCGTGTCATTATTTCTGTTTGGCATTGCACCTTGATATGAGTGGTGTATATGAGGCGTCAGACTGGAAAGTTTTTGTTGGAGTGACCAGGGGAAGGAAGAAGTGCGAGAAGGTTCGGTCTCGTCGAGGTCAGGTTATAAGCTGGCTACAGACATACACACAACGTCATGGCGCGAATGTCGATGAAAGAGCCCCGGCACGCAGCTTATATGAGAGGAAGTATCCAACGAAGAGGTGGGAAGGCTTTCTTCTTATAAAGGGATCCCTAAGTGACTGCTTGGTCAAGTTATACTTTGTTGTATCGCTGATAAGAAGATTGAGCCCATCCCCACTCGGTGATAAGGTCACTTGACTAACTAACAATTCAATGACAACATAATAGCTACACTGAAAATATATATATATATATATATATGTAATAGAATATAATAGAGTGTGTTCCGAAGATACTATATGTATTTATGATATCAGCGTAGGAGAGGAGTAAAAGATATAACTAGTACTGGGTATTTGCCTGGAGTCATCTGCTGCTGCCTGATCTCCCCAGAGTATGAGTCGGTAGACATATAGATAAATATCTTGACATTCTACCATAACTTAACCTCTAAACTATTTATATATTGTTCTTACAGTGAGTTGACTGGCTGTGACTGTCCAGAATCAGGGCAAACCCCACAGCGGCCAAACAGAGCAAGCGGCGTTCCTGGCAAAATCCAACCCCGCCTTCTTCAAGATTTTCTCTTTTTCCCCTACGTCAAGATACACCCCCGTTCTCTGGCAAGAAGAACAGAAATAAAATATATTCAACTACTGGAAATATACCCACCTCGCACTGACGAGTCGTCTTCTTTTTTTTTTTTTTTTCCATCCAGGGCCTGCTCACTTCGGTCGCGTCTCTCTGCCCATCATGAGCGCACCTCAAGCCAACGAGGCGGAAAAGAATATTGAAATATGGAAGGTTAAGAAGCTCATCAAGCGTCTCGAGGCAGCCAGAGGGAATGGAACCTCTATGATTTCCTTGATCATTCGTATGTACACCTGCAATTCTGGAAACAGACATATACCGGTGCTAACAAGGTGCAGCTCCGAAAGATCAGGTCTCCCGGGCCGCAAAGATGTTGGCTGAAGAATACGTAAGATTACCACGACTCGAATTAAGCCGTTGTGCGACGTCTCTGACATATATTCAACACAGGGTACCGCTTCCAACATCAAATCGCGAGTCAACCGTCTCTCTGTGTTGTCCGCCATTACCTCCACCCAACAGCGTCTCAAGCTATACAACAAAGTCCCTCCCAACGGCCTGGTCGTTTACTGTGGTGAAATTATCACCTCCGAAGGAAAAGAACGAAAGATCAACATCGATTTCGAACCGTTCAAGCCTATCAATACTTCCCTTTACCTTTGTGATAACAAATTCCACACCGAAGCTCTGAGCGAGTTGCTCGAGTCTGACCAGAAATTCGGCTTTATTGTCATGGACGGTAACGGTGCTCTTTTCGGAACACTCAGTGGAAATACCCGAGACGTTATTCAAAAGTTCTCTGTTGATCTACCCAAGAAGCACGGTCGTGGTGGTCAATCTGCTCTGCGTTTCTCCCGTCTTCGAGACGAGAAGCGTCACAACTACGTCCGCAAGGTTGCCGAATTGGCTGTGCAGAACTTTATCACCGCCGACAAGGTCAACGTGGCCGGTCTCATTCTTGCTGGTTCTGCCGATTTCAAGAACGACTTGAACCAGTCCGATATGTTCGATCAACGTCTGCAGAGCAAAGTCATCAAAGTTGTCGATGTCTCTTACGGTGGTGAGAACGGCTTCAACCAGGCCATTGAATTGGCTGCTGAGACTCTCGGAAACGTCAAGTTCATCCAGGAGAAGAAGCTGATCGGCAAATACTTCGAGGAAATCAGCCAGGACAGCGGAAAAGTATGTTACGGTATTGACGATACTCTTAAAGCTCTTGAACTGGGTGCTGCAGAGACCCTGATTGTTTACGAGAATCTCGACGTGACTCGCTGGGTCTTGAAGGCATCCGATGGATCAGAGATCATTCTTCACACAACCAAAGCCCAAGAATCGAACCGAGAAATGTTCATGGACAAGGAATCCGGCCAAGAGATGGAAATCATCGAACAGGGCTCCTTCCTTGAATGGCTCGCTGAGAAATACAAGGACTTTGGTGCTACCTTGGAGTTTGTCTCTGACCGTTCGAGCGAGGGCAACCAGTTCGTCAAGGGTTTTGGTGGTATCGGTGCCTTGCTCCGATACAAGGTCAACTTTGAGCAGCTTGCTGACGTCGACGACGATGATGAATTTTACGACGGTATGCTTTCCCCTTCTTTGCACGTTTGATCCATAACTGACTTTTCTAGATTGACGGTCCTGCGACCTCGCAGGGAGCGAGGATGAGCGCCCAGAAATTCCCCCAGCGGATGTTCTGACGGCTCGCCGCGTGAAAAGCAAAGCCGTTGCCAAACAGATTTTCGAGGCCGTTCTTGTGAAAGTCGGTTGTTTTGAAACTGAAATATCCGCCAACTTGGTCCGAGGTAAGCTACCCATCCTACGCCCTATTTGAAATACAAACTAATGCATGAAAATCCAGGCCCATCCAAGCTCCACGACTTTGTGGATACATTCACCAGTACGGCATGTGTGACTCGAAATTTTTGAAGAAGAAGAAGGACCTTTTTCTTTCTTTCGATATGTCATGAGGAAAAGAGAAGAGATTCGTTTTTCTTGTGGTAATAGGAAAAAGAGAATAGTATATCTTGTTCACGATTATAAAAAGAATTTTGAAAACACTCTTTTGTTTGATAGACTGTCTGATACCAATGCAACAACTTGACAATAAAATATTTCCCACCCGGATATGTGTGCCAAAGTATTTGTTCTCAAGGATATATGTATGGAAAACGGCTCGATTTCTTGCAGGCTCATTTTGTAGTATCGATACCCCAACTACCCCGACGACTTCATATATTTCCACCAACAAAACCAACTAATACAGCCGCATACCTACCAGTCAACTCCATCAGCATCATGACCAATCTCATAAAAGAAGAAATGCTCAACTTACGCACCAGTAGCCCCAAAGGTCTCTGTGCGACGCCCATTCGTGGTCACCCCAATACTCAGCGCAAACAAGCTGTAAACCTAGCCACCAACCCAAGTTTCACAGCGTCATTGGTGACATAGTACAGCCTCTTAATGGGACCGATTAGCATTACTGCAGCAACGAAGATTGTTACGAGAGCGACTGTTTCGGAGATGGAGGATTCGTTGAAGCGGTCTATATGCTGTAGGCCATCGCGGGATAGTTCGTCTTTTGATCCAAAGATGGTGGCAACAAATCCTTCCTTTCGTTCATCGAAAATTACTTACTCTGGCCGGCCAATGTAGCCTCAGGAACATGGACAAGTAATCAGTTTCTGGGTCGCCAGGATTCGCTTACGGTTTAAGCACCTGGAAGAGAAGAACAAACAACGAAAGGGCAGAAGATATCTGTCTAGTCCACTCGATATTTCCAAGGATATACCGGATGAACTGTCTTTCTCGCCAGGAGTAAGACAGTACTTCGTCGAAGGGGCTGTGGATGGGACACGAGTGCAAGCGTTACCTGACAATGGTGCTAGCTTATGTTTCACGTCCCAGTCCCTAGCATCGTAACTCGACCTTCTACCCAGTCCTAATACACAAAGAAACGTACGCCTTGCCAACAAGAGACTCATTCACTCGCCAGGAATGATTGAAAGCCCTGGGAGTTTGCGGGGGAAAGACGAAATATCCTTTGAAGTGCTGGGTCTTCCCAGAATCAACCCATGATTTGATTCTGGGAAGCTCTTCCCTAAGGGCGACGCAGACCCTCACAAGATATACTCAACGCATCAAATCCGATGCGACTTTTATGTCCTTAATGAGCTTTGTGTCGACGTGGTGTTGAGAAATAGCTACCTATTCGAAAACAATATCTTTTCGAAGTACTCCGAAGATTTGACCGGCCATGTCGTAGAGGAAGATCTTTCCCAGCTCTGCAATATCCGTCTCATTGGTGAACATTGGCGAAACCCTGAATCTATTGGAGGAAGAGTATCTGGAAGATGGTAAACTTCACGTCTACCCCTCATGATCCTTGATTCCTCCTGACTAACAGCTCCCATCCACAGCGAATTCTCCTGATGCCTTCACACCTGACAAGGTGAAAGGAGAACTGGCAAGGCGTGACTTCATATGCGACGTAATAGATGCACCACCTGTGAATCAGAGGGAGTCTGCTCGTTTAGGCGAGATGAGAGGCAGCGGCGCTGGGAAAATCTCAGAAAAGCACATCAAGTGTTGAATCCTCAATTAACAGTGCCACAACAATTGGATGGAGGTCCTCACAGATTTCAGACAGAGAGAGGACAACGCCGTCTCATCAGGGAGCCCCAATACTCCTACAACCATAAGGTTAATCAAAACTAGAAATAATGTGCACGTGAAGGTAGCTCTACGAGCCTGGTGGAAGAAGGGAACGAGGATATTCACTACGTCTCCACCTCTGCAGAACAATGCTCATGGTAGCTGACTCTCAGAAATTGGACATAAAGGAGATGATCGTTGACGCTAAGCGCGTGAGGTGTATATCCATGATGTCTTTTATGTCCCGAATGCCATTGCCGCGCTGTATGTCTCCTCAAGCTATCAAATCACGCCCATCAATCCAGCTTCCTATACTCCTACATGCATGGCATATAGTTCCCAATTCTTTTAAGATATCGGATATGCACGTTTCATCGTTTGCAGTTGGTACATGCTCGCACTCAACGAAGAAGATATACTGCCATGGCCGTATGAGACTAGGTCTCGAGTTGATACTGGTGAGATTCAGACCATGCTTTTTGAAGACTGCTAAAGCATCAGCCAGTGCTCCTGGTGCAGAATGCTCAATCATGAAGGATATAAGTGACTTTCTCTTCTTCTTCGGCTCGTCTGTGTCGGAACCAGTCTTGAGAAAACTAGTGATGTTTGATGATTGCTTGGATAGCCTGTTCCTGAGGACCAGAAATCGTGTTGTATTATCTGCTCGATCTTCAATATGCTCTTGCAACACGAATGCTCCATGGTGCTCGGCGGCTAGTTTACTAGCGATTGCAGCTTCGCGACCCGAAGTCTCCTTTGCGACGATCTCAACGGCTTTCGATGTCGAAGAGACATCCTGCCGTTCTATACCCCGGAAGTGCTGACTCAGGAACTTCTCACATTGGCCCCAAGCTTGAGGATGTGTATACAGTTTATTTATCGAATTGAAGGAGTCTTCCTTGTGCTTATTGACCGGTCTAGCTCCTACGATGAGGCAATGTTGTACCGTCAAGAAATAGTCTGCGCAGACTATAACATCTTCATTGGATCCTTGTCGGTCCGCCAAAAGATCCAATGTTTGGACAACGGAGCCATTGGTCGAATTCTCAATGGGGATCACAGCATAGTCAGCGTCGTTGTTTTGGATCGCAGAGAATGCTTCGGCAAATGAGACAGATGGGAATAGAGAGACGGAATCATCCTTGCCAAAGCTATCAATAGCAGCCTGTTCAAGACCATTGACTGGTTAGCTATTGTGCTTGAATTGAGGAGTATTTGCAGACCTGGTGAGAGAATGAAGCCGCGGGGCCAAGGAAGGTGACTCTTATTGAGTCCTTCATTTTATGTAGATACAAGAAGCTCTCTTTATGCTGATAATGTAGGAGTTTTTCTATATGGAAATAAACGAAAGAAAATAAGAAGAGAAGAGGAGAAGTCGAGGTGAGAGTTGTTCTTTGCTCCGCAGAATTATTTTGTTACACAGAAGCAAGTCCGACAACGGAAAGGAACGACCCAGATCCCGTCAGTATTTATTTACTTTAATCCGACCTTCACCAGCCAATGTGTTCACCATACAGCTTGCAATGCTTGTTTCGCGCACTTGTAGACTGTTATCCAACAAGAATGCCTCCCTGATCTTCAAGCGCACAGTATCGTCTTCCATCGACCCATCCCTACTTCGCCATGAGCTCACAACACGGCGCCTACCGCTAAGCTACGATTATCTCACTCCACAGCAATCTCATCTCTTGAATCTGTCGCTCCCAGAACTTCTCCAATTAGAGAACCATGGCGAAGATCAGAGAAAGCTGCCTTCCATAACGCAGTCGAATTGTATGCCTCCGGGACACCATCTCGTGTACTTTCCTCCACAGGTTACATTATCTGAGCTGCTACCAGACGGTACCGATGTTCTACATACGCCTGGGGAGCCATTTAATCGCCGACTATGGGCTGGTGGTAAAATCACATTCCCACAGTCCCGTGGTAGTGCCGGTGGTCTGTTGCTTAACGGCCAGCGCGCGGTCTGCGTGGAAAATATAGACAACGTCGATGTACAAGGACCCGAAGGTGACGAAAGAGTACTCATCACGATAGACCGACGCTTCACATCGGTGCACGAATATGAGGATGAAATGCAAATCAGGGCGAGTGTAGCGAACAATAACAGCGAAGTCCTGATGGAGAAACGCATCTTGTACTTTATGCGGGATCTCGATTCAGAAATTCAGCAGACCGAGCGAGACAGGAAGAGTAGGATTGTAAAAGGTAGGCGCAATTTCGGTCTTGATTCTTTCTACATTGAAGCCATTACTGACGTATAACAACCTTGCCAACCAAAGCTCCTACAAATCCTGATATCAGTTATACAATGACGCCGACCAAAGCTCTATTGTTCCGTTTCTCTGCCTTGACATTCAACGCCCACTTGATCCATCTTGATCGCCCTTATGCGCGAAATACAGAAGGCCATCATGACATTCTAGTTCATGGGCCGCTGACTGCGGTCTTGATGCTTAGTCTGCTGTCCAACTATTTATCAAAACTAGGACTCTGTGTCAAAGAATTCGAGTACAGGAATTTGGCACCATTGTATGTTGACGAGGAACTACGAGTCTGTGTAAAGGCAAAACAGCAGAGCCCGGACGCATTGGGCTCGTTGGGGGTATGGATTGAAGGACCACAGGGTGGTCTTGCAGCGAGAGGGACTGCTCGGGCTGCTCCGATAAAGAGCTGATATTTCATACAGAACATGTTTCTTGTATTGAAGCTCTCGTACCAAACCCGTTATGTAAATATGTTTGTGACGATACGGTACCCAATCACTTCTACCTGATACCGGAACAACTATACTCCGTGGCTCAAGCTAAGCGGAGCCTCAACGCGCTAAGCAATTTAAAATCGTGTCTTCTGGCGGCTTTTTTCCTTTTTCTTTTCATCTCACTCTCCCTCGACTTGAGCTGTCTTTTCCATCGTACTGCCGTTTGTATAGATTCTGTATTCAGCATTCGACACGATGGATGTCTTCTGGGCAGCTCCCCCGATCTCCAGGTACTTGCTCTTATTCTTGCCCTGCTCTTGTTTCAATGCAAGGCAGATGGAATACGAAGACAAAGCCTAACCATCAGCTTCTCCCACAGAACGTTAACTGCATTTGCTTTCGTCGAATCTTTGGCAGTCCATGGCAAATTTATGCCCTTTTGGAGAATTCATTTCTCTCCTAAACTTATTTTTTTCACATTTCTACCGGAACCATGGAGACTCATCACTCCTTTTTTCCTCACCGGTCCAGGACTCAGTTTCCTCTTTGATCTATACTTCCGTATGATTACCTAGGAGTCCAGCAGTCTCTCTAGCAAATCATCATCTTTACTAACACCCTGATCAGTGTACACGTATGCAAGCGGACTAGAGAGGGGTTCTCCACGCTTCGCTCTACCAGGTGACTTTACTGTCTACCTTGTCTTCGTGTGTACTGTCATCATGGTAAGTCTTCACGTCTTTTCTTCTCTTTGCGAGTCTTTTTTACACAATGTACTGCTACACCAAAAATCAAAGACCATATTCTATCCCTAGAGCTTTGTCTTCGTTGCGTTGCCTTGCCAAAAGCAAATTACTATTGCACCTCACCATATCTGCCCGCCCAGTTTTCCTAGCTGAAGCGGTTCCTGGAAGTGAGGAAGATTAACCCTGCATCTCGTGCAGTCCTATATATATGTCAATTCCGGGGCTGTATGCGGTGCAGGATGGTGGGATGACCAATTGAGATAACGATACGTGGTATTATGTCTACGGATCGTGGTTATGGTGCCCTACATTCCTTGAATATCCACTTTCTATAATATTATTATTCATTCCGTGTCTTCAAATCTCGAAAGTCTCCAAATGTAACTCCTGCTGACGACATGTAGATCACAGCGTACTACTGCACAGGAGCCTCTATATTCACGCGGGGTAAGAAGAGATACATGTCTCATTCTTGTATTCGGATTGTTCATAACTGACCACCACTTGTCGAAGGTCTTATAATGGCCCTGACTCACACCTGGGCACAGGCAAATCGTGGGAGAATCGTTACATTCTACGTGATCCAGATCAAGGCTGAATTGTTACCACCGTGTCTCCTTGTGATCGACATAGTGAGCGGCGGCTGGTATGCTGCTGTCATTGACATGATCGGAATTTTTGCATCCCATTTGTATGACTTCCTTACTCGCCTCTGGCCGATCTTTGGCGGAGGAACCAACTACCTCAAAACCCCAGGGTTCCTGCACCGGCTTTACGGCACAACAGTCAGAGAACAGCGGTCTCGTGGACTCGGCCCATCTCATAGCTCATCTGGTCAGACCTCTGGACAATCTTCGTCAAGAGAAGACTCCGCTGGATCTGCCTGGAGTATGAGAGGCGCTGGACGGAGGCTAGGTGGCGATTGATCTATCCTGTAGCCCAGTCCATATTGTGTCGACGCGCACGAACTCATGATATCCACTGTGCACTTAAATACAATAACATCAAATATAACAATAGCATACATACAGACTTGAGTATAAAATGTAAATCCAGTCAGTCCATGATTTATCAAAGCTTTTTCGGTGGTCGACGAATATACGGCAACCTTATTGGCTGGATCAACCTTAGTTTTGACGCCAATCCCGATTAGTCCACTAAGCTCGGGCCGCACTTTTTTTTTCTTCTGCCCTCGATTTTTCAATCTTCGGTTTTAAAGATTGTCTGTCTTCCGCAACAGCAACCACCGTCCCAGCATATATCGCCAATTTTTGGTTAATTCGCAAAAATGGCAGCTGTTGCAACCAAGGATATCGCTGATTTCAGCATTAAGCCTGAATCAGTCACTCCTAGCATCCCGACATCTGAGTGGCCTCTGCTTCTCAAAAACTATGATCAGCGTGAGTTTTGCCTCCTCTTCGATTTTGTCGCTCTTTTAGAAAAGACGACAAACTGGTTAAACTTGCATGCGCTAATAATTTTCGCAGTTCTCGTCAGAACTGGTCATTTCACCCCAATTCCTGCGGGCTGCACTCCCCTCAAGAGAGATTTGAAGTCGTATATCAGCTCTGGTGTTATCAACCTCGACAAACCCTCGAACCCGTCCAGTCATGAGGTTGTGGCATGGATGAAGAGAATCCTCAGGTATGCATTTCTCGTATATAATTAACCGGCTATGTGCCGATCTAATATCATATAGAGTCGAGAAAACTGGTCACAGTGGTACCCTCGATCCCAAAGTCACCGGCTGTTTGATCGTGTGCATTGATCGTGCAACCCGCCTCGTCAAATCCCAACAAGGTGCCGGAAAGGAATACGTGTGTGTCATTCGTCTCCACGACAAGATTCCCGGTGGTGAAGCTCAGTTTGCTCGCGCTCTTGAAACCTTGACTGGAGCCCTCTTCCAACGTCCTCCCCTGATTTCCGCCGTCAAGCGTCAACTCCGTATCCGAACTATCCACGAAAGCAAATTGTACGAATTCGACAATGACAGACATCTTGGTGTTTTCTGGGTCAGCTGTGAAGCTGGTACCTACATTCGAACTCTCTGCGTCCACCTTGGATTGTTGCTCGGTGTGGGCGCACACATGCAAGAACTTCGCCGTGTTCGCAGTGGAGCCATGGACGAACAAGACGGAATGGTCACTCTGCACGATGTTCTCGACGCCCAGTGGTTGATGGATAACCAGCGCGATGAGTCCTACTTGAGGAAGGTTATCCGACCTCTTGAGAGCTTGCTCACTACCTATAAGCGCATTGTTGTCAAGGATAGTGCAGTTAACGCCGTGTGCTACGGTGCTAAATTGATGATTCCTGGTCTTCTCCGATTTGGTAGGTCGAATATTGTTCAGTTACGTTTTGTGATTTTACTAACGACGTACAGAGGCCGGTATCGAAGTCAACGAAGAAGTTGTGCTTATGACCACCAAGGGTGAAGCCATTGCTCTCGGTATTGCACAGATGTCTACTGTTGAGCTCTCCACTTGCGATCACGGTGTGGTTGCCAAGGTCAAGCGGTGCATTATGGAGCGCGATCTCTACCCTCGCAGATGGGGATTGGGTCCCGTCGCTTTGGAGAAGAAGAAGTTGAAATCTGATGGAAAGCTTGATGTGAGTACACAATATGTTCATTGAATCCTGGAATTGTCTTACTAACTTGATATAGAAATATGGTCGCCCTAACGAAGCTACACCCGCCAAATGGCAGAGCTCATACAAGGATTACAACGCGCCTCTAGATGAACAAGCTGCTGCTGAGCCCGCCCAGAGGTCCGAGGACGCTCCGGCTCCTTCATCGCCATCATCAAAGATGGACGTTGAGGAGGACAAGGCCGAAGAAAAGCCCGATGAAGAGAAGAAGAAACGCAAACACGACGGCGAGACCCCTGAAGAACGTGCCGAGCGAAAGCGTAAGAAGAAGGAGAAGAAGGAAAAGAAGGAACGACGAAAGTCCAAGCAAGAGAAAGAAGAGAGCGATGACAGTGATTAAGCAACCTGCTTTATAAAGGAAAGTAGCATGATTTCGAGGGTGGTAGTTTTATACGTACCGCTTTATATGTCCTGATCAAATTCGTTTGTATCATATACAACTTTCTGTCCGGAGTTCAGGGTTTGCGGTTTCTTGAATTGTTTTGTCTGTCTCTCTTTTGGTCTTGTTTTTGGGGAAAAGTGGGAGCCATAACGTTTCTGGAATCTTTTCTATATGTTCTAGTCAAATGGAATAGTAGCTTTTGTTCATTTCAAGTCCAGCTTGCTGCACCAATCTGTAGGATTCTACTTCTATCACGTTTATCTATCAACAATCTCGAAATATGTCGGAGTATTGCTTTGTAATTTAACTGCGTAGTCGTTCCGAACCGGAGAGGAACTATGTAGGCTGATTTGACATGAATGATATTTTCATGTCAACGTTCAGTGCCTGCTAAATAATTTTATATTACTTGCTGTAATATTTCATCGTAGGCGTTGTGTGGCAGAAGGATCATGTGAGGCATCAAGGCCGTCAACTTCTCTGCACTCCGCACACGCCGCCAATCACCGCATAAATCCCGAAACATCTGTCGACACTGACATCCTCTCTTGCTTCCCATTTCTCGAGACTTTGACCTCGCTTGCTATCTATCGAGTCTTCTATTTTTGATGAATGTTCCACTTTCATGATGGCTGCAGAACTCACATCAACAAAGCTAAACCCTGAGAGCCATCTCCTCTTGGTATGTGCTCCTACGTCACTTAACCTCCTCTATCACGACATGATCTGACCTACTCAAAATGAACAGGACCAACCTCTTCTTCGTCTCCCCCACGAACTAGCACGACGAAATTTCAAATCTGTACAAAGAATCGTCGAGCGAGAACGAGACTATATCATCCCCGCACTCAAAGAAACCGCGAATGGCTCGTTGGCGGGCACCCAAACTCCCGATCAGACGCTCGCGTCCTTGGACGCCATGATAGCTAGAATGCAAGGATTGAAACGGAAGATGGAGTCCCTGCAAGAAGAAGAGAAGAAGATCCAGACTCAGTCGAAGAGACGTATCCACCACCTTCAAGATCTCTATAAGATCCAGACTTTGTCAGATGTCAAATATGAAGACTGGTCTCGGACACGTCTTGATAGGTTGATAGTAGATCATATGTTACGCTCAGGGTTTCCAGAGAGTGCAAAACAGCTGGCAAAGGCAAAGGGTATCGAGGATCTAGTTGATATCGGCACTTTTGTTCAGTGCCAGCGGATTGCGGAGGGTCTGCGGAAGGGAGATGCGAAGGAGGCATTACAATGGTGCGGTGAAAACAAGGTTGCTTTAAAGAAAACCCAGGTTTGCATAATGGTATCTTCGGTGTTTGAGTTCTGCTAATGCGCACGGATATGCAGAATACTCTGGAATTCGAATTGCGCCTTCAGCAGTATATCGAAATGGTCCGGACTGGACAGCCCACGAAAATGATTGAAGCCATGCAGCACGCCAAGAAGTATCTATCGCCGCATCTTGAGACGCAGTCAGTGGAAATTCACCGTGCTGCTGGTCTACTTGCTTTTCCAAGGGACACTGACGCAGAGCCCTATAAGGTAGGCTCAATAACAACCTTTTCAGGATAGAGCCGCTTACAGTTACACCTATAGTCTATGTATTCTCTCGATCGATGGAAATATCTTTCCGAACTTTTCCTTCGCACCCATCATGAGCTACTCTCATTACCCCCTCGACCACTGCTACATATAGCTCTATCCGCAGGCTTGTCTGCCCTAAAAACGCCAGCATGTCACTCGAAATACGCCTCTTCAAGCACCAACAACCTGTCAGTCACTACATCAGTATGTCCCATCTGCTCCACGGAATTGAATGAGCTAGCTAGACATGTTCCATATGCGCACCATACGAAGAGCTCGGTGGAGAATGATTCAATTATTCTTCCTAACGGCCGAATCTATGGACGTGAGCGAATATTGGAGATGAGTAGGAAAGTAGGATCTGTCGGGGAAGGGAAAGTGAAGGATCCGACTACTGGCGAGGTCTTTGACGAAAAGGATATGAAGAAGGTCTATATTATGTAGTATTTTTACAGACTGGATCGGAATGTGTATATACGAGTTTAGGTCATTGTGATTTAATTTGATGCAATGCATACAATATTATTAGCTTACCGTAAAACAATTGATAGAAGGAGGCACTCCCAAGGTTGTTCCCAGTGTAGCGGATATATCAATTGATATGTCGCTAAAAGCGGCGAGCCGCTGACGATTTTGGACGCATAAAAATCCACCAGCAAAAACATTTACGACACATATTAATCGCAGTACAGGTCGAGGAAATGCATCCTTCCAATATATCCTTGACTGAATAAGAAAACACATAACAAGTGGAAAACAGTCTTCTCGAAAGGGAGGGGGGAAAATGGCGAAGTCAAAAAAAAAGCGTTCTCGAGGGCAACAACAAACACTAGGAGACTCAAAGAAAAGAAAAATGCAACACTTCCAGAGAGTCTCAATATCCTCTCAGACGGGCAATTCTTCAAGGGCAACAGATTCGCAAAAGAAGAGGAAGTTGGCTGATTCAACAATTGCAAGTAATCAGCAGCAGCAACAGGCATGGAAGAACAAGAAAAGTGAAAAGAATACCCATCAACAGGAACTACATCAACGACCTGTTATACCATATGATAGAAAAGATCGGATATTGCTAATGGGAGAAGGTGAGCTTGCTCTTTTTCTTTGTAAATACGAAACTTATTTTGATAGGCGACTTTTCATTTGCACGCTCACTATATGAGCACCATCGCTGCAAGAATGTGTTTGCTACTTGCTATGATTCCGAGGGTACTCTGTTGAGCAAGTATCATGGACATGCAGAGGAGAATATCAAGCATTTCCTCGATCAGAAGGACATCGAGGATGTGAAAAGAGACGCCAATGGGGCCCAGGGAAAAGTTACAGAGGACGATACATACACCAAAAACCCTGAACCGAATTCACCAACCCGCAAAGTCCTGTATTCAGTCGACGCTAGGAAACTAGGTACCAACGCCGGAGGTGGGAAGGACATACGAAAAGGCATTCCTCATGCAAGAAACAAAAAAAGAAAACGCCAAAGCTTTCACCGGAATGGTCCTCAGCCGGAAACGAATAGTGAAGATGACGGTGGGCCGTGGGATATAATATCTTTCAATTTTCCGCATGTAGGCGGTCTATCGACTGATGTCAATCGACAAGTACGCGCAAATCAGGAGTTGCTCGTTGCTTTTTTCAAGGCGTGTGTTCCGTTATTGTCAAGGACGGCACGAGAAGATCGAGATAATACAGATGATGATGATCATTACGACGATGACTCATTTGAAAGCGAAACATCTGAATCCGAGTCAGAAGAAGACAAGAACATAAGAACAATACCTCGTCAATCAGGCCAGATCATCGTCACCCTCTTCGAAGGCGAGCCGTATACGCTATGGAATATCAAAGATCTAGCCCGCCACGCCGGTTTAGTGGTCGCGACCAGTTTCAAGTTCCCCTGGAAATCGTATCCGGGATATTCGCATGCAAGAACACTCGGGATTGTGGAGAGTCGAAGTAGTGAAGCTGCTAATAGTGAGGAGACAGAAAGAAGAGGAGGATGGAAAGGAGAGGATAGAGAGGCGCGGAGTTATGTTTTTGAGGTCAAGACTGAATATAGTCAGCGACGTCGACCGGGCCAGCAGGAAATGAAGGATAGTCGGGATGGTGGGAAAGGAAATAAGAAGAGAAGAGGAAGAGGGGATGAATCGAGTGACGAGGATTAGACTGGCCAAACCGCGACTTCTGAATATATATGGTGGGATATCTTACAATCCTTAATCCAGAAACAAAGAGAAATAAATAATAATCTATCAATATATACAAACAAGTCATTGAAAAGAAATCAAACAATCATTCCGAGTCTACTAACACAAAACGACCTTGGAACCCCTCAGGCAATGAAACAAAAAAATATAAGTTTGAACAACCAGTCGTACCACGTGTATTAACTGTATCGAATATTGTAAGTCGATGAAGGGCAATGTCATGATAGTCGAAAGTTGCCATTGATCTTGTAGACCAAAATTAATAGATGTTAAATTGTCATGATATGTGAAAAGCATACAGAGAAAACACCGCCGGCATGAAACCTGACATGGTATGGCGGTTGTTGACACTCCCATGCTCGAGTCACATCGAGTCCATTCAAGTGAACTCAAGTTTGGAAAAACTGCCTTGCCGATAAATGCATCTCATGTGAAAGAAGTCAAAGTTCTACTCGCTTTTCGTTGCTGATAAGCAGCTCTCATTATTTGCTGCTTCTGACGTCCCCTGGGGAACTCTGAGATCAGATTCATGATCTCAACGAATCGCGCATGCTTTGACTGCTGGCGCTAAGAGGTATATTTGTAGTAGGGAGAATACCAGTCTTGGGCTTGGCGTTCTGCTTGAACTTGGCGACCGAATACACAATACCGCTGACGAATCCAATGGCAATGGCAGAGACACTTCCTAGAGTGACCGGGGCGTCGAAGAAGATAAGACCAGACAAAGCAATGGGGAGTTTGTTCAAGGCACCGACCATGGAGTAGGTTGTTGAAGAAGTGACGCGCATGCACCAAGCTGAAGTGTATGAGATGAAAACAGAAGACAAACCGGAGAGAACCATGGCGATGGCAATGTTTGATCGGCTAACTATGGGGAAGTTGCGGGCGACGTTCTCAGCGGACCAGTCTTCAATGAGCAAAGTAGCGAGGATCAGGACGGGAATGGAGAGTAAGTTGTTGTAGAACATGGCTGTAGAGAAAAGTCAATTCTGCGCCACAAAATCGTTGTATAGTACCGCTTGGTATGTAAAGGAAGCTTACTGTCAAAATCCTTGAAGTTGGTCAACTTAATGCGCTTGCGCATGTACAAATTATAGAACGCAGTGCAAAGACAATTCGCTGTCATCCAGATATAACCAGCATTCAGAGTCGAAATCTTGGTGCTAGCATTTGTAGTGGATGTAAGCGCGTGTTGAACATCGGCCCAAGCAGCGATAATAGAACTGGCGACCATCAATCCAAAAGAGAACAGAGTAAGACCAGTTACAGCTGAGCCGCCGAACCAGAGGACCTCTCCGTATGCGATCAGAATGATGGTCAAGTTCTTGAAGATGGTGTAAACGGGAATGGAGAGGAATTGCAGAGCCTTGGAGCCGGTGAAAATCATTCCGATAAGGAGAAGAGTAATGGGGAACCCTAGATTACGAACCACCCGTCAGTATGAAAACAGGTTTTGTCTAAGCGATGTACTTACACTTCTTGGCTTCATCCGTATTGAAATTGCGAAAGGTTATGAGACCACCGGCCTTGCAAGTTTGAATAGCAATAATGCACACAACGGACTGCACAATAACAATGTCAGTCAAGAACAAATCCGCCATTCCAAAAAGCGAAACCCACCTGAACAAGAAGCAAGAAGAAATTAAGATTGAAATCCAACCCTGACAAAACATATTTATTCATCACAGTCATCAGAATCGAAGAACCGCAATAAGCTAACACGGGTAAGACTGGATTGTTGGACAACCCAACAGGAACGTTGTGTCGAGGTTGAGGATGAGGAACCTCAAAGGCTCTGGAGCCTTGCTCCAATTTCGAATCTGATTTCTTGTCGTCTGCCATGGCGAGTGAATGTGTTTGCGCGCGTGAAGATTTTCGTTCGTTGTGTCTCAGCTTGGATGACGCGGCTCAAGGATTTGGAGAAAGCTCAGGTCGTGTGGAAAGGCCGGATGCTCAGTCGAGACAGATATAGAGATTCGACCTAAGTTAAAAGAGAGGAACTTGACCCACGGTCTATGCGAGAGACGAAGTGAAACGATACAAAAACGATGAAGAGATGAAGAGAGTTCAAACCAAGTTGACTGTCAGATCTGTCAATCAATCAATTGTTGGCTAGGCTAATCTTGGACGGATCTTAGGCAGGGGGAAAAAAGGAAGGAGCAAATTGGGCGTTACGGCTGTGGCTCGGCGATAAGCAAGCCTATTGGCTGGCGGGGGAGGAAGGCTTGTAATTAACCCAGTATTATTTGTCTTGGTACGTACATACAGAATTGCTGGTCTAGAAGCCAATCGGTCTGGTTAGGTATGATACCGTGTATCGATCGATATATGGTAATTTTGTACTGTAATGCGTTGTATCGTACCAGATATTTACCAAAACGGCACCCCGCGAAAAAGTAGAAGTATCAACATCCCCCTCAACGACATATAACTCAGTCAATTGAACTTTCTTCATACCTATAAACATGTCCGATCCAACTTTCCTCGACGCCAAAGTCTCCTCAATCCTCGGTCAGAAGCTTGACTCCTCAAGAACTGACCCGGGCGACCTCGACGAAGACGCTCTCTTCGAAGAGCTCGAAAAGGAAGATGACTCTGCCTACCGCGCCCACCGTCTCGAACAACTACACAAAGAAGTAGTCTCCGCAAAAGAAGCACTCAAACAAAACACCCCAAATAATAACAACAACAATACAACCACAACAATAGACGCTTTCTATCCTACTTTAGTCGACGACCGAGCCGTTCTGGACCTTACTACAAATAACGAACGATGCATTGTTCATTTTTCCCACACGGACTTTGCGCGCTGCACGGTCATGGATGAGCATTTACGCCTTCTCGCGCCGCGACATCACGAAGTCCGCTTTGCACGCATAGACGTACGAAACTGTCCCTTCGTCGTTGAGAAACTCAACATCCGTGTCCTACCATGCGTAATCGGTTTTGTCGACGGCAACGGTAAAGAAAGAATCATTGGCTTTGAAGGCTTAGTCTCCATAGGCAAAAGTGCTTTAAGAGGGAAAGGAGCGGATAATTTCAGGACGACAGATTTGGAAAAGAGGCTAGTTCAAGCTGGGATTCTGGTGAGAGGGAAGTATGTTGAGGAGATTGGAAGGAATAATGACGAGGGTGATATGAGTGAGAGTGAATCGGAGAATGAGCGGGGAGGGAAATCATCGCGGAGGAAGGGTATACGGGATGGGACGAGTAGTCGTCGATATGGTCAGGATAATAGTGATGATGATTGGGATTGAGTATTCGTTCTTTAAAGTTGGATGCATATAAAATGTGATCTCCTGGGATGAACAAGAGGTGAAGGCAGAGCATTGTCTTTAAGCTACCGGAGAATGGTATCTATGTGATACTGTCGATTAGGTCAGGCTTACAGAGGCCGTATACATCGAGTCAAAGGCCCTGGGTACCAGCAATCGAGTTGATTGTCTGAAGAGTACAGAAACTGATCAATAGGATCAATCAAATAAAAGCAAAGCATAGAATAATCATGCTACATAGATATACCCATGACTTGTCAACTAATCTATCTCATTGCGTAAATTATACAACTCAATGCCTGCAACAGTGCTAATTCTGCATGATCGTACAGTTACAATAAATATGACGAAAAGAGGACACCGACCAAGAAGAAGAAGTAAATAAGAAATTGAGAGCACCATATTTTAATACAAGCATTAAGAATGCAAAAGGAAAAGGAAAGAACAACGCATTCTGTGATATAAAAAACATACAGAGTCCTATAAAACGCAAAGACAATGCCCTCATTCGGAGGATGATTGACAACAGCACAATCATAACGTAAAAGGATATCGCAGTTGGAATAAAAGGAAGACATTATAGAATGGTCGACTCCATGCGGGAATGTTCAATTGCATCAAAGCCGTCTGAGAAGATTATACGAGTCACTGATCTAATTAGATCGCCACTGTTTTCATCTCACCCAGATTCTCTGACTCTAGATCAAGAGGAGTTGCGTCTGCAGTCGAGCTATGTTTTGAGGTCTTTTCATTGACAGAGATATCCTTCAAAGGTTCCTTCGATGCATCATTTGTTGCCACGGGAGTGGTCATCTCTAATAGGTCTTCAGCGGATTCCTTGGTTGGTACCTCTTTTAACGTCAAATCCTGGGTGCGTTCGCTGACAGAAGTAACTGGACTCGACGCTTCCTCAGTCACTCGTGCAAGAGGGCTCGAGAGAGCAAACGGGGTTTTGGGACTCTGTGTCTGAGCACGACTACTAAACCGATGAGGAGATCGCCCACGCTCTTCACTTGGTGCCGGACTGCCGTAAGGGGAATTCCGTGATTTGTCAACGTTCGTATTCAGGCCCAAGCCGTTTGCTGACCTCCGACGCGGCCGTCGTCCAAATCTTTGATCTACTCTCCAGCGCAAAATCTCCAGATAGGGCGGTTCAACGTTCTGTTTTCTGAATGGTTTCAACTTGAGCTCCCCAGAGTCTTCCTCTACAGACACAAACGGGCTGGCAAAATCATCCGCAACCTGCGCAAGGAACGCCGCCCATGATCGAGCTACCACATACTTGCAATCGTAGTCGCGTCCAAAGATAATAACTTGACCCCATTTGCCTGCTGGACCTGGAGCAAGATCGACAGCAATGCAGTTACCGCCCCAGTCACGGGCAAGGGGGACCCAACCAGGATGCGCATAAGTTTTCTGGATTGCGCGAGGCGGTTGCGAATCTTGCCGATCCAAAAGATCCTGTCTCCATGTCGGGTTAGAGGCTTGATGTTGCTGAGAGGGGCCGGCCGAAGATGAAGAAGCTCCAAAGGCCTTGGACGGAATTTGAGGTGGGACGATAGTCGAGGTTGAAAAAAACTCCTCCGCAACAGTTCGCCAGTTCCTCCACTCATGGACAATCTCTTCACAATCTAGAAGCATACAGCCAAAAATAATTCCTGTCGGGGTGCCGCCGCGCTCTTGGCCGTCATGAATCATTAGCGACTCACGAACCTCGAGAGGTAAGCTAATATCTAGTTCGTGCTCCAGCTCATTGACATCGTTCTGTGTGCAACCTTCACCTAACTGATCAAACAGTTCTGGGTAATTGTCCTCAGTCCAGCGATCAATCTTCTTCCACGAATGAGTAACTGGTGGTGGTGGTGGGGCGCCGTCGTGGAAACTTTGCATTTGTATCTCTCCCATGCCATCAGCACCTCCAGCCTGGTCGCTCGATCTCCTAGATTGCGACGCCAATGACCGCATGCCTGGTGAGTATGGGCGGTTGGGTGAGCCTAAACCTCTTGGGGAACCAGCCCAGCCATTAGAGTTTGTCTTTGATATTTCTTCTTCCTCAAAAGGGGAGGTAAGATCGGGACGAGAATCTGCCGCAGTAGCAACTGAAGTGAGAGTATCATGGCGGCTCGAATTGAGGGGAACATGCTGGCCTGTCCGGTAAGGTGAATCGTGGGATGCATGGCGATCGTTGGAGGTCATGGTATGCCAAAAAGAGCGCCATGCCGAGCCAATTCTAATTGTGTATAGTTAGAAAGGAACCATGTTTTTTGAGCTGGATCGAGTCCAGGGAACATGACTTACGAGCCAGAAACGGTTTGCGGAGGCATGACGGAGGTTCAAAGATTGGTAGCTTTGCAAGGAACGTCGGGGGTATCGAAAAGGAAATTCACAGTCGACTGATCAACAGTTCATTTGGGAAGATCGCTCAGGTCAGACAGCGGACACGCGCAGTCAGCCTGCAGTCGACACTAATAAAGACCGACGTATGATGATGTTGCCGATGTGTAAAGGGCGACACCGCACGCAGGGGGGAGGGGGGAGAATGGTATGCGTCGGGGTTTGAAGATTTGTACGTAAAAAAGCGCTTGAACGATCGAAACCCAATCGATGATTGTAGAACAAAAACAAGTAGACGCGGCGGTTTGTACGCGAGGAAAACAAGTCGAATGACGGCGGTAGTTAACTTCGACCCCGGATTGGTGAATGTCTACCACTGGGCGTTCCTTAATGGAAAGGAAAACAAATCTCAATCCAATTCGACGGGTTCAGTCGACGTGTTGTGAAAAGCGAGGGGCAAGGGATGGAGAACTAGTCCACTTGGATGTGAATTGGAAGGGCAGATATAAAGACAAGGAGAGAAAAAAGAGAGAGATGAAGTTAGGAATCGATGAAAGCAGTCAAGTCAGGGAGCGACTTCCTGCTTTGCCTGTCCGTCATGGTTCCTGCCTGAGAAAAGAGGGTGTGCCTGGTGGAGACGGGGATGGTCAGGGGTGCTCTGTGATTGGTTTTCTGCTCAGCCAATCATAGAATGTCGCTGTCAATTGTGGTCCTTCTGGGTCGTTATTTATTGTTTTTATCATAGCCACTGAAGAAGGGGGTAGTCTTTATAGGACTTACATTTTCACAGTGCATTCTATAGCAACTCTGCTTGCGCTCTGCAATCGATGTTAACACGATCAGTCGAGGAACAGCCTGAAAAATTGACTCTGAAGTGGCTCCAACGTCTAATCGCCGAGACCAACCGTAAATTAACCCGTGGATGATAGATATTAAAGCATTGGAATTTAGAGGCCCGTTCGTTCCTGACGGTACTGTAATTTCATTACACTTAGCCACTCATCAGCCACATCTGCATCAGTAAGCCAATAAACGGTTAGTCTGAGGGTACTGTTGGTTGGCTCTCCACCAGTCGGTAATTTACAAATACGACCATCTGTAACTCCGTAACTCACAAGACATATGGAAGATCGTAGTCATGACGATGTCTACTAAACATATTATTCGAAGTACTAGTTACTACCACGACAGCACATCTCATAAACTGATATGTTATTATCGACATGAGCCTGACCATGTAGGCGTCTGTTTGCGGTATTCGCCACTGCAGGGAATACATATCGCCTCCAAAGCCCCGTTACGTATGGTGCATACCTATTGACGTATGTAATTTTCAAAAGCAAATGACGATACGGAATACACGTTCAGAACGTCGATCAGATGAATTGTGGCTTGCCGAAAATAGATTTTAGCTATCAAATAGTTTTCCTAGTAGCAACTAGTTTAGTACGGGTTGAAGGCTTCTGCGTAATAGGGGCATGCTTTAGGGCTGTCCTTAATTAAACCGTTAGCGGCTCCGATTACAAATTGAGTAAGGGTGAACTGGGTCGTAGGGAATATGTATACTAGTTGAGAAAAGAGATTGCATACTTACTAAGGAGCGAATATAGTTGGTTAATTATGACAGGAAACACTGGTTCGAGCTGACAAAGTAAGCTCAAACGAAAACTGCAAATGGCAAAACAGGTGTGAAAGAAAGGGAGAGGTTACGAGGGAATAAGAAGATTGAAAGCAAAAAACAAAGTACAAAAGCATCTGCTGTCAAGAAAAGGTCTCGAAATCATATCCGCGATCAACACTGAAGAGTGCGACAGAGCACCAACCCATTCAAGTCGTAAAAGGTATGCCGTCATAAAATGTAAAGACGACTCTAACAGCGCGCTGTGAAACTTCCAGACTCCTCGTAATGAATGTAGAGAACAGCAAGACAACATCCCAGAGTCCAAGAAATATGAGCCCGCATAAATCAGAAATGAGATTCCCATATACCCATTGCAACGACCCGTAAAAACCATCCCCATAGAAAACCGCCAAAATATGCGACATAAAATTCTCTCGACCCAAACCGATTTATGGTAATGCATATGGTATCTGTAAAATGAGAATGGGGAGGCACAAAAACCAATGACGAGCTTGAAACCGAAACCGAAACAAAGTCCCAGAAAGACCACACCGAAAGAAGGATCCCAAAAACATATGAGCTCGCGATCTAGTCGAGTGACGCGCAGTCTTCCTTCGAAACCTTATAACAACATAGATGCCTGGAAAATCATAAGACGAAACATATAAAGAGCGAGAACCAAAGTAAATTTAGCGCAAGAATAACCGGTCGTTGGGTAGAAATTTGATTTAAAGTTATCAAGCCAGAGAACTCTGCACTCCATTGGGTTGCATACTCGGAGCCATGTCCAATTTCAAGATTCTTCGAAGATCATCTTCCATTTTCTTGGTGTCGGGATCTTGCTTACGTGAAGGCGGAGTAGATTGTAGTCTGGCATTGAAAAGGGTGGGTGAATTGTACATTTGCGAAGGTTGGCCAACTCGGAAAGGTGACTGGAGGGATGATCCGTAGTGGTTCGCTCTTGCAACATTGACCGGGCTTGCATAGGGAGAAACATCTCGATGGAACGAGATCGGATTGATATTCTCAGCATAAGTCTGTGGTGGAGATTTGTAAGGCATGCATTGAGCAGGATTTTGTTGAACATGACCATTGAAAGAGACAGGAGTTGGAGGCCCGGAAGCTGCGTGCTGAGGAGCGTGGGCATTGTGAAAATAACCACGCGCTGGCCCTTTTGGATGAGGAGACACCGATGCCGGGCGTTGAGGACGTGGGTTTAGTAATAGGTGCTTTAGTTCTTCTGTCTTCATCTTTCGTTGAGCATCGTCCATTTCTGTTGTCCAGTGCTGTTTAGTACCACTAGAGGTCAAGGCATTCATCTTGGTTTTATATGAAGAAACTGGGGTCGAAAAGGTTGGTGTTGTCCTCTCCGAGCCATCAAGCTCGAGCGAGAATATACCGGTTGAGGCCGAATCTTGTCGCTGATTGGTTATGACATCAGTAGATTTTGAGACTGTGCTCTTCGAAACAGCCTCAGGGCTCTGTTGAGACTTGGTTCGTGCATCAATGGCGGCCTTGAAAAGGAAATCCAAAGGAGAAGGTTCGTGTTTGATGCGAGAAGCACTCGATTTAGGCTTTGAGGGAGTAGTAAGTTCTGGCGCTGACTCCTCATCCAACTCATCGTCAAGCTCTAATGCAGCAGAAAGGCCGGAGTCGGGGACAGACTTGGAAAAGAATGACGGCATCGGAAGTGCAGACGGTGCGGGGGATGCATGGAAAGTTGGTCCGGCATAATGTGGGCTGTCTTTAAGTTGCGGCGGAGAGGCTATGCTTGGCTGAGAAGATGTATGACGATGACTCACACCATTGCTATGGGGAGCATTGGTCAGGCGAGTGTTCTCCCTGGACTTCTTGCTAGGACGATTGTCATTCTTCTTGCGGGAGCTGTTGTTGTCTCCGTTGTAAACACCCGGTGTGCCTGTAGCAAAGTAGTCGCCAGGGCTTGACACTCGAGGCGGCGATGAAGGAGGCGTCGACAGCATAACGGTTTTGCCCTGGGAGGCAGGTGTGTTGTTCCTTCTTTGTTGTCGCTTAGGATTGCGCGATCCCTTCATTGGAGTTGTTGTCACTAGTGGAGTAGACATCGCGACGGGTATGGTGGCTTAAAAAATAGGCAGCCTGTTGAAGAGAGATAGGAAATAAGAAAGCAAAGCACTGGAGGATAGGTAAGAGCAAAGGCACGAATAAACACAGTGGTCGCAGAATAAATAGCTGATATGTGCACAAGAGAGCCGCCTAGCGGTTTTGGAATGGATGCTAAGAGGATCGAAAGACGCAGATTAATTAAGTCAAGAGAAAAGTCTTGTAAGAGCGCCAGAGCAGATCTATTGCGATAGATGAAGCGTGCGAAATGCCGGTGAATGATTACGGCACAGTATGTTTCGAGACGGAGATCGAGGGAAACAAATAAGAGGCGGTAGAAACCGGCTGATCAATCATAGCTGCATTATTTCAGATCGTGCTCAATGAAGATTGTGTGAGTGAAAGGTTATGAGTGCACAAGAGCACGCATTTCGACTGCGAGAGTGTTGATGAGAGATAGATGTTGAAGAAGAAGTGAGTTGAGGTCGAGCGAGGCTGGACGTCGAAGCCGACGAGTCAGGTGTTGCGCCTGCCAGTTGGGTTGCTGCGAAGTGGGGGGTTGCTGCCCGCAAGGTTGCCACTGGAACGAACCAGGCAGACTCCGAGGCAGCATCATTACTGTCACAACAATAATTGCCCTCACCACAGTTATTGTCTTTTACACACTTTGTGAGTACGTTTTACGACTCGAAACACTGCTTTTCTTGCCTTGGCTGGCCCGGTTTATTTCTTTTGCTTTGTTACGTTCATGCGCAGCGATCCGATCGGAGGGAATATCGATATCAGCTTCCCGACTCATGATAAGTTAGTGGCTGTAGCTACTACCCACTCGTCACTCTCAACCTCGCCTCTATCGAAGCTTTTTGTTGCATTCACCAGCTTATTCCAAACCTGAGAAATCTACCAAAATGGCCGACGTGGAAATGCAAGATGCTAGCTCCGCAAAAGACAAGGCTGTAAAGACCTCAAAGTCCGCAGCTGGCGAAAGCTCCGAAGGCAAGAAGCGCTTCGAAGTCAAGAAGGTGGGTATTCTTTATTTTTTGACTTCATTTTTATTCAATAAAATCAAGAGGCGAAACTGATCCTTTGGCCATATAGTGGAACGCCGTTGCTCTTTGGGCCTGGGATATCGTCGTCGATAACTGCGCCATTTGCCGTAATCATATCATGGACTTGTGTACGTTTGCGTGTTTTTTTTATATCTCGAGGATGCTAACAATATTGGCAGGCATTGAATGTCAAGCAAACCAAGGTTCATCTACCACAGAAGAGTGCACAGTAGCATGGGGTATCTGTAATGTGAGTTGCTTGTGATTGTTCAAGCTTGGCATAGTCCATCCAAGAGCACTCACTAACCCATTCATCATCTTATTATATAGCACGCCTTCCACTTCCACTGCATCTCTCGATGGTTGAAAACCCGGCAGGTCTGCCCGCTAGACAATAGAGACTGGGAATTCCAGAAGTACGGCCGATGAAAGCTTTCGATTCTTTCGATACTTTTGCGACACGACTCCTGGTCTTTCATACTGACGCGTTCATGTCTATAAAAGAAAGGGCATTTGCTCTACTATCGGTGGACTCATGATCCACTTTGATCAGCTGCAGGCACGCGGCGATTCTACGTCATTCAGCTACTATAAGTAGTCTATTGATAATAATGACTCATGACGAAAATGCAGTACTGGTTTTCATCCAAATACACAGAGAATAGAAACAAAACGCCGTCCCATATTAAAACCGCTAAAACAGATAATATTGCATCGTATACCAATGTCGAGGTACAAGAATGCTTTCCCATTTGATTGCCCCATCTTTCTCGTAGATTTATCGAACCTTTACCCCATCAACAACAATCCCAGGCACATTGATCGCCGAATTCGTGTTACTACCTGTAGAATCGAGCCACTTCTCCGGATGCCGGTTATAGAACGGCCACGGCGGAATAACGACGAAACCTGTAATAGCGGTACCTGCAAGTCCGATCCAGAGTGTAAGATAAATATCTTGCTGGATATAGCCGACGATGAAAGCGACGATCTATTCAGAGGCATAATCAGTCATCCTGTTTTGGCAAGATAGCTGTATTCTGGATGATGTGAACGTACGCCGGAAATAACTAGGAGAATCGTTGAGAGGGTTTCAGCGAGTTGTTGGCCGTGAAAGTCCTGTGTCTGATGGTTAGTGACGACTACTCAACTCTGAGGGGAACGAAAGCTTGTATCGAGCTGCCGCGCCGAAACTCACGATTTGACCTTCTAATGCGTTCTGGATCGGAGCCAGGATATTGTCCATCTTGCTTTGTTGCCTTTGGTTTCTCAGCGCTCAGTAAAGTGTAACCGAGTATAGATAACCCAATGAAACAATAGATTCCAATATGTAAGTGGCGTGGTATATCTCGTTGTCGCTGATATATCTCGAAAGATAAAGTATGGCATAGTTGGCGTCTCGGGACGGAGCTCTGATTTGTCGTAGCTTCACGGTGGGTCTATACTAATGAGATCCACCAATAAGCGTTGATCATTTTCTTGTTGATATGGCCCTCGTACACTCGACAACTTCAGGTCAAGAGTGCGTAGGACTTATTGTTTGATCATTTTCATGTACTAACCTTATCATACATTCTAAATAGACGAACAGGTACAAGATACATGTTGTAAGTGGAACAAAAAAGGCAGTATTGGGGTATCATATGGTCATAAATTCTAAACCTCAGTCATTAATCATATAAAATCTACTTCTACTTCCTCTTAGGTGTCGGAGTCCACATATTCTTCAAACCAGACGAAGACGAAGACTGTCTCGGCGTACTACCCACTTTCGCCAAAAGCTTCTGTGCCGCCGGTGTCAATGGTTTCCCCCGAGGAGTCTTACTCCCAATAGGAGTACGTAGGCGCGACGAAGATGACAACGACGAGAACATCGGGTTAGGACTACTGGCAAACCGTGGCACATTGCTGCTGCTGATGCCTGCTTTTTCGGCTCTCTTTTTCTGCGCCACGCGATCAACCATTCGATGATGTAGGTCTTCACGTTTGCGGTTTTCTTTGATATCGAATGGATTTGGTGTTGTGTCGCCGCCGGTCGAGCCCTTGCTAGCTAGAATTCTGAGACGCTCGTAGACGGATTCGTCGTCGTATTCCGGTTCGTCCTCATCGACAAATGAGTATCCATTCACTCGTGGCGTTTCGCTGCCAGTGTATTCTCCTCCTACAGATGATTCATCCGTGTGCCGTACTCTCCCAGCGATTGCATCTTTGATAGCTGACAGTGAAGGGGATGACAGTACCGACGGACCATCATGTCCCGCTGCCGCCGTACTATTATTCGTGTTGTCGAGTCTCGTATTCCCATAAACAATTTGCTTAGGCCCAGCTCTTGAAGCGGCCTCCGCTTTCTGCTGATGAGTCTCATGCTGCTCTTCCACAAAGCCAGGTGTAAACATCAAGGAATTCTCCACCCCAGATTTCCAGGTATCCGGCACCGCAGGTCGAGCATCCAAATCCGTCGACAAGACCAGTTCCTTACTCGTCTCGGCAACACTGCCCTGATTCGCGATGCGTTTCTGTTCTCTTTGGCGATGCGCAATCTGTCGTGCAGACAAGATCTTGTTCCCGCTCCATTTCCATGCGAATTTTTCCCTTCGTTTCGCATTCTGTCGGTCCAGTAACCTGTTGAACGATTCGTTATCTTCGCTGGTATATTTAGCCTGGAACGAATTCAAACTGAGATTCGACACATCGACAAGATCCTTCGAAGAAGCGCCCATTACAGACGACTGCGGTGTCGCAGTTGTCGATGCGACAGAGGCCGGTGTCTCATTTCCCCATCTTGTTTCTGTCATCGGTGTATCCGCCACGTTTCGATAAGGTGTGCTAGATCCTCTTCTGATTGAACTACCACCGGGCGTCATCACTTCCGAAAGTCTCTTGCCCGCTCGCGCGATCCATGCTTTATCCTTTGAATCCAAAGCGTCGAGAAAGTCTTGCTTCGTTTGCATCTCTAGCAACCCTGGGAAGAAATCGCGCGCGATAATATGCGATAATGCGTCCGTGTAAGTATCTTCATCTAGAACTGTGGAGGGTCGTTTGATCTTCTTCGCTGGCGGCGGGGGAGGCATCAAGGCCATGTCGATGTCAGCCTGTCGCCTGACGACAGCTTGCTGTGAGGGTGATGCCATGTTGTCCGATTTTTTGCTGTGATAAAAAGTTTGACAGGCTTCACAGTATCCTGTATTTACCTTCAACAGGTTCCGGCATCGCAAATCTCGATATGTTTTGGTGATAACGGTCAGAAGTGAAGTTGTTTGAGGCAAGTATAAAGATGGCGCTCCGCTGCCAAGACCGCCTTCTGATAGATCTCGCTCTCCATTCTGCCGCTTTTCCTCTTCAGGCGATGGATTGTCATCTGATCGAAATCAAGATGAGCTGTTCAGCCTTAACCACGTAGTCTTGCGTTTACTCAGGACTTTCCGTTTATATAAGACTACTAGGAAGCACTTCTTGTTGAAACCAAATTCTTGTTGAATCGATTACAAATAACCACTATTCCTAGAACTTTTCCCCCATGCAGAATATGCAAATGCAGTCATGATAAACCTCAGTACTCCATCCGTACAGGCACCTGTCTATATGAACTTTTTTCTGTGCACGCGAGAGATCAAACAGACCAGAAAGATACAAAAAGAGCGGCCGGGAAAAAGAGCGAAAACCGACAATAACAGGCCTCCAGGAATCATAATATCCCTTCCAAGTCACCCCGGACTTTTCTGAAACCCATCAAAACATAAAAAGCTCAAAAAATCAAAAGGTAATGACCGATGCAACCCAATGGATAAATGGAAAAACACAAAAAAAAAGAACACGGAAGGATCGTCACGTCATATACAAATATATAGAGAGAGGGTATTGCCAACTCAGATGGCAGGTAGTGTTGGAACATAAAGATTTATTGCGTGGTGGGAAAAAGAGAGTATCCAGCTCGGCTTTTCCGCTTTTGCGCCGCCAATGATTGTCGAACGGCGAATGGAAGACCCTGGGCCGATTGTTGTATTACCTGGTTCTCGTCATGATGGTCGAGAGCAGACACAGATTTTGTTCGATCATGAGTCGGAGATGCCAATGGATAAGGCACATCCACGACATGAATGCTTCCGCTGCTACTGGTAGTTCGGAGCTTAGCGAGCGCACTCAATTCTAAGCCCAAGCTCTTGACTGGACGGTGAATAGAGAATCCCGGTCGAGGAGCTTCGGACAAGACACCTAGCGGGGGATGTTCGAACGATTCGATGCTCTCCCGGATAGTGTTCTCGCGGCTACTATTCGCACTGTTTGTCAACTCTGGGACGCTAGTTGTTGAAGTCGACGAGCGATGTTTTCGCACAATTGATGCCGCGCGGGATAGGATGACGCTTTCTTGAGAGTTATACTTGCTGATTTGCGAGTAGCTGCTCCTGGGGGATGGCGTCACGTCGGTTGACTGAGATGAACCCTGAGTGTAATACTGGAATTGACGATCGGGGTCGTCTCCGACAGCAAGAAATGTCTCATAAGCCACCTCATTTTCGTCGTTTGTCTCGAGCTTTTTCAGGTCAGCAGTGCTGGCGTTGAAAAACTCAGCATGAGCAGCGCCGTCACTCAATGGAGTTAGAGCGTCATGCGATCTTGTGAGAATCGATTGGGCTGATCCTGGATCCAAATCCGGAGTTGCTGGTGTCGAAATGGAGGGATTCACTTGTAGGTAATGAGGAACCAAGTGATTTGCTGCTGAGGGCGTTGTTACAGTGCCTGGTACCGAATTCCTCGACGTCTCTGAAGAGAGCCGACCCCAGTCGAATTCACAGTCTGCCACAGCCTCATGCTCATAACAGAAGTCGATATCTTCCTCCCAGGTCATGGGTAAATTGGTCAGCCCGACAGCCGAGGTACGTCTTGTCGTATCACTGGCTTGCGAGACGGGCGAATCCTGGAGTATCGGCTGGAAGTTGGGCAAAGTGGGAGACGTAACCTCTTCCGAAAAAGACAGTTGCGGATCCTGGACAATTATCACAGACTCGTGGGCAGGAGCAGCGGATAGATGGGCCTCGTTTGAGACTCTGTCACCAATACTGCTAGAGATTGACAGAAAACGTGATGTACGCAAAAGAGGCTCATCCGATTCTTTCGTCTCATCTTCTTCTGGGACATCCTCCAAATCGGACAAGTAGCTGTTAATGAAAGCTGCTGTGGGTTTGCCGTCAGTTTCGATGCTAGGGTCGTCAATAGTCTCATACTGGCTACCCGATATCGCAGAGCTGCTTTCGGGTTGGAAGATTCCCGCAAGATCGATTCCTTCCAACGAGGAAACCTTATGGAAAGAAACGCTGTCCAGTTGGGGATATTCATAGTCACGAATGCTAGGCTGAGTGTTTACTCCAAGAAGCTCATCGATAGCCAGACTCGTCGGCTCGGGTATTTCCGATTGACCTTGTCTGGAAGATGCTCGCGGCGGAGCAGTCATGAACGGCGACGGAGGCAATGGTTTCTGCAAACGGGAAACCGGGCGTGAGAAGTTCTCAATTCTGCCGGGGGACCTTGGTTCGCGCGGAGATACTGGAGAGCTCCTTCTCAAAGGTGAAGTGGGAGAAGTAACTGGTCGTTGCTGCCAGTCGGCCGCAGTCTCGTCCAGGGAGTCGTCAGAACGAAGAGCTTGAGCGCGAATACCTTTCAAACCAGGCTCTGGTGTTTGAGATGCCTGGATTGCGGAAAACTCGTCCACCAGCTCAACATTACTCGTATTATCCAGAGCATGAAATTGGCTTGAGCTGGTGTGAGTTACGTGATGAAAGTTATAGGGCTCCGAAATGATACGTTTAAGTTGGTCATCTGGGTTGATCAGTCTGGGATGTTCGAAATGCAGACGAGAACTGGAAAGAACTCACGGGAATCATTTCTCTTGAGCTTGGGGACCCTCTGAAAGACCTTGGGAACTTCAAACCGAGCAGCACTCTTGCCGAATTCTTCCTCTTCCTCCAGAGTCGTAGCAACCACGTTCAACTTACTGCCCTGGCGCCGCAGAATACGACTCCCTCGAACCAGCAAGGACCGCGCAACATTGTCGTGCTTTTCGTCATGCGGGACCGGGGACACTGATGGCTCACCGTAACTGAGAGACTCAGCGGGCAATGGGCGCGAAGGGGCGGGTGCATTGGTGGTGTTGCTTCTTGAGCGAGACGAAAACATCGACAGTCTTTTAGGGCTATTGATATTGGCACTTGATTTGGAGCGACTGTGGAAAGAATGATCTGAGAAATCGCTTGTGGATGACGTTGGCGGCCGCTGGGAAGAGGAGTCCATATCATCTTGCCATGAATCTGGTGATACTGTTCGGGATGCCATGTTGGAGAGCGCGCGAAAAGAGAGACGATCTCGAAGAATCAATTGTTGCTACAGTTGTACACATACGAAGAAAGATGCGGCCCTGAATTATTGTTGATGGTGTATCATCATATCGCTGCGACAACGGGAACAGCAAAGCGCAATTGAACCGGGGATCAATGAGTAACGGATACAAATACCAATGATCCGCATGCGCATTCCCGGAAGAGACGGTATGGTTCGTTGTTAAGTCGTGACACGAGAATCAATGAAAGACGGTGGTGGGTGTAGTAGGAGGGCGTGGAGAGGGAACGAGAGAATGATGTGGCAGCCCAGACAGACGGCTAAGAAGAGAGAGAGAGACTGTATAGTACAGTGAAGTACACACAGGGGAATAAGAGAAGCAGCGGCTAAAGAGAGGTTATTGCGAGAGACAGTGAGCGAGTGAGTGAGGACCAGAAAAGGAGAGCAATTGACAGAAAGAGAGTGTGTGACGGAGGAAGAGCCAGACTGGGGAAGGATGAGGTAAGTAGAGTTAGGGCGGGAAGGAGAGAAACACGAGCCTGAGGTTTTTGTCGAACCCCACAAGCGGGCTGATCTTCGCTTTCGAACGCACCAGATCAATTGAATTGATCGGGATAGACAAAATCACTGACTTGGTGCCGTCAAAAGGAATATTGCAGACGGAAGGGAGAAAAGGAGAGAAGCCAGGGATTTGCGATAGTATTGTGTGTTGAACCCGTCAAGCGCGCAATTGTAGCAACACTATTGATCCAACGCGTCGGATTGTACGTAGTACTCCAGCTACCAGGCCGGAACGAACAAGGATACAAGGACCATGGATCCTGGTGGTTAGTACGCTTGATAAGTGACGAATTGACAATTGAGAATATAGCCGGGGGGATCCCTATTTATTTTTTACAAACCATACGAGGTGAACATCGTAAGGTTAGGTTCTGTCCAACGTTCGTCCTAACTTCAAATGGTTTCACTTGCTCCCCTGGGCGTCAGCTCAAGCAAACATGGTACATACTAAAATAGATTATTACATTGATAAGTATGTAGCACTACATAGAGGGAGCTCGCACAGACTCTTAATCGCAAGCACACGCGGCAGAATTCTGGTTACATCTGCCGTCCCATGTACGTAGTAGCAGGTATGCTACACAGCCTACATACGTAACTACAAACGGACGACTCTAATCGGAGATTATTTGGTCTGGTATACTTGAATCGGGCCAACACAATAAACACAATAGTTGTCGAGGAGTTGAATACAATACAGCAGGATCAAAAGAAAGAATAGAAAACAAAAACACACAGAAAGTGGGGAGACCACAGAAAAAGAAGTGGGGCCCGAACGTGTGATTCCAACACGTTGGGTTTTGTCTCTTTCGAGAAGGAATCGGCGCGGCGCCAAGTGGGGCCCGCCTAGCCAGGGGCGGCCGAGAAAGTTTATTAATTGAGAAAAAGATAGAAAATAAATGCATTCTGGGCCAATCAGAATATTTGCTTTCGATACACAAGCTGTATTGCTCTTACACGCACGCTGATATACATATGCACACGCATACATCCATACACGGGTCATTTATTTTATACTTCAATTGTCGGTATTGTTGTATGCACACAGACAACTTGGCCAATTCAATTTACAATACATAAGTGGTGTGGGCAGATGGAGACAACCCAGATTCCATCGTAAATCGGCCATTCCCAAGCTTCCGATCTCAATTAAATACCAAGCACCAAGCTAAAAAGACAATGCATGCGATGGAGTTCAAAGTTACCGGCTAAAAACGTTCTCAATTCAAAACATTACTCGCGTATCCCTCACCACTGTGATTGTTTAGATTGTACGAGTCATGTGCCCTATGACGCTCATCTTGATGGGAAGAGTTTCAGCCTTGGAAATCAAAGCCAGATGATATGAATTAAAGGACGAACTAGTCGATCGTATCTACAGAGGGCTTGTGTGAAGTGAGATTAACGTGAGATTCCAAACAAGAATCAATTCCCGTACAAGATATTCGGGGTCTTGTACGATGGAATTGGCCAATCAACTCAGACTGAACCTTGCAGAAAACACCTTTTCTTTTTCCTTCCATCTGCAGACTTTACAGCTGGGCACACCGACTACGCCCGACTTCGACAGCATCGTTTGGTTACGAACTCTGTAGAATGACGAGGAGCACACGTGAAACAAGCGAGAGAAAGAAAAAGTAACGTTTCTTCAGCATACGGAGTACAGCCGAAGTTGATCATGTGTTTGTGATATGAGTTCTGACTCGAACAAGCATCTAGGTAATCTGTGAACCTCGAACGAGCTGCAGGTCAGTGCCATCAATCAATGTCTCGAAATGAATACGAAATGTCTTGCAAGTCACAAAGACATTTCAGAACCGACTACAGAGTACCTCTCCAGCATTGTACGGAGCAAGCCGGGCTTAGTAAGTTTCGATTCTCAAGCACTTGAAAGCACACGACGTAATTGCCTCGGCCGCTGAGACAACCCAAGTGGCTCAGTGAGGGCAAACCCCTGGCTAGGCCCTATTAAGCTGCGTTAGCCATGAAACACCACGTCCAGACTATGGAGACTGGATGCAGTGTTTGACGGTTTACCCAATCAGATTACCATTCTTACTGAACTAGAGCATAAGGTAATACATGCTAAGAGAAAGCGGGGACAGGATGAACGCCCTCAAAGCTGAGAGGGATGAAACTTGCTTCACTCAATTCCATTGTATAGAAAAGATTCACAAAGGGACTGAATTTCGGTCAAAGAATCGCATTGTCCGATATGTGTTTCAGCATGAGTCTTGTCTGCGTCGACTCCTTTATACCAGAGGAAAAAAAGAAATCAAAAACAAACCACTCGAGCTGGGCATCCACAATCCAGAAATCGCGCACTTAATTTCTTATGCATCACTGCATTGACCAATCGTATAGAAATAAATATACGCTAGAAGGGATTTGACCTAGCCAATATGTACTAATTTGTTGTTTTGTTTTTTTTTTTTTTTACACACACACTTTGCGGCTTGACGCGACTCTGCTCCGTTCAACTGTGATTGGGGATTATGCCACTATGAGAGACAACGACAGGGATACCGTTGCTTGTTGCCTTATATATGGATACTAATATCGTCATGGATTATGGAGAGAATTGAATTTAATAGACCACGGCGTATTCTGTAAGTGGAAGGAATAAGAAGTCAATTTGCATGCATTGGTTATGCGAAAGTCGAAAGAAACCAGTTGATCCATTGGACGGGCAGCTTCTGTAGCCCTAATTCCGTTTTTGGTAATTGTGTCCATGCGAACAAAAAGCTGTTGATCGGACGATACACCGATTATGTCTATTCCGAAGTATCTATATTTTATATGTCTATGAGACCATGGATTAAGATTTTAGAGTCTTGGGTCATTGAGCTGTGTGACTATGGATACTTGGATCTTAGCTGGCTAACTTATTGATTCGAAGCTAACAACGGCCAGCCGTTGGATGCGGAGAAGCTTGTATATATTACTTTATCGAGTAAGATCAACCATGACTTGATTACTAGAAAAAGGACATATATTAGTTTGCATTATTGCTCGATGGTTTGAGGCTTTAATCTAGATTTGAATATCGTACGACTCGTGTCTGGCCTCGGTTGGAGTCCAGTTACTCACATCGTTTTATTCTGGTCGAATGGATGTTTTTCATACCGATTTCATAAGACTGTTCACGTTTAAGCTTACAATTATCCTTCTCGTATTCGCCGTCGATACAGTCCTCGCCAGCACAGTTATCAATATCCACTGTGGATGACGGCGCGGGCTAGAAGTTGGAGCCAGGAGGATCAGTTCAACAATTGATCCGTGGGTACATGAATTTGACGACTTTGTAATGATGAATTACATTTACGGCCCTCGTATATGGGCCTCTCTTATCTCAACTTTTGAGCCCACTCTTGAGTCTTCATCGATTTACGGGCCTGGAACCGTCTTGACCGTCCCGTGCCGTGCCGTACCGCCTATAGAGGATCACACCGAGTACGCAAATACGGGCTCCTCTGATACGAGGGCTCATACAAGCATCGGATATTCGATCGTTCTGTTGCTCGATTTGATCGTCATACTACTGTTATGTAGATAAAGTATTGATCAGAACGTAAGGCGCGCCTAAGAGGTCGGAGTAGTTACCTCCATACATCGTACAGAGTAGCGGATACATTGACACCGACAAACAATCCAGGCTCGTTATTAGCGTCCTTCCTCCACAGTTAATTTATCTCTCAATCTATCTTCATCAATTATCTCGTATTTTCCATGTTGGCACGGACAAATCACAATGAATATCCTAGACTGTGGTGCTGGGGGCGGGCACTTACGCGGTCGATATATCTTCTAATCCCCGAAGGATCGCACCCTAGTCAGCATATATACCGGAACAATGGGTGACAGTGGCATCGTGACACAATCATGGTCAAATTCCCGGGTCTGATGCATAAGATCTATGATTTCTAAGTGGCGGTCAATCTATTGTTTGCTGCTATACACAGTACCGGGTAAACAGTTTAGTTCTTAATTGATCTGGTTAAGCAATCGCATTGTCTTGTCCGGAACACTCGCCCTACGAGTACAATCATATGCACAAGCAGGTACACATGTTATATGACATGTGTTGTAAGCATGGGGATGTACGTACAATTTCCAACATGTCACTGAACAACGTTGCACAACACCTCGGCACACGGCCGATTTCTTTTGCTCGTGCTATGAACTCACTCGGATCCGTGCAATACCTTCATGTGGATATCGAACACTTCTTCTACTCATGTCATATGTGATTATGTATGTGCTCCGTGACCGAGGATGTACAGAGCCGACTCGCCGACCTCGAGATTTAATGAAGTAATGAGAAAGATGACGGATTGGCATGACGGCTAGCTGAATGTATCATTTGGCATATTACATCGTAATTGTAGAGAGCATTTATTAGTTAATAGGAAAGAATATGGTGTTATACGAGATAAGCCAATTGCATCGCATCGGGTTTCGGCGATACTCTGTCGGGGTTTGCAGATGCATTGGAGTTGGAGTTGACAGATATATTGCAGCATCGCGCGATCTCGTGATATATTATGATACTGCGTACCTATAGCTGATATGATATGACAAGCATGACAATAGATATGTAACTTGATAAGGGATGTATCGAGATCTACAATATACACAAGATTCCACTAACGTATCCAGCATGACGGACCCCAAGTCATCATCATCATCATCATTAAAACCGTCATTAACGAGCTTAAGTGCTGTTCCACGTGTTCCTGAGCAGATGAATTAATGACAAAGTGTTGTATTTTGGTAGCCAAACATAATCATTTTATTTTGTATTTCGACTGCAGTTGGGATGCTCAATAACACAAAAAATAACATGGGTCCAAATTTCCTAATGAGGAAGGTGACCAGCCTGTATATTTTGCTAGCCCTAAGTCATCTCCAATCCGCAAAATGGACAATGGCGTCGGGTAACTGCATACCTTTTCTATCGACTGAGTTCTCAAGAGTCAAAGTCTCGACGAACTCTGAAGACCGCACTCCCTAACACGGAAGAATTTTCGAAATGAGCCTTCGTCCTGCGGTTCGTTGTGGAGTGCTCCGTGTCGATTATCTCTTGATCAAGCCTTGGGCATTGTCTACGATGAATTTAATATGTGCCGGTAAGATTTTGCATACAGCATTTACCATTTAGACGGTGGCACTAACTGCACACTCCCGGTCAATGGCCACGGTATGGAGTTGGCGGGATATAGGATGGTCCCCGAGCACTAGTTCAAGTCAAGACCTATATGAATATCCGGTTGACTATATCTGGTGATGGATAGAGTTATGCTAATCGTGAAGGAAGGACCATGTTTACCAAATCCGAGCAAGTGATTTGGTTGGCCTTGTCCAGGACTGCCATGATCAGCTTCATTTTTGGTACAACTACTACCAAAACCAAAGATCTCTATACCTAAAACACATGCCCAGTACGAGGAAATGATATTGACGGACTGTATGTTGAAAAAGGAATCATACGGTTCATATCTTCATATGTTTCAACTCATACTTGAAACACCACCAAACTCCTTCATGGTTCTCAGCGGCCCACTCCGACAATTTCATTTGGAAGTCATTTCCTTCGGAACTAAATCTCTTGACCCTGTCCGAGCGTGAACTATCTACTTTTCTTGCTATTAAACGAGGTTTGTTTCATGATGTGATCAGACGAAAGTGGTTACGTACTAATAAGTACTGACTCAAAGTGAGAAACGGAAAAAGAAACTGGTAAGGGGCTTGGGCCCATGACAAAGTTCATGCCGATCTGGTCTGGACGGTCTGTATATACTGGGTCTAACTTTCCCTGGACACCTTTTTTTCGTTATTCTAGAAAGTAGGTAGCTCAGTCTGTATGTAGGTTGGTGGAAGATTTGTGAACTATGTTATGTTGATCAGGAGAAAGTCTGCTTAGGGTTTGAAACACTCGACCGCAAAGTCTAAACTTTTATACCCCCTACATATTCCGAATTTCCGATAACCCTCGAACAGCTGAGCTACTAACAGCTTAACGAGTCGAAACATTTGGAGATGTGATGGGAAAATAAACCTCAGTCAAATCAAGGTAGGGACAATGGTTGTATAGTGTCTCAAGGGTGCAGTTCGGTTTCCGTATTCAATTTCTTCCTTAGACCCGAGGACCAGCTCAGCCTCGATGTGATTGCTTTGAATACATATGAAACTCGTAAACGTGCAATATGATATGCGGGACGTCGGCCAACGGCGCCCTATGTTCCTATGTATGTTTCAAGGAGTTTTCGGTTTTTAGATCACTGAGCTCTGGGATTGTCTACGCTGTCAAGTCCATGCGAGGACTGATATGAGCAAGAGAGCACAGCATGAACTGTATATTTCCTTATTGTGGATTTGTAAAAAGCCCTATGGCTAAAACAATGTTATACAGCAACCCAAAAAACCATCCACAACCCAGCAATTAACAATCCCAAATCCAAACCAGGCAAAGACAATCCAAAAGCGCCATTCAAATAATACGCCGCTCCCAAATAACTACACGTGATATCACCATCTGAAGCTCTATAGCCATATGAATCATTCAAATATTTCCCTGTTGGACATTTAAATCCCAATGCCGAAGGACATGTGCGCACCATCTCGCTGCAGAGATCGGTGCAGGGTAAAATCTCCTTATAAGGACCCGGACGAATCTCCGTGTCTATCAACGGGTTGCGTGATGCGTTGGTTACGGGCGATTGCACCCAGGGATTATCGGAAGGTAATGTCGTGCCATTCAAAAACGCTTGACCTGCATTTCGTGGTTTCAAAAAGGCGTAATCCGCCGTCCAGTCGTAGCATCGTGGGATTGTGACGGCGCATAGCCATTGCTTGTAAGCCTTGGCGCAGTCAGAGCAATTCACAGCGAGAGAAAACATCGATGTTGAGGAGGTGTTGCATTGAATCAGAGATAAAGAGTTGGCAAAATTTTTGTAGTAGGATTGAGCGGCTTGGTCGTAGATCTGTGCCAGTTGTGTGCTGGTGAGATTTGGGTTTGATGGGACTGCGTAGGCGACTTCGGAGCAAAAGTTGAGGTTGTAGAGAAGAGCACAATTTTTTTCTTCACGGCAGGTAGTCAGTACCTAAATCGTGATGTAGTCAACGAGGTCGAGGATACTTACCAGCTTTGGTCGTAAAATTCATTGCTCTCCATACTTTACCACCTCCACCTATCACACCATTCCCAGAAGCAGTCGAGTTGCCTTTCATACCGAGAATGCCATAATAATGAGAGCTACTATTGAGATAAGTAACGTAGAACTGCTCCTTGGGCTTATTACCCAATCCACGATTCGTCATGGACTTGTTGATAGCCTGATTTCCCTCCCGCATTTGTGCCAACTGATTCAGAGCACAAAACGATCTTTCCAACCCCGAAATCGAATTGTCATTGATATTATTCGCAAAAATAGTGTATGGCGGTGTTATGTTCATCCACTGTCGATAATTTGCAGATCCCTCGTCTGATTGGGTCAAGTTATTCGTTATGAGGAGCGCCGAGTTAATATCGGAATCGATAAAGTATAGATTTGTATCGTCGTCAACGGAATGGAAATATGCATCTATTGATGCCGCTATTTGGTAATTGTATATGCCCGTCCAGAGAGTCGTGTTGGGTGCTGAGACACCGATATAGACATTGTCATCGGCATTCTCAACAGTTGCGCCCATATATCCCTGATCCGCGGTATAGGTCGTCTGTAGAGAAGCTTCCCCCGCAGGTCCGGGATTCTTATTATTTGATGATGTCGATATATAAACCGTCAACGGAGGTAGTTGAGTATCCGACGTCGCATTCGGGTTGCTAGAATTCAGACTTGGTTTCAAGCAGGTATTCAGCGAAACGTACACAGTATTCGATCGTTTCTTCAATTCTCGTCGATTCTCGTTAATGACACTTTGACCTGTAGAATTCGACGTTATATTGGCCGGTAGACCTTCTGGCGTGGCCGATGGCTTTCCCAGCACTGATTCCTTGGTGAAAACCCAGTATTGTGTCTGTCCCGGTGCGATATTGAGCATCTGAAACTCATTATTGCTGACTGCATTTGGGTCTACAGTAGCACGTTTGATTATCTGTCCGCCGGCGTCATTTCTCGTCTCTTCATATTCATCTTCAAAAATCATTGAATCCTCCCCAGCAGCACCATTTCGCAACATTGTCAACTGGTCGACTTCATCAAGGGCATACGCGAAACTTCCAGAGCTCGTCGAAAATATATAATAAAATGCGAATACGAAGATGGTTGCAGCGAAGGTGGCAGCGAAACGCGACTGCAAAGGGGTGAGCTTAGGGAACTGCATCATTTTATTTTTGCGTTTGCGACGGAGGATCCTGATCCTTATCCCGAGCTCGATAGCAGTGTTTTTTCATCAAGGGCAATTAAGCGTTATTGAAAATAGCAGACTGTCATCGGTCGGGACATGGCGTTGTTGGAAATGTTGATTCTCCTACTCGTAGCGAGAGGTTGTTGCAGATAAGCATCCATTATTGGTCGTCCCGTTCCATGTGAGTCTCAGAGTGGGACGAACTCCCGTCTCAACTAAAGACAGGGAACATTTGCGCCACACCACATTTGCTACAGTTTGTTACTTGGGATCACTGATTTGTCATTATTTGGAAAAACGAGCAGCAGAATTATCAACGTATATGTATATCCGGTGTATATACAATCGTAGTTAAACTAAAATATAAATCGACAAGAATGAAAAGTTTTTGGTGCCCAAATCAAACAGACATATACTGTATAGAGCAATCAAACAAGTTTATAACAACGTGCAATAACCATCGTCGAAACAAGCATAAATCCAATAAACCCAACAATGCCAAAGAACCATCCTAGACCTTCGCTGTCTCTTCCGGGAACAGGGACGTTCATGCCCCAAAGACCACAGATCAAGTTCATAGGAACCAGAAGACTAGCGATCAGGGTCACTTTACTGAGGATGTTGTTGACATGATTGCCGAGCATGATGTTGCTCACGTTCAGCTGCGCAAGGTAGTTGCTGTGAGAGCGGCTGAGCATTTTCTCGAAATGGGTCAAGTTCGACACCATGGTGACGATGTGATCCTGGATATCACCGAGATAAAGGCCGATATCGCCACGTGGAGTGACAGAGTACTGTTCATTGCAACGCTTGGAAAAGCCTCTGATAACGTCGGCCTTGCCGCCGAGAAGTCGCATCAGGGTCATGACTTTCTTGCGCAGGTCGCCAATGCGTGGCAAGAAAGTACCAAAGTCTTCCACGCGAGCGACAAACACATGATCTTCAATTGCTTCGGACTCAATCTCAACATCGCGCATAATCGGACCAAAACTGTCGACGATGTCGTCACTATTTATTTTTTTTCTTTAGCAATGTGTTCAACATAGAAACCAGGCTGATATACTCACATCATGGCGTAACAGATCCAATCACTACTCAAAGACACGTAGTCCCGAAGCTTGCCAATACGCTTGCGAACATTGGCGGCATGGCGGTTCTCAGTAAACGAGAACGAGAGCACCCCATCCCGATACACAACCATATACACATTGACCGGGTCCAAGTAACGCTCGTGATCCTTGTCAGCATGGTAGAAAGTTCGGAAACAAACAAAGTAATATTGCTTGAACAGCTCGACTTTCTCGCGAGCTTCTTGAGTCATAATATCCTCCGCCGTCAAAGGGTGAATGGAGAATGCGCGTGAGATGGCACCAAGTTCGGCTTCGGTAGGGTCGATAATATCCAACCACCACACACCACCCTCGGGGCCAAGCTGGAAAAGATCACGGAAGCTGTCGCCTGGAAGGATAAGGTCACCCAAATAAGCTGCATGAATTGTGCTTTGGCTCTCCGAAGAGAAAAAGGTGAATCGATTCTGCACGGTCGTGGGCTGGAAATTGTCAATGCATTCCTTCTCGTTTACTGCATCCTCCGATAGTTCAGTCTTCAGCCCTGCTTTTAGATCATCGTCCGAAGTTCGCTCCTGGCTTTCAGAGGCAACAACAACTTCAGGCATCTCAAGAATCACGTCTCCGCTTTGTGTCTTTTGCCGCAGATCGTGGAAAATTCGAGGGCTGGGGCCCTGAGAACTCATGCTATGCTTGCGGCTGAGGGCAGCATACTTGTCTCTCTTGTTCAATGCAACAAATTCCTCAAGTTCCTCGTAATCGATGACGGGAATGCGGCCGGGTTCTTTAAAAGAGCGCCCGCATTCACTCTTGACATCGTCGGCTACGGTCTCTCCCTGATCAGGTCGCGCAACACTGGCTTGGCTAAAGGTCGGACGACGAGGTATGGTACCGCCAGAAACAGTTCTTTGTAGGATAGTGTCAAGATCGGTCTCAACATGGCTTCCTACTGTATTGGCACGCTCGCGGCGGCGTGGATCGGCAAAAGCATCCACAGAGTTGGGCGGGGACGAAGAGCTGTCCGAGGAAATGGACGAGTTCCGAGATCGAGGTGCCATATCTTGTTGGCAGCGGCTTCGAGTGCGATGGCGTTGATGTGGATCCATGGACAGACGCCTCGCAAAGGAATCGATGTCGCGATCGTCATCGACGATGGCTTGTTCAAAATCACGAGAAATCGGACCGTTGTCGATGTGATTCTCAGGGACCTGCAGGAGAGAAGGACGAGGGTCCAACTCAGCTTGCTGAGTAGCAGTCGACATGTCTTCGGTATAATTGTGTCCAAATTCTGTGTCGAATCGATTCTCCTCGAGAAGGCGAGGCTCGGTAGTGTCAAATCCTGTCAGAGACGTCTCGGATCGAGGACTTCCCAACATGGCCCAGAAACTGGATCCTTGAAGACTTCAGAAATTAACCCATTCAGAAAGGTGCCTAGCGGCGTTGTACGTAGATGATTTGCGGCAGTGTCTCGCACTATTTATTGAGCGAGGGGAAAAAAAAGCGTTTAATATCGAGGATATCTCGGTAAAGCTCAGCCAGACCCCAGCAAAGGGCCTGGCAAGACGACCGTACGTGTAACCGAGAGTACCAAAATGTGACTGTGCACGGGAGTCAAGTTAAGGAGGCCGAGTGTCCCCCCCGCAGAAGACCCGGAACTTTGGGCCCAAAAGAGGGTGAACGAAAGAAACTTGGATAGAGCGAAGTCCCGCCAACTTGACTGTTTGAAAGTTATATGAGCGCTGGCGCTCCAGAGTGGTTGATGGCTTGGGGAAGAGTTTTGCGGTGAGGAGAAATGGGGAGATCCCAGTCGGTCAAGTTTAGTTGACAGACCTGAAACCTAATATTTCTTTGTCCTCGGGGGGTTTCGTCGGATGAATGTGCGAGTCAGACGAATTGGCGATACGATTGACCGTTCGAAGATCGAGGGTGCAATGGGCTGATAAATCCCGTCGGTTGTTCGAATATGCGTCGAGATTTCAGATGATCAGTGGCGAATTCGGGACCACACCACCGTCAACAGAGACACGGTAAGAAGTCTGTATCAACAGAATCCCAATGTTACGAGAACAGAAACAGATTCAGCAGACAATTATCGACACAAGAAGGTAATAAACACCGTGAAGGTGCGATGGGTGATGATGAGAGAAAGAGAGAAAGAGAAAGAAAAGAATTTGCGGCGATGACGAGGTGTTCTTGTATGTTTCGTCCCGCCAAGTCTAGACTTGGCTAACGCTTTCGGGATTTTCTCCTCGTCCAATGAGTCTGTCACAGTTTATAACCAAAGAAATCACTCAATGATTGCTCACAAATTCATATTCATATTAATTGAGCCGTGGTATTCCTTGCCACTGGTTAGAGCAACCGAGAGACCGTGGCCTAGAGCGTCGTGTGCCTGGGCAGAAAATTCTTCTCTCTGGTACAGTGGTACCCAATACGACTCTAGTTTAGCTATTCTCTATTCTTCATTCTATTCTGCTATAGCTACGGACAGGGATCGCCATGGTAATATACTACGGCCTACAAGCCATGTACTGATCATTGTCTCAGAGGGCGACTACATGTAAGACAGTAAGTTAAACAGACAAACTCCTGAAAGGCGACCACTGGCGAGTCGACGAAGATACCATGTGAATTCAATTCAGGCAAACCCAATCTCGCCAAGATCGATAGATAAATTTCGCATGTCACCGTCACAGCATCAGTCGGTGGTTATAAAATGTCTCGTGAGGGGGAAATCATGCGCCACGACAGAAAAAAAGCCCTAAAAAGTCATTCTCCCTACGCACGTACGTAGTGGTTTGTATCCCCGCATGAGTATGCTAAGCGCCATTGCATGCCACTCAAATGAGTTGATGGTCATCTCAGCATGCAATGCACATAGTCGTACTAAATCATTTATATATATATGAGTTTTATCTGCCTTAAAATGTCAGATCTTGCTGTTCTGCCACTCCGGAGACCACCGCAATCGTCTGATGGAGGTCGCCTCAGGCCCGAAGTCGGCCGTGCTGGATGGCCATTGGATGGTTCTGCCCGCGCTAACACAAGCATTATCGCAGATGGACGATAGAGAAAAAAAAATATTAAATCAGAGAACAAATCTCAACGCCAACGAAGGGTTTGAATGAAAATAATAAAAGAGGATTGAAGAGAAGAAGCCAGCTATCTCATAAAAGTGCATGGGACATTGCTATCCAGTCAATTGATTTTGCCGTACGTATCCCGTCTAAAAAAAAAAAAAAACACACTTATCGACCCCTCCATTCAAGGACGGATCTGACTATATGACTCACAACAGTCACACATATACAGCTCATATCCCACCCCTTCTGAGAGTATAGCCAAAAGTAACATGGCTTCCTCATCCTTCAGCATCCGTATCCCCTGCTCCTCAGCAAACATTGGCCCTGGCTTCGACGTCATCGGCCTCGCCCTAACCCTCTACCTCGAAGTCCACGTCACAATCGATTCTTCGCCGTCTTCGCTGGAAAAAAAGCACCCATTGAACTGCGTCATCACATATGAGAATCTGAGTGGGAGTAAAGAACAGATCAGTCTTGATCCCGAAGTCAATCTTATCACTCGTGTGGCTTTGTATGTGCTTCGGTGTCATGATCAGCGGGCATTCCCGGCCAATACCCATGTACACATCAAGAATCCTATCCCATTGGGGAGAGGGCTTGGAACGTCTGGAACGGCGGTGGTTGCTGGTGTAGTGTTGGGTAATGAAATTGGAAAATTGGGATTGACCAAAGCGCGTCTTCTCGATTACTGTTTAATGATCGGTAAGTCTGAACATATAGACGTAACCTCAGATGCAAGTGGAAGCTAACAGGACTCTGATTTAGAACGACACCCCGACAACGTCGCCGCATCCCTCTTCGGCGGCTTCGTAGGCACATACCTCAGCGACCTCAAACCAGAAGACATGGCTCGCATCGAAATCCCCCTCAGCGAAGTCCTCCCTGAACCAGCCGGCGGCATCGACACAGGCAAACAACCGCCCAACCCCCCCGTCGGAATAGGCCACTGCACAAAATTCCCCTGGGCAAAAGAAATCAAAGCCATAGCCATAATCCCGGACTTTGTCGTTCCCACCGCAAATGCGCGCGATGTTTTACCGAAACAATATACTCGCGCTGATGTCGTCTTTAACCTTCAACGGGTTGCGCTTCTGCCGATTGCGTTGGGAGCTTCGCCTCCAGATCCGGATATGATCTATTTGGCTATGCAGGATAGAGTGCATCAACCATATAGACAGACTCTTATCCCTGGTTTACTGGAGATTTTGCAATCAATGACCCCGACTACACAACCGGGTCTGTTGGGTATTTGTCTCTCGGGCGCGGGTCCTACGATTCTTGCGCTTGCTACTGAGAATTTCGAGGAGATTGCTGAGAAGATTACGAGTCGGTTTGCGGAGAGGGGGATTGAGTGTCAGTGGAAATTGTTGGAATTGGCGCAGGAGGGGACGATTGTTGAGCATCATTAGACATACCCCGTCAGTTACCTAACTACATAGAAAGTAACACTGACTAATGGAAAAGCAATCAATATGGTATTGACTTTTATAATGAATAGATAAATCGAAATGAAAATAACCCCTAAACGCTAGACTTGCAAACTGTTTTGTACAAACTCGATATCTCCAATGGACCCCAAAATGAGCAAAAGCATAGTAAAACAATCGGCAAGAAAAAAAAGAGAAATGTGAATAGGGTAATGTACTGAGTTACAGACAGTGCTATTCATCATCTGTGTCCTGCATCTCTTCATCATCTGTGTCTTTTGAAACAGCTGCAGCAGGCTCGTCTTCATCTTCATCGCTGTCGTCGACAACCCGCTTGCCGCGTCGAGCACGTCCTCCTCTTCCATTGGCCGCTGGAGTTGTAGCTTCTTCCTCTTCTTCAGCAACGACGTTGTCATCGTCGCCAAACAAATCTCCATCGGAATCAAACTTGTCATCGTCCGCACCTGCAGGTTTAGCAATAGCTGCAGCCTCGTTTTCCAACTCTTCATCCGAGTCCACCACCAGTTCACTGCTTTTGTACTTGCCCAGCTTCTCCTTGGCGCCTCCCCGGCGTTCCAATCGCCTTCGTCGCTTGGGTGCTGGCGCTGTTCCATCATCGTCAGACCGAGCCACACTGATGCTTCGACCATCAGAAACGACTCCATCATCCTCATCGCGGCGCTTCCTTCTCCTGCCGGACGAGGCCTTCCTCTTGCGTTTCTGTCGCTCACCCGTCTCAGAATCTGTAGTGAGCTCAGCTGCTTCACGAGCTCGCTGTTCTTCCGCCCTCTTTGCTGCTAGTCGTTGCGTTTCTTCAATGATACGTTGTCGTTCTTCTGCTAATCGACGCTTCCTCTCGTTTTCAAGTTCTTGCGCCTTTCGCACTTCTTCTTCGCGGCGTTTCAATTCGGCTTCACGGGCTGCACGAGCTTGTTGTAATTTGAGTGCGTTCTTGTCCTCGTACTCCTTCTGATTTTGTATCGATCGCTCAAGCTGCTTGCTGATCGTATTACGACCCATGTTTGCCCGTTGTTCCAGTGACTCGCGAGGATACGGCGGTGTCTTGACCTGAGCAATACGCGTGAACGTCTCAATAGCTTTTTCAAGACCTTCAGCCGCCTCTTGTAGATCTTGCAGCGTCCTCTGTGTCTCCGGTAGACTATTGACAAGAAGTGCGACCTGATTTTGGACGAATGCAACATTGAACTCAAGATGCGCCTGTTCCGGCGCAACTGCCAACGCACGATTTGCATAATCCAAAGCAGTTTTCATTGCTGTTAGATTCTTCTCATGCTTCCCCCTTAGCCACCAGACTCGCCCAAGGCATGCTAGAAGTTGTGCATCGCGAGCTCGGTCCTTGGACAATGCCGTTTCGTAGCACTCAATCGACCGAGTGAACTGCTTCAGTTCCGCATAAGCATGTCCCAAGTTGAGGTACACACTAGCATCTTTGATGGTATCCCGTATCTTTGAGAAGATTTGAACAGCACCCGCAAAGTCCTTGCGATCATCCACGAGAGCAATTGCAATTCCTTGAGCTGCATAAGCATTCTTGGGATCTAGCTGCAGTGCCTTGTCAAAAAACTCCACGGCACGCTCGTACATCTTTCGTCGCTTTTCCTTGTCCGCATCGGTCTCGCGTCGCATATCACGCGCGGTTAAAAGATGTACATTACCCATTCCCGTTAAAGCATACCTGTCATGCTTGTCAAAATGTTGTAGTGTATGCTTGTAGTGTCGCTGTTCATGATCCTCAGCCAGATTGGCCACCCGTTTCTTAGACTTGCTAAGGTACCAGCCAAAAAGTGCGCGCACTTCAAGATTGGTCGAGTCGCGTTCATATAGTTTAGCCATCTTCTTTGGTCCTTCATCTGTCGGACTCTGGCGGAGCGCAATATAGGTCATTCTCGCACTAGCCTCGGTGTAATCGCCATGCCGCTCAAGAAGGCTCTCGTACACTTTCTTTGCTTCATCTGGTAGATCGAGAGCTTCGAGACAACGAGCAAAATTGTATCTGATCGTCGTGAGAAGAGCATCCGTGGCCTTTTCACCCTCTACCTCCTCAGACTTATCACAAGCGGTTAGGGCAGATTGGAATAGCTCTCTTGCTTGTGCCACTTTGCCTGACTGGTAAAGGAAGCAGCCAATATTGTTCAATAGTTGGGGGGGTAGATGTTCCCGGAGTGCAGCCTTCAATTCTCCATTCTGAAGATTCTCATGAGGCCGTTCCTGATCAGGTATCTGCTCCATCTGAATCTCTTCCAATTGTGTGAGGCACTGCATGCTCTTTTCTGGCGAAGTGCTCTCGTATAAGCGGGATAGATAAATCAGTACAGACTCATCAGGTGGGATGTTCTTCGTTGGATCCTTCCAAAGGCTGCGAACAGACTCAAGAAGAGAAATGGCTTTCGTGGCGTCGGCAGACTTATCATCCTTGCTACCGCTAGCTTGAGCAGAGAAGACATCTTCTGCTAGTAGAGCGCCTAATAGGGCCATACATTCTGGATTTTTGGATTGTTGTATGATCTTTTCCAGTCGAAACTTTGCTCCATCCAAGTCCTTGGACTTGACCTGCATCTGGACAACACCGAACTTGGCTGGCAAAAATCCACTGTCTCCACCACCACGAGCTTGGTCAGACCGGTTGAAGTATTCAGAAGCTTTAGCGGTATCGCCCTCGTAATGCGCTTTTCGACCTAGGAGATACCAGCCCTCACTAGCGATAGAGACGACATCGGTCTGCTCAATAGCTTTACGCGCCAAAACTTCCACTGCTTTGTAATCCTTGCGGATTAATTTGTACCCTGCAAACCTTGCGCATGCCATTGGATAGTCCTTATCGAGCTTAAGAGAGCCTTGTGTATGTGTCATGGAGACCCTGTAAAGCTCTCCAAATTGAGGGTCGCTCGTAGGACGTTGCGAGCTGCTATACAAATAGTACGTTCCGACAAGGATACTCGCGACCTTTGATTTGGGATTCTGTACGACAGGCTATTAGCATTTTGAACAGGGTGGAAATTAAAAAAAAAAAACCTCCTATAACGAACCAGAGACAGTGCCCTTTCCCACGCGTCTTTCGCACGTTCTTTGAAGCCTAGTTGCCAAAGGCAGCATCCGATACCAATTCGTGGGTCAGGATCAGTAAGACCCGGCATTCTGGTGAGAACAGTTTGATAGACCAGTAACGCTTCAGCATAATTTCCCAGAGAATACTGCGCCCTAGCCAGTCCTAGATGAGCCATCACATTCCTGCCTCCTGAAGCCTTCGATGCTTCTTCAAAACACTTCAGAGCTTGTCGTAAACTCTCGACTCTTTCGGATGTATCAGGAATACCGGCTCTGACGGGTCGCGGTGGATATAGGGATGCTCGAAGGAGAGACAAAACGCCACGGGCAAGGAAGAGCGGCGTGTAGGCAGGATTGAGACGGGATGCTTCATTGAGAGTCGATGTCGCCTGTTGTAAATAGTAATCCTTGGTCTTCACACCTGAAGAGTCGCCATCTGGTGCCACACGTGGCGCTTGACGACTTTTAATCATCAATAACCAGCACAACCAGTTTAAAAGGCCTAGTTTCTCCTTGGTTGCTCCGTGAGCGACAGACGCCAAACCCTTTTGCAAAATTTCGATCGCATGGTCGAGCTGATTCTGTTTCGCATACGCCAACGAAATAATCACCCAGAAGTTCTTCGCAGCCTTCTCGTTCTCTAGCAGTGTGCACAATTCTGTAGGGTCATCGGGGAGTTCTTCAAGACTGACTTCCACCTCACTGTCGAACGTCGATGCAGGGATATCGATGGCAGAGGGGATGTCAGAAAAACGAGTGGCAGAAGGTACGGTGTCTGAATTGAAGGCAGAGTCACCAAAGCCATTCGTATGGCCATTCTCGATGTGAGCCATGGTGCTTGCCTGTTCTGAGGAATAAATAAGATGGCCGCAGGACTGATTTCGCAGTTGGTGAGCGTCGTCAACGATGCAAAGCCATCTGAGGATGTGAAAGAGGATGAAATAAAAAGTCGAGTAGCTCAAATCATCGACTGATAGATGGGAGCATGTGCCTTGATGCGCACATGAACTGTAGAGAGAGACAGCTACTCACAGCGTTCTGTCTTCCGACGACAATTCGCGGGAGGTAGAAATACATAGTAGAGGCGCGGACTTGGCAGGTGGCCTCCAGCCATTCAGAGCGCGCTAAGCTGATGCGTCGCCCCACTATAGCATCAACTCATTCGAGACTGAGAATAAGAACACTTTGTTGATTGATTATTTATATATTCAAACTGCGCTATTGTCCAATAAGAGAGTATTATCGCTATAATCTATTCGCCTGACCAATACCATCTCCAAGCCCGAAAACGCCATGACCATCACATGCAGGGAGTTTGAATGAATTCAGAGCAACCTGCATAAAAATCCAACTAATAAGAGAACCACAAAGATTTCCGCAATTTCAATCCAGCGTGCCAACTGTATCTCTGTCTCTACGTATCCACGGGAAGCCTCTTCCTTCTGTTTATCAGGAATGTGTTGTGTCTCGATGGAAGAGCCCAAAGAAGTCGGAAAGCGTCCGGTCTCAAAGAACTGGTCGAGCAGAGCATCCTTTTCCCTCCAACGCTCCAATAACCATTGCTCGAAAGCTTTCGGGTCATCCAAAGGAATTTCTGCTAAGGACCAGCGTCGCCAGTACATGTTCACGGACTTCGGGGGCCGGCCCTGACCGTAGATGGATCGTAGAGTATAGAATCGATCGGGATATACGCCTTTTCTGTAGAATCGTCAGTCTCGGTTGCACCAAGTAATAAAGGTCAAATGGAAGGGTACGAACGGTGGTCCCTCATAGCCCACGGTACAGTCATAGACATAGTCTACGGTACCTCGTAGCTGCTGTAAGCAAAACAGTAGACCTGTTGATCGTGGAAGAATCATATGTTTGAGAGGTTCGATGCCCATCTTTTCTCCGTATCGATTGCTGACATTCTTCGTGTTGATGGAAAGGTTGGTTCCCTCTGGGAATATCAACAACCACATAGGGTCTAAACTCTGTGGACCAGACATGGGGCCAGAGTGTCTCGTCTTCAGCTTTTGTAGGCGATGCTCCAAGCGCGGTTTGTCCGCTTCCCACTTACGGGCCATAAAGATGAAGCCATAGAACATCATTCCTTGACCAAGGACCGGTAGGTACTTGAGTGATTCCTTCAAGATGATGTAGATGTGGCCGTGCATACGGGATGTATAGCCCACCCACCACAGATACGTCCAATCTGTGTAGACTTGGTGATTTGCAATGAACACGAGGCGGTCCGGAAAGTTCGTCTTGAGCAGGCCGTTGGCAGTCATTTGTATCTGCCCATTAACTGAATCATCTCCGCTGACACGGACTACCGTCGGGGCACCCCACTGGGTAATAGTGATCATGAGGATACCAAAGCATTGCTTCGTCATTGCCATATAGGCGTAGTAGTAGTCTTTGTTGACAAGGTATAACGGGGCTCCGATCAGCTGTGTCGCTACTATACAGACACAGCAACAGTTGAACCATGTTATAAGCAGAAGAGACCGGAATATCTGCATGAAAACCCCATGTTTCAATCCAGCATTTTTCTCCTTGTCAGACACCTGAGGCTCTTCGCTCACGACGGATGTCCCGGATGGGTCTATAGGCACTCGACGTCGTATATCGGACATTTTGAATGAAGTGGCAGTCGTCCAGATCTGTCCACAGCGTAGACAGAGTATACACGGTTGTACCTTTGCCTCGAAGGGTGAGCTGATTGATGGAATTGACTGGTCAATAAACACAAGCTGTACATGCACGCTTCTTGGCGGGGTGTTAATGGAGCTGCCTAAATGCTGATTTATATGTGTGTGTATGATCGGTCCCAGCCGGTTTCAATGAGTTTCATGAAAAGGAGAATACATTGTGAAGAGAAGCAAGAAGATGACTTGAGTCAACAGGTTATAATCTGGGCAAGAGAGCATGCGAGGCAGTTGCCATAGAGTTCGTTGAGTCAGTGTGACTGACGCCTTTCTGCAGGCGGTCAGCTGGATCTCTCCACAATGGAGGTTGCCGGAGCTTAATTTCCCCAACTCCGCTCCGCTACATGTTTTGATCTTGCAAGCATATTATCGGGTTGAATTCTGCTATTTAAATTCCAATTTTTTTCGCCTTGGCTGACTCGGCCGGAGAGAAATGTCCGTGGAAGATTCCTGTCTCGGTACATCTTGTGGCAGCAACTTGAAACGGGCTGCAACATAATCCAAGCTCAATCAGAATGAAAGTTACAACTACTTGGATTCGACAACTTCCACCGTCGCACACTTCGAAGCCCACTCGCCGCCTTTTCTCGACTTCTTCGACGCGACGGGAAATTAGAGATATACAAGGTCTTCCAACGAGGATTCTGCCAAAATACCAAGGTGTGCGTCCAGTTGAGCGTACCGGAGGCGCTCAAGTACAGTCGATTCTGAAGCTAACCATGCCCGAATATAGAGTCTCGAGGTAGCGACTTATTATCCCTTCAATGGCCGGCTCCTCCTCGCAATATCCTCATTGTGAAGAAGCATAGCGCTCCTGCGGTTACAGAGTCTTTGATAGAGTTTGTCAAGTATGATCCACCTCACTACCGTTCGCTGAGACGGCCCTAACTGGCATCAGTCATCTAGCATCCACATATCCGTCGCTATCGATAATTCTAGAGCAGAAAACTAGCCAAGAAGTACATTCTTCCCTTCCGATTCCCGTTTATACTTCGACACCGGAAAAGCCCCTGACGGCCTCCACACATGATAAAGTCGATTTGGTGGTGACTTTAGGCGGAGATGGAACTATACTTCGCGCCTCGTCGCTGTTCGCGACATCTCACGACGTACCACCTATGCTGTCTTTCAGTATGGGGACATTGGGGTTCCTGGGAGAGTGGAAATTTGACGAATATAAGCGTGCATTCCGGGAAGTCTACATGTCCGGCTCAGGCGTAGGAGACCGCGCTCCTGTTCTCGATGACCCGGAGACCACTGTAGCCGAAGAGGACGTTGAGTCGAAAATGGGACCTACCGGCTGGTCCTCTGTCCGTGGCAAATCAATGGGCTCTACTAGAGGTGCCCGGGTACTGATGCGTAACCGTTTGCGCGTTGGTCTGTTTTCACCAGAAGGTGAAGCAATCATTCCCCCATCGCATTCCAGCGCCGTGGCGTCCGGTCTTCCAGATCCGCGTGTCTACGCACTGAACGAAGTGCTTATCCATCGAGGAAAAGAACCCCACCTCGCTGTCCTGGACGTCTTTGTGGGAGGACGTTTCCTTACGGAAGCAGTGGCGGACGGTATGATCATCTCAACGCCCACAGGAAGCACTGCATATAGTTTGAGCAGCGGAGGCAGTATAGTACACCCCCTAGTTCCGTCGCTTCTTCTTACACCGGTGTGCGCTCGTAGCTTGAGCTTTCGACCGCTGGTCTTACCGTCGAGCACACCTGTTACTCTCCGACTGAGTCCCAAAAATCGTGGGCGAGAAGTCGAATTAAGCATTGACGGCAGAAACATGGGGCAGGGCATGTCTGCTGGAATGGAAGTGCGAGTCTGGGACGAGGAAATTCGACATGGGAAGAATGACTGGCGCGGCGGCGTACCTTGTGTGATGCGACGAACAATTGGAGTTAGTGATGACGGTTGGGTTGGCGGACTGAATTCGCTTCTCAAGTTCAACCACCCGTTTGGAGCAGACTCGTGATGCGGATTTGCTTGTAAAAAATAATGATATACGTACTAGTACATATTTAACATAATTGAACATTTGAGAAGTGTGCTGCGGCAAAGACAACCAGCAGTCCGTTACTATAAAAACGAGTCGGAGAGGAGGCCGAAATGAACATTAATACGCTTAGCAATGACTGATGTCCGATAAAGTTTCCGTATACATTCATCTACGGAGTACCTGTCTATAAATTAGACACATTATTCTCAACCATGGACGTACAACACCTGGTGTTGGGCAGGGTCTGGAGTTGGTTGTATTTGAGGTTCCCATCGGGTGCGTTTGACTGAAACAAGGGCGATCGGGCATGGCTGGAGCATGGCTGATCTACCAGATCGCTTTGTTCTCGTATTTTCGTCGCTGTGAGGCTCATAGCCGAACGAATAGTTACATACAGAACAGCCAAGTAGCAGTGCGCCCTGGGAATATTCGGGTATTGTAGTAATACTTACTGTATACAGCACCTCAATGACAGCGGAAAATATTGTATAGTTATCGCTCTAATATTATTGAGTCACTGTCAGTAGCAGACTCATAGATCAAACTGTGAGTGGGTATCGGGCTGGCCAATTCTTTTTGTTGTCCCACTCTGTGCGGCAACTCCCCTTTCTTCCTCTTTCCTCCTCCACTATCCTTCTTGACTCCAACTATCTACTACATTTCCATCTGCTAGACACTGGAGGTTTCGCTGTCTGCTGTTGTCTCTTTTCTAGTTCTCTCTGTGTGTTGGGGAATACCACTGTGCAAACTACGCGCCCTGGATATACCTTCAACTTTCTTAAGAGCACGGGCTGTGCCCTGTGGAACTCCCGTTTCAACCAACAACCCCTAGGCAAGGTAAGCAAGCCAGCGCCTATAACTAACTATCGTGTCCCTCAAGTCTCTGCCTTTTGTCTTCCCAGCCATCCCTTTCGTCTACGATCGGGTTCATTTTCAGAGGAGGCTGTCTGCACTTTCGAGCTCACTTTCATTCACCACGACAATAAAATATCTCCAATCCACCCCTCTTCTCTGTCCCCCGCCCGCTTATCCGTCGCTCTAACACTCCAGTGCAATCAGTCCTGTGGATGTCCCTTTCTGCTTTGTAAGACAACTGTTTTTTGATCTTTTGATCTTGGGCGCCCAGGATGGCGTCCTCACATGGAAAGTAAGTTACTCGTCTTTCATCGATTCGGGGTCACGCTAGCTCTCAATACATATTGATGAGGCTCTGGCGCTATTGATAAATACGTCCAGTTATTTGCCGTTGAATTAAAAACTCATTCTGTGATTCATAGTGTATACTCGGCCGACCAATTCATGAACCCTGGACCAGCCCCGCGCCCGCCTACTGATCGTCCGCGGCTCACTACTGTACCGTCCAGTCCTAGTGTCGCTACATCGTTCAACCAAATGACCTTGAACTCACCCAGCACTCCAACTTTGTCTATATTCCCCAATACCAGCAACCTATCGCTCGCGCAGTCCAAGGGATCGCAGGCAAACCAGGGTGTAGCTGTCATCAAAGAGGGCTACGTTAGGTGCAAGGAAGACAAGTTTCTGGCACAATGGAACCAACGATATCTTATCCTTCGGGAGTTCCGCCTCGACTTTCTGAAGAATGAGACTGGAAAGTTAATCATGTCAATTAACCTTTCCAACATTACGGGTGTGACTCGATCCGAAGACACTAAAATGGCATTTGAAATCACTCGCTTGGCCAATTCAAAGGACGCAAATACAAAGGCAGCAATAATCAGCCGCGATGTGCCTACCAAAACCATCACTTGCGAAGTCAAAAATGACGACGAGATTTACGAATGGATTGATAAAATCTACGAACGGTGCCCTGGAATGGGAGGCGTCAGTAATCCGACTAATTTCAGCCATAGAGTCCACGTCGGTTTCGACCCCAAGACTGGCGCTTTCGTAGGTCTACCAACAGAGTGGGAGAAGCTCTTGACTGCATCGGCCATCACCAAGGAAGATTATAAGAAGAATCCTCAAGCTGTTATTGAGGTGTTGGAGTTCTACTCTGACATCAAAATGAGGGAGCAGAATCCTCAATACTATAGTAGCCTTGCCCCGACTCCACCAGCATCCAACTCGTCGTCTTTGCAATTCGGAAATGGAAACGGAATCGCGCCACCCAGACCAGCTCCTCCAACCCCTCTTCAGAGGGTAGATACTAGCCAGTCGCAGCGGTTCATGAACGAGCCAAACGCGGCGGCACGGAAGAATTCAGATACCGACCGCGGCTTTGAAGTTGATCGTATGCGCGAGGTTGCCGAGCAAGAGCAGCGACGCCGCATGGAGGAAGAAGCACGGCGTATTCGCGAAGAACAGGAGAGACGAGAACAGGAAGCTTATAACGCATCCATACCCAAAACACGAGTTCCACTCGCAAAACAGGAACTGGGTGGTTATGGATCGTCTGAACCCGAATCGCCAAACCCTAACCGATATAACCCAAGCCGCCCGGCTCCGCCAGCACCAAGCTCTGCTGCTCGTCAACAGCCTCCGGCCATGAGACAGATGACAGCTCAGCGACCAGCACCGTCACCACCGACGGCAGATGGGTCGGCTCAAAGGACAGGTGATTTTTTTTTTGTGGATTTATTTCACACACTATCTTGCTAACAACCTCTAGAACCCAAGGTTCAACAATCTGCACCTCGTCCTGCTATTAATAATGCACCAAAAGCACCTACTCAAAATTCGGGCCCACCACCGACACGTCTTCCTGCACCTGTTCAGCAAGTCAAACCGTTGAACATTGCCAACAAACAAGGAGTTCCTAAAAATACCGTTCCTGATGGCGTTCGACAAGCCGAAGCTGCTCTTTCGAAGAAGGCTGAACCACGACAAAAGGAAGTCCGCATGTCAAGTATGACCGAGAACGAAGTGATGGAGAAACTCAAATCAGTTGTTTCCAAGGAGAACCCTCAGGAGTCCTACAGCAAGCAGCGCAAGATTGGTCAAGGTGCTTCAGGTTCCGTGTATGTGGCTCGCGTCAAGGAGAATGCGACGTCGCCTGTAGCACGAGAAATATATCGCACCCATGGACCTCGCGGGCAAGTTGCTATTAAGCAAATGGATCTTCGCAGCCAGCCTCGCAAGGAGTTGATTGTCAACGAAATCATTGTCATGAAGGATAGCCAGCACGCGAATATCGTCAACTTCCTGGACTCTTTCTTGCAAGATCAGAACAACGAGCTTTGGGTCGTCATGGAGTTCATGGAGGGTGGTGCATTGACTGACGTTATCGATAATAATCCCGTTATCCAAGAGGATCAAATCTCCACTATCTGTTTTGAGGTACGTTGGCCAGTATTTTGGACTGACAATCTTGCTGACATGTGGTTCCTTAGACTTGCAAAGGTTTGGCTCATCTCCATAGTCAAAATATTATCCATCGTGATATTAAGAGTGACAACGTTTTGCTGGATCGTGTTGGCAATGTTAAGATTAGTACGTCAAACCTATACTTGATGCTCCATGAGGACTTTACTAACAATATATCTTTCAATAGCGGATTTCGGGTTCTGTGCTAAACTTACAGAATCCAAGAGTAAGCGAGCCACCATGGTTGGAACACCCTACTGGATGGCACCTGAGGTCGTCAAGCAAAAGGAATACGGACCAAAGGTAGACTGCTGGTCTCTTGGTATCATGGCCATTGAAATGATCGAATCCGAGCCACCTTATCTTAACGAAGAACCTCTTAAAGCGCTATATCTCATTGCTACTAACGGCACCCCTCGGCTCAAGAAGCCCGAAAAGCTTAGCAAGGAGTTGAAATCGTTCTTGAGTGTTTGTCTCTGCGTCGATGTCCGCAGTCGAGCCACTGCTGAAGAGCTATTGGCACATGAATTTCTGAAGATGGGTTGCAGCCGAGCTAGCCTCGCCGAGCTTCTGCGCTGGAAGAAGAATGGAGGTCAATAAAGCGCACCAGCAGTTGTCAAGCTCATATCTTTCTGTCACGTTGCTTTATGAAGGCAATATCACAACCTCTTTGCTTACACGGCTGGGTATGGAGACAGGTCGGCACGCCATATTAAATAAATGCTGAAAAGTGCCATCTACAGGGCTAGATCGAGTAATCTCCTGATCCTGTCCTTCTTAATCTCTTTCTCAAATCTTACGACCCGATACTGTAAATTGCTTATCCGGATCGTTTTCACTTTTCCACTTCATATTCATGGTGTCTTACAATATAGGAGGAGCTTGGTTGGCATTATATCCCAGATCCTGAATTAGTCTTTTCTCTCTGTCCTCTATTTCTGATATCTGCAGAAATTGATATTGTTTACCGAAAAGAATATCAAGAAAAGGAAATGAGAGGTTTCTTAAGGAGAGAACAGTTCTCTTTTCACCTCATAATTGGTGCTAAAGTTAATGAATGAATGGCTTTCTTTTAGACTTATTTTATTTGATCGATACTAGTACATGTAGGAAATCTGTAGTAGTAAATCTGATTGAATACAAATGAGTTTTACATGTCATTATACCCCAAGTTCATAGAAACACGGCAAGATGGATCATATCTGCCATCATATCTGCCATCATTGTCAAGACATGACATGACGCCTCTTTGTATAGAATCTTTACAATCCAGGAACAATAACTAGAGAGAACCAATAATAACAAATCAATAAAAGTGTTGATGTTAACGAATCAAGAATATAGACAAGGATCAACCACCAGCGGCAGCAGCAAGAACACCACCAATTTCCCCAAAGAATATCCCTCGAAGAATTTGATCGCCTTCCTCGACGGCCCAGTGGCCCGTCTTGGAGAGATAGTGACGCCACCGTTGGCGTTGCTCAGGGAGAAGATTTTCCCATCTGCGGACTTTGTGTTTTTGTTCTATTGATGAGGAAGAGGCGTCATCGGTAGAGTCTTGGCTGTGGTGAAGATGGGCGTATATAGAGTCTTCGTCCGGATTGTGTTTGATGATTATTGGATGGGATGATAGACCCTCGACTGAGTCGATGATAGAGTCGATTATAGAATAGGTTGAATCTCCTCCACGACTACTCGTCCTCCGGGCATTGAGGAGTTCACGCAGCTGTTCGCCTGTGATTATGGATGGTGTCGAGGATGAGGTTGCACCTGTGTATGCCGGTATTGTTGCTACATGAGGCGCAATACTATCTGGCACGATAATATCACGCAGATACGGTCTAGCAATCGAATCGCGAACGCGGTCAGGAAGCCAGCCAGTAGCGCCCAGATACGCTGGCGTAAGACCCCTGATTTCAGTAAAGGCCTGTAACAAGAAGCAGCTAATTGCAACCACGAGGAGAGCAATGGATGTAGTGAAAACTGTATCCAATGTCTCTGAATACCCCGGTGCTTTGAGCGCATATCGCGGTGATGAAGTCTCTTTTCCTTGAAGAGTCCGCTGAGGCGATAAGGGGAATGTGTGCACTACCACCGTATTTCCCAAACTAATCGATGCTAATTTCACGTATTGCGGAGGCGTGTTGGCCGTAACCGGATATGACGGTGGTCGATAATGGGAGAAACAGACTTTGGTCATTGAAAATGGATGGACCCCATTCAACGTCGAGTATACCTGTAACGAACTATACCCTTTATTTGGCGCATAATCAAGAATAAGTGTCTCAATGGACTGATCACTACCCGCCAGCGCAATGAAATATTGCCGTTCGTGGTTCTGCCCTTCTCCGAAATTGACCACATCCAAACTCAAGCCGATCTTGATAGATTTTCGAAGCCATTTTCGGCGCACAATCGTGCCGTTTCCATTGCGCGGGATACTCAGGATAGATATTTCGCAACCGCTGCGATCTATGGTGTTTTGAAGAAGTAGTATAGCAGTCGTTGAAATGAACCGTAGCGCTCTGTATTTGGACCGCTTCGGTTGAGATTTGGGAATGGTGAAAACAGCCCTGACCTCAGGAGCTGTGTTCGATCTTCGTGATGATGATATCTCGAATGTGCAAACTTCCGTTCCATTGGTGTATGCCACTAAGAATTTTTCATCTTCCAGCTCAATGATATCTATGTCTTCAGCTTCTTCTCCGTCTGCCAACCGAATTCGCGCAATGATATCTGATGTCTGAGGGCATGATGTCGCATTGAAAATAACAATTTCTCCTGGCGACGCCAGACCAGTTGAAATTGCGCCTATTCGAGGTTGGTCAGGCGATTTATAAGGGGACAATCTTAGCAGTCTTTGATATGTGTCAGCTTTCCCAGCTGATTTTTCGTCATCCTTCTCACCGACATTCGAGCTGAACAACGAGACTTGAGTCAGAGGTGTAGTATTTCTTCCATCGGTTTTCTCCGCCCTCGCTGTCGTGGTATCCTCTTGAGACTCGGTTTTCCGCAGCGGGAATTCTAGTCGAAACGACCGCAGATGCTGATTATTCCCTTTCAATTGCTCTGCTTGCGAACTGTTGATCCCCGCAAGAGCTACTATTGACTCATCCTGAGATTCAGCAATTGCTAATGATGTGACCGAGTCTTCGTCGCGAGAGAGTTCAATGTCAACCAATTCCGATATTTCTTGACGCTTCGAGGTGTTCAACAAGGCCTAGATTCGCAGATTTAGTTAACTAATATTTCAACGTTTTCGCGTAGGAATTATTAACATACAATCTTGTTTCCCACACCACTGCGACCTTCACCTCCACCACCTCCTACAAGCAAAATTCCATGATTTCGAGGGTCAAAGTCTGCGGCGAACAGTGGACATGAGAGCGTGATCTTCGCCGATGCGATTGGCGGCGCCATATTGATAGGTGCGACTTAGGGTTCGTTCAGTACAAGAAGTGAGAGAATACTTGAAGAATTTGTACAGATTAGAAATGTATCATAGTGGTATACTCGATCACATTCTATGGTTGACGGCAGGTTGTCGCAAATGTTGAGCTCGGGCCGCAGGACGATGATGGCATGTTTGTATTGTTTTGCCGCAGTTGGCTGATTGATTTTGAAGCCTTAAATCTAAGGCAGCGACAGCCTCTTACGAACCACTACAAACTACGTACTGGTGTGGTTATGTGCAATAGTTAATGCGGAGAGGCAGATCATATTCTTTCAAAATATTCCCCTACTTATACAACTCTTTTGTTATCCCATAACCTCATTTAGTCCGTCTCTTGAGAGGTGAATTCAGGAAGTCGTTTCGCAACATCTGCCCATGTCTCCTCACCATCTACCATTGACTTGACAGCCTGCAAAATCTCATCTTCGGTAGCACGGACTTGTTTTGTCGAGTCACGGTCACGCAATGTGAAGGTGTTATCTTTGACTGACTGGAAGTCAATTGTAATGCCGAATGGTGTACCCAACTCGTCATTACGAGCGTATCGCTTGCCGATACTGCTTGAAGAGTCATCTACCTTGCTGGAAATTCCAGCGCGGCGGAACTTCAAACCCAATCGCTTAACAAAGGGTACAAATGATTCGTGAGTGGATAAAGGAACCAAGAGCACCTTGGTTGGGGAGACAACTGGAGGGAATGACAGGACCTGTAGTTTGAATGAATTAGCAAAGGTCTATAATTACCGATATTGTGACTAGGGCGGAAACTTACACCGCGAGCTTCATCGCCAGCGCGATGCCAGTATGAGTGCTCCAGCAAACTGTAGAGAATTCTTCCAATACCAAAAGAAGGCTCCACAACGTTGGGGGTATATTCCCGAACGTGCTGCGTTACAGTCTTCTTTTCAATAGCAACGAGATCCTTGTCGAGCTCTGCCTTTCCACCGTCGATGCCCTCTACGTCAATCTCAATCTTGCCGTTCTTAGCGAGATCCAAAGAGAGCTTCTCCCTGAGGTCCTCAGTCAGGGATTCAATTGCAGCCTCGACTTTCTTGGCATCTTTCTTGAAACGAGGGCCGAATTTGGATTTTGTAATATTGACTTGCCACTGTTCGAAAACCTTAGGCTCGGGAAGAGCTTCTCGGACAAACAGCGGAGCTCCAGTCTTGTTCTTGTGGACTGTCAAGTCGTATGCGCTACGATCAGCGCAACCAACACATTCAATCCAGCCATAGCTAGTGTGAAGCTCTGCATCCCAACAATCAGCAGCGTAGTGAGCCATCTCATTGGCCATGTGCTGACGGAATCGGAGCTTGGAGTAATCGACACCAATCTTTAAGAGGAACTGTTGAATTCGTGCAAGGAAGTAACCGAGTGTCTCGTTGTCTACCACGCCATCGGCAACTGCTTTTCCAATGGTCATGGTTTCTGTCTTAGTGCTACCAGAGAGCTGGACATGTCTGTTCAACAGTGACAATTCAACGTCCTTGACTTCATCAAAGCGGGGATGTTTCTTGCCACCTTCCGGATCAACAAAGTGTTCAATCTCAGCCATCAAGAATTCTCTGACACGCAAGAGACCGGCACGAGGTGAGATTTCATTTCGGAAAGACTTGCCAATGGTTGCAGACGCGAACGGCATTTGGTTTTGGTTGAATTCAAGCAACTTCTGAAAGGCGAGGAATTGACCCTGGGCAGTTTCTGGTCTCAGATAACCGGGCATGTTACTGCTAGGACCGATTGACGTCTGGAACATCAAGTTGAAAGCGACGGGAGGGAGGAGATTTCCGCCGGTGGTAGGATTGCGAATGTCGTGCTTTGTGATTAGTAGAGCAAGATCATCACCGTCATAGTTGTCAATCTTTGCTAGAATCTCTTCGTATTCTTTGACCGTAGCATCGTCCAACTTGACTGGTTTGACGTCTTTTACTTTCTTCTTTTTCTTCTTTGCATCTGCTTCCTCGTCTACAACAACTTTTTGTCCACGAGCCTCCTTATCGGCCTTGAGACGAGCTTCAAGAACAGCCTCAACCAAGTGATCTGCTCGGAAAATCTCTCCAGTCTTGGGGTCTTTGCACATCCAGTCAGCGAACTTATCCACGTGTCCACTGGTCTTCAATACCTCATGCGGGGTAAGCATTGTGGTATCGACTTCCAGCATGTCCTCCTCGAGGACGAAATGTTTCCGCCAGACATCGATAATATTGGCTTGGAGGGCGCATCCTGGCGGACCGTAGTCGTATAATCCAGCAACACCACCGTAGGGATCAAAGGAAGGGAAGTAGAAAGTTCTGCGACGGAGCATCGACTCTAGGACGGCTCGATCGACCTCCTGGCCGGCCCTGGTTGACAGGGTCGCCATTTTCGAATTGGCTGTTTTCCTTAAAGACTTGTGATGAAAACTTGAGTATGGGCGAGCGTAGTGGCCTGGGGCATAACTGCTGAGCAGCCGCGAGAATAGTCGACGAGGGAAGGGTTGAGTCATTCACCGCGATAGGTTATTGGACAAGGCGGGGCGAAGGAGGGGAGAAAAAAAGAGTTGGAGTGTGTGGATGGAAACGGTAGGTACAAAAATTACAGCATAAGCGTCAAAAACCCGTAGAATGTATGCCAGAACCTGTAAAATAACTGTAACATTTGGTACTCTGGCTCGTTGCTGAAATTTTGAGGTCCCGGCGAAAAGATTATCCGAGCATGTTATGCGTGGTCGTAGTTTTAACAAGTGTCGGGATGTTCTCATCCAGACAGTCCCCATACACCTTAATAATTTCTGGAAATGTAGTCTACTCTAGTACTTCGATGTGGTGGTAAGTGAAGATATACTGAGTCTGAGGAATTGAATGTAAGCTATAGACCAATCAAAATAGGAGTGTTGTCAACCAATCAAAACGTACAATCCGGCAGCTATCTAATCAGCTAATCAGCCGGCGGAGCAAAATTTAACTTGACTTTTTTTGACGGACATTCATATCGCAAAGAAACTCCCAACGCACCAAGCCCTCCAAAATGGCGATAAAGAATAAACAGGTTCGCAAATTACAGCACATTAAGCGCAAGAGAAATGAAAGTGCTGCCAAACACAAATTGCGCCATGAGCGGAGGAAAGAGGAGACCAAAAACCCGAGTCTCAGAGAAGAACGCCTTGCGCGGTCTGTACCATTGACGCTGGATGTAAGTTCATGCTACGAACGACTGCTGCTGTTGAGCGATGCTAACAATTTTACTTGGCTGTTAATAGAGAAAACGTACCTGGGATGACATAGGAAGTGACGACGAAAACTTGCTCGGATTGAGCATTGATGTGGAGAGACTCAAGAGACAAAAACAAGAAGAAGATGAGGCCGACAAGGAAGCTTTAAAAGATAGTCAAGGAGAGGAAAAAGACAGCGAAGATGATGAGGTCGACAGTATGATCATGACAGACTCGGACGAAGATGACGAGGACGAAGAGGACGAAGAAGAGAATTCGAAGACGAAGCAAAGTCGAAAGAAAACGGTTCCTACCGCTACAGAAAGAGCAACGTCGCCTACACATTCAACAAGATCTACGAATCTCAATTTAGCACCCGAAGCGCTCGCAGCCAAGTTCCCGGCACTATTCTTAAACGAAACAAAAACACCCAAAATCCTCATCACAACCGCCATTAATTCTACCTTGCATCACGAAGCGAAACTCCTCACATCTCTATTCCCAAACAGCGTCTATATTCGAAGGACCGCACATCATCACGCACACAAATTCTCCATCAAAGAAATCTCCAAGTTTGCCAGCAATCGCAATTTCACTGCCCTGATCGTAGTTAACGAAGACCAGAAGAAGGTTTCTGGCTTAGATATTGTCCATCTACCACAAGGACCCATGTTCCACTTCTCAGTTTCAAATTGGATCGAAGGCAAAAAGCTACCCGGTCACGGTACAGCGTCAGAAGCATACCCAGAACTCATCTTGAACAATTTCCGCAGTCCTCTCGGTATATTGACGGCACACCTGTTTAAGTCACTCTGGCCACCGCAGCCAGATCTCGCGGGACGACAGGTAGTCACGATACATAATCAAAGAGATTACTGCTTCGTGCGTCGGCATCGATATGTCTTCCGGGAGAAACGAGAAACCGAAAAACCCGTTGTTGACACTGATGGAAAGGAAATTAAAGGCGTCGAAGGTATAAAAACTGGCTTGCAAGAACTAGGTCCCAGAATGACTTTGAAATTGAGGCGGGTCGACAAAGGGATTCAGCGTAGTAGTGGTCAGGAGTGGGAATGGAAGGGGAAAATGGAGAAGACGAGAACGAAGTTCCAGCTTTAGTCGTGGTGTTTATCTAATATCGGTACGATACAACTCATATATTTCCAATGAGAATGCATGGCATATATCCCTGCGTTTGTTCGTAATATTTTGACGTCGTCCTCATCTAATAGGTCTCTTATTATTAAATATTTTCGAGTTCTTCCAACTTGCACTGCACCTGGATGGCTTGCAATGAAATCACGTGGAACACGATACCCTAATTTATCATGACATCATTCAACATCAGTAGTAAATGCCATCTAGAATTGCGTTCCTATGTGAATTCTACCATTCACGAACACATTTGCCCCCGTAAAGAAACTATCCAAAGGACTAGCCAAAAACACCGCTACCTTTTCAATCTCCTCAGGAGCCCCCAATCTCTTCAAAGGCACCTTCGATCGCTGCTCCTCCACCCACTCCGGCATAATCTCAGAATACTTTCCCCAAGGACCTCCCTTACAAAGTATCGGGCCCGGTGAAATTGCATTAACTCTAATCTTCTTTGGTCCCAGAAAATGAGATAATTTTTGCACGTGCTGTAATTGAGCTGCTTTGCAAGGGCCGTATGCCGCTGGAGGACTGCGGTAGAATTCGCGACCCATGAATGAGCTTTGGACGATGATGGATGCTTGTGAGGATTTTTCTAAATATGGGATTTTGGCTTTGACAAGGTCGACGAAGCCCATGACGTCGATTGCGAAGCTGCTTTGCCAGTGCTCGGTTTCTCCTTCCATGTGCATCGGTGATGCTAGCATCTGGTCTTAATTGGATGCCTTTACAACACTCAACAAGGAAAGTAAAGCAACATACCATTAGCGATAACCACATCAATCCGTCTCAATCTCTTCGCAGAAATCTTCACCCATTCTACAACAGCTTGTTTATCACCCACATCCAGCGCGGCTCCTACTGCCCGAGCTGAATTTTTTGCTGGAACGGACTTGTCGAACTCATCGAATTCGGTGTTTGTGACTGTTAGTGCACAGTAGGAACCGTTTGCTTCTTCCTGGAGGAAATGTTGTGCCATAGCCTCGCCCATGCCGCGTGTTCCTCCTAGGAAGTAGGCTTAGTAAGATTTGATTGCAGTGGACGGGATCAAGGAGAGTGATACCTGTTACTAAGACATGTCAATATTTGAGGGATGTTGCAAGGACTATGGCTGATTGCTTGTGTACTAATAACGGAGGGAATGTGTGTATCTCGGGACTGTCAATATGCGCGTTATATCAATCGAATGTGAATTCAGCCTTGAGGATCATTCCAATAGATATTATTACCTGTGTGAGACCTTACAGCTTAATATTGTTAACTCTTTAGGTTCCCTCGAACCAACAACTGTCTCTCGAACTACTTGAAGGGAAAATGATACTTAGGGCTAAGTGTAACCGACTGGAACTCACTCCATAATAACTCCGAAACTCCTTTCGACAATGACCATGATATAATCTTATATATAAATCTATGATAATATTGTGGAATCGAATACATGGTGTTATCAGGATTTGTAGGGTAGATTAGGTAAAGAAACGAGGCTGGTTTTATGTTAGGTAGGTACGTGGTTACCTAGGTATATTTGTAGAACACCAGTCCGGACAACGATGAGATATTGTCTATTTAACTACCTAGCTACTACACAATTGATACCTGATTCCATGCTGTGAGAGCCGGCTTAAAGTAGGCAAGACAATGCTTAGAGTCTTCATGAGTGAGAAGGGTATGTGCAATACTTGCATAGAAGCAGCGAACGCAAGAACTGTAGCTTGTAATCCAAGACATTGAATAGCACAGTGCAAGCACGCAATTCACCATCAAAGTAAAATGCATTTGCTGCTCTGATAAGCAGACTAGACAGAGGACTGTTGAACGCAGTACGTAATTTCAACTGTTAGCTATACCTAGATAGACGGAGATAGACAATAACAGATAGAGCATGGTTGGCAAGGCATATTAGAGAGAAGTCCCTGCAGTCTCTGCAATCTTCTACCTTGTCACAAGTGAATATTTCACACAAGAAGCATACACTCAGCCGTCACATATTAACCAAACACCCAATCCACTCAAATCAATCCGAGACTCAGCTCATATCAGGACTCTCCATGATCTTCATCCCTTATTAGCATGCGACGAAGATAGAAAGGGGGGAAATCCATGCTTCATATCTGTCAGAGAGCACCCTGAATGTCCACAATCGCGAAGGGGGTTACCCAATATAGATAATTTAGCTGCCGAGCAATGCGGCTTTTTTTCTTCCCACAGGAGTAGTCATGCTTCTATCTTGCCGATCAATACATGTGCATACTGCGCCTGCTTCTGGTAGCAATCTGGGTAGTTGGCAGTCATTCTCGTATCTAATGTGTTGGTGGTTATCTGACAGGGATTTGATAATATCATATACATACAGCCGTCAATAGCCGGATGGCTCGCATGTGCATACCTACCTAGGTGTTAGGCATTTATTACAACCGTCACGGTTGTTGTATTTAACACTTTATTCGTGTCTCTGTCTTGGTAGCTAGGTAGCTGTGAACTATCTGGCGTCTCGCAAAGCCTTGCCAGGATATACTACAATTCCCGACCTGATAAATGGAAGACCCGCAAAAGTCCACCCCCGTTTTACTCACATGAGCCAGCCCTAGTCATCTAACAAGACTTGACAGAATAGGAAAAAGAAGACGAATCCGGGTATGTAGCAGTGTGAAGTTCAACGAACCAACTGCCGGGAAGGTTGGTGGTATTCCTCAGTAGCAATAAGACGTAGTAGTATTATTAGATAGGGACAGTCCCTCATTTCTTCGAAGTTCCTCCCTAGTCTTGTTTCCCCAGAATCTTCACAAGCAGATAAATGCAGCCAAGGAACCAAGACAACAAGGGATTACAGATGACTTGAAGATCTACGTACTACCATGGGATGGCGGTCAGCCGCTGAACGCACTGCAGCGGCCATAGTGCCGTGAGCGGTATAGAATGGAGGGGCTTGGTTATACAAAAGGGAAATTTGTGCAACTTCTGAGTTACTGGTCTGCTAAACTAGTCAGCTCGAATCGACGAGTCATGTTCCCAAAAGCGGGAGAAGCTGCAGACACAGGGCATTACGACTAGATAATAGACGCTAACAAAGCATGAGAAAGCAGGGACAAGAGAAGAATGCATTTGCGAAGGTCTACATCTATAGAACAGATCCAGCGGTTAGTCGGTGATCAGCCAGGTTAGGTTAGGAGATGAAAAGTGAATCAGTTATCTACTGGGGTAGATTGGCTTGAATACTACGTTCTTGACTTTTCGGCAATTCCAATTGTTTTCACAAAGGTAAGAGTTGGGTTCTTCAAAAAAAAAGTATAAAAATAAAAAATCAAAAAAAATCGAGAGCAACTAACATTGAGAATTGATTATGCATGTATTCTCCAGCGGATGCTACGTCGCCATTTCAAGCAGATAAGCTCATGGCTTGAATTTAGTGCTGGACGGACGTAGCAGTGCTAGTACCTGGCGTTCCTCGTACAAACGGCAGCTAAGTAATGTCCGTCGTCCACTGAGTACGACACTAAACAGGCCTTAGAATCGGCTGTGATGCTGATTTCAGGCCCGGAAACTACGGGTACGTAGTCGGTCACTTTTGGCCCAAAATAGCATTGACTATGTAGACTGGCCCCAAACAAGAATTGATGATGGTTAGATGTACGTAAATTCGTGCTTTTTTTGAACTATGTATTCCACTGTACTGTGGGCAATGACCTTAGTACCGACTGATTGACGGCAGAAGAAGATCCGGGCCCCGAATGTCGATAGGTGCCAGGTCTCATTACAGGAACAGGCTACACATTCTGTCGATCGTCCTGGAACAAGATGCTTGCCCTAACCCAGTCAAGGGCGTTGCTAATCAAGTACAGTCTACCTTTGAGTACGTACTCCGTAGTTAGTCATTCTGCACTTTAGTATTAACATACTTTTATAAATAGTCTCAAATGCCAGTTGATTATACTCGGGCCTTTTTCTTCACTAGGAGATTCGTCGGTGAAGTGTATCTTCGATATTAGTGCGGGGGCATACAAAAGTTCATACTCAACTAAGTCAAAATTAAAATTCTGTTCAATGGCTGACGGGTGACCGGCAACTTGTTAGTTAACTTAGTCCAGTGCTTGGTTTGTGTCATGATTCAAGGAACTCGAAGCCCAAGAACGGAACGGCGCCGAACTAATGTCAGCAGTATGGAAGATACGAATCATACCAAGGTCAGGATTTGAATTATTAAGTAACGACACAAACTCGCATGTAATTACCGAACACATGTGCAAAATTACAGCGATAGAGTTTGTAACTATTCCCAGAAATCTTGTTACGGGAAGGTTGCATGACTCGGGTCCATAAAACGGCATCAGATGTTTTAACGTATGACCATACATACTTATCGCCATTGCAAAGAACTGCCTTGAGTAATCGAGTAAGCAAGTTACCAAGTTAACTACACGACGGCTGCGCCTGCTAGCTAGCTCTTCAGTATTGGGAATCTCTAGTATGTTGTCTAACAAGCTGCGAGAAACACGATGACTTCAGCCAACAGTCAGGCATGAACACGATGCCTTGGTCAGTTCGATTCACTTTGATCGTGAAACTCGTATATCGCGTAGATTGGGTCTGTAACAAGTACAATTTCACCAATTAGAAACAGGGTTCACGCAAGACAGTGCTATACTTTTAGTATCCACAAGGCTGTCGACCAGCGACCATATCTTGATACAGATGTTTTCTGTAGTAGTGTTTCAGCATGTTTCGAGGTTATTTTTATAACCACCCAGACAGCTAGTCTCTGACTACTTGTTCCAAACGTTAGAGGTAGGTGGATATGCCCCTGGTTTTAGGGCCTGTCACCCATGCTAAAAGTCAAGGCCGAAATCATCTTGCTAACGAGCGTTGATACGTAGATTTAACCAATAAATTCAATTGCGTAGGATAGTGGATGTCAGATAATTACTTGGGGTAGCCTGTCAAGAGACTCCAGCTTATATAAAGCCATACTCAACTTGGACATATCTACCCAGGTAGTTATGCACCCACATCTCTATCCAATTAGGTATATAGTGAGAGTGCTGAGAGATCAAGAGGTCGTTATTGGAAGCTAGTAAGTAATTCGCCAAATTTCATTCATAGAACTTCAATCCCACATAAACTGCCACAAATAACCTAGAGAATATCAACACTAAAAAGGCATGGCCCACTCGACAAGGGCTCTCGTATGATGATCTACAAATTGCGCTATCCAATACGAGATCCAAGATTCTGTCAGGGTCGCTTAAATTCCGACTATTCCATCGAGCTCTGGACGTGTATTGGACAGGTGCCGAGCTGAGCAATTAGCCCTAACTTAACTAATCGTAGAATTATCAAGTCAGAGATTACACCACTGTTAAAGACTTGGAGGACAGCATACCCACCGACAAATTAAGGATAGGTAACACCAGTCTTATCATAGTTGCTTACATAAAACCACAATACTAATACGACAATAACTATTTACTGTTCATCCGGATCACTGGTCTGGTCAATGATTGTATAGTAGCATCGATATTATAGCTTCGGAGAGCTCCGTGACTTGACAGATATAGAACTCCTCTTTTCAACGGTTTTCTATGTAGTATCCAGTACGGAACAAGCTGTGACTGGGGGAATGGATATCATGTCTATGTCCGATAATATGCTCGGGGATTTAAATATGCTTCTTCTGATACAGGAGCAATGTCGCATGTGTTAGATCCGGCGCAGGGCAATACGCGTGGCACAGGATTGACAAAACGAGTCTCGATGCCTGTGGACACGAGTCACGGTAATTTGCAATATCTCAGCTCGGTATACGTATATCAAACCTATCCCTAGAGTCTGGATCGCTCAAGCAGATGATCCGTGGCGAGTACCTGGAAGCTATACATAAGTACCTACTCGATAGCTAGTTTGATATCTTACCCGACTCCTGTTATATGGTAAAGCACAAATCTGGTGATAATTAGCGGGTAGCGTTTCCATTTCAGGAAGTATGTTCTCCCTGACTAAAAGCCGAAGTAGTGCTAGTCTCAACGTCTTCCGTATGTAGCAGAATATGGGGTCAGTGTGACCATGATGAACGGATTGACCCCTTTGTCCCTTGGTTCTGTGCCGGTCCGTTCAACCCGAGTTCTAGCCCTAAAGGGCAGAAGCATAGGTAAGACCGTTTACATACATGGTTACATACATGC